TTAATAATTTTTATAGGTTAGTTTCAATTCATGCTTCATGGCAGGAGACATAACTTAATGTTTGAAGAGAAAAAAGATCAACTCAGTTTTGATTGATCAATAACACCCCCTCCTACTGTATATTGTTTTAGTCTGAAGGTTCAAGCATAAAAGTTGTTGTAACTGTCCATTATAACTAATGAATTTTAAAGAAACTGTGTTCAAAGCTGTTTTGTGATATTACACTGAATATCAATAATGGAAACAACATATTAGTACTACCTTAACAGTTTTAGAGAGTGTTGTTAACATGATGTATTTTTTTACTTGACAAAGAAACTAAACTGACACAATTTTGCCTTTTGAAAATACAAAGTATTATCTGTTCGTACTAGGAACATCATGATTCTAAAATGTTTGACATATAACAATTTAATTTTACATTTAGTGCACTTAATCGATTTAATTTGAAAATCACATTGTACCGGGTACGTTCATGACATGGTTGCATTTGTTTTCATTCGAATTCTTACTGTTCACGTAATTTGTGATGATGTTTTCATTTCTTATCAACAATTTAGATTAGAACTCAAATTGACACAAAACAACACTGATGTTAGCTAATATATTGTTATCTAATCGGTATAACGATATCGTAAATGTCTTCTTAATGACAACATATACTATACTGTTTCTAGTTTGTGAAAATTTGTTTCAACCAAAAACACTTTTTTCACTATTAATTGATATCAATAATAAGACCTTTGAAGATCAATGAAGATCACCTAGTTACTTCTCATTAATTGGACGACCATTTTCCAACAGGTGATTAAACTAAAAAGATTCAGATCTCGAAATGAACACAATACAATTAAGATATTTAGTGTAAACTTATGATTCTATGTCTCTTTACTACAAATGGTGTGGGATCAAACGGAATTATTGTTGAATTTTTTATGAATAGTGGGCTACCTCAACTTGCCATACCATTTGGGGTCGTTTCCAAATAAATAAATTCTTTAAACTAATTACGGGGACATTAGAACTGAAATGTCGACTCCATTTTGTTAGATCGATAATTTTATTATAGATAATAGTGTCTAGAGATTGATAACTAATTATTATCTGACAGTTAATTTGTATAAGTACTTCAGTGAAGTATCTAGTGTTACACAATGAATTCTTCGTAGTTGAAGATAATATATCAGCTTGAATGTGAAAAACTAGTGTATTTTGAGATTTATAGTTCCTTGTAATGACAAATTACAGAATAACGATCTACTACAATGTAAAGCCCAAAAATATTTGTTTTCCACCAAATAATGGCAGTAACTTATGGTGTTTATTTGGGTATAACTCATCCTTAATGCACAGCATTCGTTAAAAATGTAATTACTATTATAAAATCACTGTTTCTAAATATGGTCTTGAAAAAAAGAGCAATGTCAACTTGATTTTTAAACGAAGCAGATTAAAATGATGTTTTAACCTTACAAGTTTTGTAAACAACTACAAATGATGACTGTTCCTCTTAAAATCTTTGATGATAGAAGTAGGTATGCTTTAAGTACTCAATTAAAACGCTGAAAACTAGAGAACTTCTGAAAACAGATGTTACAAGTGTTGTGCCCATTATTCAAAGTAATTCATATTTGTCGTTGTTGTTCCAAATTACTTAAGATGTCTTTATGCGAATAGCTCTGGAAGTGTCAAATTACCGTGAGACTATTTATTGTATACCGAACACAGACACTCGTTCAGACGCCCTACAATGGTAGTATTTCTCGACCTTAAGGCGGCATTCGACTCTGTAGATCGTGAGGTTCTATAGCAGTGTTAGTCACTGAAAGGAGTACCCAAGAAGTACATTAACCTTATACAGGCTCTCTACTCGAACACAACTGGTAGAGTGAGAGCTTATGGCGAACTATCATCAGAATTGATTACCTCAAGTGGTGTTCGTCAGGGCTGTCCACTCTCCCCATTCTTGTTCAACTTTGTGGTCGACGTACTTTTAGAGATAACATTTTCCTCATCTAAATTTCCAGGGGTTGAACTTCTACCGAGAGGTTCACTTGTTGACTTAGAATATGCAGATGACATAGTTTTATTTGGTGAAGACGCTGACAAAATGCAGAGTCTTCTGACCACTCTAAGCAACAATGCAAGCATGTTCGGGATGCGATTCTCTCCCTCAAAATGCAAAATGTTGCTTCAGGATTGGGTTACATCGACACCCGAACTAGTGATAGGGAGTGAAGTAGTTGAGTGTGTCGACCGCTTCACTTATCTTGGAAGTCTCATCAGCCCTTGTGGTCTGGTGTGTGACGAAATCTCATCACGGATACAGAAGGCTCGACCAGTTTTTACCAACTTGCGTCATTTATGGCGTAGGCGAGATATCCGTCTATCAACCAAAGGATGTGTTTACTGTGCAGCAGTTCGTCCCGTCCTACTTTATGGCAGTGAAACATGGCCGGTAAGAGTAGAGGGTATTTGTAGGTTACTAGTATTTGATCATAGGTGTCTTCGAAATATTGCTCGTATATCGTGGGACCATCGAGTAAGTAACACAGTTGTTAGGAAACGGGTACTAGGTGAGGATGACAAATCAATTGATGAAGTAGTGAAACTTCATCAGTTGAGATGGCTGGGACACGTGTTACGTATGCCCAACGACCGACTACCTCAACGTGCTATGTTCAGTGGTATAGGAGTAGGTTGGAAGAAAGCTAGAGGCGGCCAGACCAAAACATGTCACAAGTCCATGAAGTCACTGACAAGTGGACTGAGTCATGTTGGTAGGTGTAGACTACGTGGTTGGGGACCGCGAGATGATAGCAACCGATGGTTAGAGACCCTGAATGACATGGCTCAAAATCGTTTGCAATGGCGCAGGTGCATCCACTCTCTGTGTTCTCCCAAATTCTAATCTTCTGAATTCTTCATGTCCCTTTTTTCATCTTTACAAATTTATTTCACTGTATTATACTCTTTAAATAACATCTCCAAACCCTAATCTTCCCTATTACTGCTTATACTCTTACTACCTCTACCACTACGGGATTTGAATCGACAACTGCATCTCTGTGCTAAGATGGTGTGGCAACTCGAACTGATGTATGTACGTACGAAGTTCTACGTCGTTACTGACTGACTGACTGTATACCGAACATTAAGCAAAAGACTGATGTGTAAGAGGAGTTTGTCAGGAAGTATACTCAGGAGTTTCTAAATGTTTATGTTCTACAAATGAAAATGAAATTTCACAAACATTTAATAGATATCAAAAATCTATTTGTGGTTATATCGATACAATAGGCTAGCGATCCGATGCTTGAACTTTCAAGAGTTATCAACTCAAATCTTGATAGAAATGTTCCTCGATAAGATTTTATTCTTTTGACAACATAGAAAAATCTTTAAATAGTTTAAAATATAGAAGGATGGTAAATTAGATAATCTGAAATTTCAAGTAGTCATCTTACTTTGAATTAAATAAACCTCTTTATACTTCTTTATACACGTTTTTAAATGAAAAGTATATTAAAACATTTTGAATAAAAAATCATTTAGAATTAATTCGGATTGTTCTACTTCTTAACATCCATTTGTTCCGATTAACTGTTTTCTTGAAATAGGTAGATATGATTTCAATATTTTTTGGCTGATATATATTATTTAGTCTGTACTCCTTGCTTTATTGAGAAAACTAATTTCTGTAAAACATGACAGTTTTCACAACCCTGGATCATATTGGTATACAGATACATTGAAAACGATCACTTCTACGCAGAAATATCTTCATGAATTGAATAGATGTTTGTATAAATATTATGACACATTTGTTAAACTGACATTTTGTTTAATACTGCAATTTTACATAATCGTCATATATGAATCCTTTTCAAATGAACCATATTAATGAAGAATAATACCTTATAGAAGCTCACAACAATAGTAATGACTTTTGAAATTCAACCATTTTATCCATGGAAGATTTTTTGACTGGTTTGATAAAATTACATTCTAATCTGAATTTTCTGATATCCTAACCTATAGTTATTTATGAATAATAATATTCATAGATTTAAATGTAACTACTTCTACAAGTGGTAATACACTTTCAACCATTTTTGAAGCTAGAAAGTATCCTTCTCATTAAGCAGGTAAAATGTCCCACACAGTGACAATTGGGGTCATATAACGTATAGTTAGAACTTGACACCTTATGAAACAAACTTTTTGAATTTAATTTCTTAACAATATATCGGCGTGTTTGAGTTCTTCACTAAGAAGGTTTGAGCAATGCAAACTGTGCATTTGGTATTTATTTAACTTTTACTCTTGTATGAGGTTGTGTAGATTTTAGAATTTCATTAACCCTGCAATCAAAAGTCTAGATTAAGTGATCACATGCGAAACCGAAGGTCTTGGGTTCGATTCACGCTTGCAGTGTCGTGGAGAAAAACTGACGAGGAATTCTATAATAAAACGAAATAGTCGTTTAATGCTCTCATGTATTCGATAGTTATCTACATTAGATTGGTTTGTGACTTCAATGAAATTTACTTTTAAAGCTTGAAAATGATTATCATCAATTTTGATAGTCGCTGTTTTTTTTATTTAGACCTTTCAAATGTCTGATTTTTTTAACCAATACAGGCAGACAATTATAGTACTATTTAATCCTTGTAATCTGAATACAATAGTTCTTATTTCCGTGTTCATGACACAAATAAATTACCAACTACAATAAACCTGACATGGGTGATATTTAAAGTCACCATATTCTATTTAACAAGGGTAATTAAATTCATCTTCCAGTAAGTTAATTATTCAAAAGGTTTTTAAATGGGATTAAATAGTTTGTGCAGAGTGAATAAAGTAGAAACAATTTACTTTTCAGTTTTTTTCAAAGGCATTTATATTGATTTTGTTGTAAATAACAATTTTTTTCTAAAGTTTAATGTATCCAGTAGTTCTAACCATATTTCCTCTTGATATTTGATTTTTTTCAGTTAGTACGTCAAACAGGAGCTGTTAAAATTACCATATTATCGGCGGCAACATTTCTACACGTAGCTGCATGGTACTCAGCACATCAAATAATTGGTCATATTTTAAAAGGTCATTCAGAGTCACTAGTTGAAAAGAAAACAGTAGTATGTTACTTTTTTATACAAAAAAAGTCTTTAAATTTTGCACTTTGAACAATGGCAGTAATTCATATGTATATGATTAAGGGCAAAATGGATTTTGAGTGGTTGTCGGTAAGAGAGCACTCAGTAAGAAACTAATCACGTTCTTTTTTGTAAATTACAGAAGACGGAATAATGAATTTCATTTGAAACATTTTCTGCACAAATAGGGCAATTAGTTTTAAAATTTGTAAATTCTTATATATAACCTGTTATTTTGCACTATATTTCACTATTTTACTAGATAAAAATCATCCATTTCGTTCACATCTTTCCCCTTTTTGTTATAATTCATGCACGCAAAGAGAAGTACGAATAACCTAGAGTGTTCTATTTAGCATATACACTATACGAAGAACAGATTGGTAGGACTTACCTAACCAAAAACTTACATTCGTGAAACTTCAGCTTACTTACTGTTGAAAAGACTGTTATTTCGTCACAAAAATTTCACCTCAGTTAATACTATTTGGTTTATTCTTTTTACATAAGCATACATATCCATATACGATTATATCGACAAAGAGTGAGATGGATATCTAGAAATACTTTATGCTCAGAGCTTCATATTTTACTAAAAAAATACTACACTGAATAAGACGACTGTTATTATTATTCGACGTTATATGCACTATTTAAACCTATTATTGGTCTGTTAGGGTCATTAAAATTTCCTTTCTGTTCACGTTATTAGATTGAGGTTGTTAATCAACGTACTGACTACGTTTTATGCTATCAGAAGTTATCTCATAATTCTAAATTTTCGGTAACCCAGGATTTTGAAATTTCTTCTGTCAAATAAAGTACCGTATTCGTCAGGATAAAGTAGAGAGGAAGATATAACATTATAGTGTTTGATCACCATATGATTTAAAAAAACAAGAGCAAAATATACAACAGAAGGGAATTAGGGCCAAGGAAAGATAAGAGATTGAACGTATCGTTTTTGCACTCTTAGTTTGGATTTGAAGTTATGAATCACTAACGCCTCAGCAGTGCATAAGTTTTTGATTCGAACCCTCATTGATTCAGTTCCTTTGGTTGTCTAGATTATTTTGAAGAAAGACTACTTTAGAACGACGTGTGCAGTTTGATGGTGTAGTTATTGTTACGTAAATATTTTGGAACATTTAGTCACTGAATTGTTAATCGATGTAAGAAAATATCAATACACTCTAAAAGTTACATGAAAACACATTGATGATTTATTAGAAGAAATATCCTTCACACGGTTGAATTGAAAGATGTAAAATTTTCAGATATGATATTAAAGGTATGAATATAGAGTCATAGATTATTCATACCTTTTAGATGCTTGGTGAAAGTACAATAATACTAATACAGAAAAAAAGTCTTAAAACAATAGACAAAAGCTTCTAAAGATAATTTATATCATCTTCAGTAATGCTTCACTTGTTTATCACACGCAAAATAACTTTGTATGAGACTGATACTGATAACCTAGTTTATGAATGTTGGTAGCTTTAGAAAACTTTTGGTCATATGAACTTATCCTGCTTTAGCGTATTAGGTAAAGTTAACTTCAAATATGTATTCAAGTTATAGAGAGAATTTAAATGAAATTACAATGTTTACATCTTAATGAATTTCTGTTTCAGTGTTTCATCTTAGACATCTTTTATTAATCTGACATTGTCTAATTATTATCATTCATGTGAAAATTTGTATACTCAACTGTGAAGCATAACCAGATTTTTACGCAATATGATAAGTTTTCAACATCTCTAGTGAAAATTAGAAACAGGTTGAAATGAATTTTGTTTTAGCATACTTCAAATTAGTATTTTAGAATTGACTTCTGTCTAGCTTTCCATGTATATTTTTGTTGCATGATTCATTAAATAATATTAATATATTCATAGGTAATTAAATGTGTAAAATAATACATTTGTAGACTTTAGAAAAATGTGTCCGCGTTCACATAGAGCAAGTAATCAGTATGAGTAGTGCAGGACTGTGGCTGGCAGTGAAAAGCGTAAGAAAGCTCTACTTACTATATAATTTGTGATCAGATTATCAAATGGCATTAGATATTTTTTAAAGTCTAGCAAAAATGTCATCTCAGTCAACATAGAGAGATGTATGATGAGTAGTTTGTGCGAAAGTAGCTACATATTTTTCGACTATTTTCATGATTATATGCCCAATTTTACATATTTTCTAATGGTTATATATTACATTAACTATACATACGATTTTTGTGGCTAGGAAGGTTTCACTCCATTGCATATTTCCTCCGGAGTTGGTGATTTTGTGGCAGTCGAACGACTATGTAAAGCTGGAGCTAATCCTGAAACCACAGATACAGTAAGTGATTTATTAAGTCAAAATAAACTAAACTATTGGTCATGTAATCGGCGAGACCATAATTTATGGACGAACCAATCAGGTATAAGATAACAGGTCTCGGATTTTAGCGCGAAAATCATCCATTTATTTGGCTAAATAAAGTTTTGGCATTATAGATGATGTCAGTTCGTGATGAAAACCCTAGATGTATTTCCTAACCCTAACTATCAACTGTAAATCATAATTCTAATTTCTCACACTGGTTTACAACACTCATTTGGTCCTAGTTATTAGGTGATAACGCCCAAGGTCACTTTAGCGTTGCTCAAAGGTCGATCATAAATTATAGACTCACCCATGTAATTTTGTATATAATTTCATGATTTAATGAGCTTCAAATTTTAAAAAGTTATGCAAAATATCACTCATTCACCAAATGTTTACCTGGGAAGAAAATATATTGTTTTAATGAAGTGAAGTTTACATTTGTTAACATAATTCTTATCATATATACAAGAAAGGATCCGAGATAGTTATGAAACAAATTTATTGGAAAGCAATTTCTGTTATATTTATTTGGTGCATGTAAAAAATGAACTATAGTACATATTTAATGAGTTAACTGGTGCAACAAAGTTGTTGTTTGTAGAGTGATATTTGCCATATCAAACGTTCGAATACTTCTAATGAGTAATGAGCTGAATGATGACTGGTATAATAATAATATATACCCAAAAGTTAATCTATTCTTGATTATCTTACTGAGTACATTTTCGCACGTCTGGCACTTATGAAAGTCTTTTTGATGCTTATTTATATAGGCTATTACAGTGTTCTCCAAATACATCTGTGATTTGTCTGTATTATATGATGTCTTTTGTTGAACACCGTAGTTAAAAAAAGCTTTGTTCTGTCGAGTAAATACCGTATTAAATTGATCAGGGACTCAATAGTATTTTTAGGATTGTTTGACTCAAATTTCCATAACATGGTAATTTTAAATGTGGAACATGAGACGACAGAAACTACCGGATATATATTAGTCTCTCATATGGTGCATAGATGCAAATAGCGTGACACAGCCACTAACAATAACAATTTTAAAATCTTTAACTACTTCTCATTCCGACTGAGTACGTTAGTTTTTTCATCCCAAAAGTGATTACTATCATCTTTGACAAAGAATAATAGTCGTAACAACATATTTACCAGTATCTGAAATTAAAAAGAAACGAAATTGGTCGTTACGATATCAGAAAAAATTAAAACAACCATAACTATCATTTCGTGTGAAAGACTCTTAGCAAAACTGTGTATCGTACTCTTGATAAATATTGCGTATAAATATATATTTAATCAGAAAACTGCTTCTCAGAAATCAGTTAACCTATTCTACCTCATATTGTGGTGGATTAATGAATGGAATAGAAAAACTAACCATTTTTAGTTACATGGTTTTGTAGATCTAATAATAAGTAAACTTGATACCGACTCAAGTATTATGAAGATTGTCACAACTAGATGTTTCATAGCCTTCTACAAAACTAGCTATACACAATAATAAGTTGGTAATCTATGATGATAATGATTTGTCAGCTGACGATTCATTATCAATCAATAAATTTTACCAGTTGGTGACTGTATACACCTTTTAACTAAAAATTTCTGAATTCTAATGATAGTTTTTCGCTTATTAGGTCTCCATTGCAGCATTTTTATTTTCTATAGCCAAACAGTAACCTACCAATTACCAAATTGATCAAAACCATAAGCTTGAAAAATATTTTTTGGATGTAAAATATGTACTCGAAACTATCAATATTTTATTTACAGCAAAGACATTTTCTTCAGTGAATAAGCTATAATTGACAAATAGTAAAGCGTTTTTAATGTTTTGACTATAAATGAAATTACATTGTTGCTTAATTAGAAAGCTTGTGATGACTGAACAGAGGTCAACAAATAATGTACATTATCTTATGATTTTACTAATTGCTATCTTACCGGACACTTATTGATTATTTATTTTAGAGTGGTAGAAATGCATTACACCATGGTGTGGTTGGTGATCCGGAGACTGCTGTTGTTCTTTGTTGTATTAATAAAAAATTAGTCATGGTTGCAGATTCTGTAAGTCAAATGAACATTTCTTTCACGACATAAAATAATCCTTTTCTTAAAAAAGGGTAGTTTTAATTTTCCAAATTTTTGCATTCTATATCCATGCAGTATTCCTTTAGTGCTTCTTGAGACAATGTATGATTCTTATTATGACATCAAATTAAATTTTACTGGAGATAAATTTCAGTGTCTTCAAGTTCGAATTACGATAGTGTTTCTTTTTCTAGTGAGAAGCTATGAATTAACTATTTGCTAAGATTTTTGCCTATTTAAATTCTTACTGTCCTACTTTTAAAATATTCTAATAAATGTAGATATATAAATGGACTAAATATCACAGCAACTATTTTACAAAATTTCAACCATGAGATAAAATAACTTCCATTCACAATAGACTGTTTCCACTAGAGTGAATGATGCAAACTATAACTAAGTTTATTTTTTAAAAAATATTTATAATTCAGAAATATTCTTTCATAGTTGTTTGAAATCAGTCAAAGGCACAACGAACATGGATGTAGAATAATATGAATTCATTAAATATCGTGGTTTCTCATCAGCTGCTTACAACCAAATATGTATTAAAATTTTACATTGAGATAAGATATGATGTGGAACAGTTGAAATAAGTGAATGTAAGGAATTGGAATGACAAAGGTTATCTATAATAACTAAATATATGTGTGCAAAGAACAGGTCGGAGGTTATTTGGTGTTAGAATCAAGAAAACATTAGGGATGAGTGATGTAATAGTTGAGTGGAGTTCAGAGAGAAATAATTTTAGAGGTCATGAAGGGTTCACATAAGAGTCATGGCTTTAAAAACTGATAAGATGGGTTATGTATTAATTGGATAGAATTTGAAGAGTTTACATAATTTAAGAGAATCAAGTGAGTGGAAATGGGGGATTTAAATGTACACGAAATAAGAATTCGTTTATGGAAGAGAAATATAACAAACTAAACATTAACAAAATAAAACTAATGACCAAGAATTGGATTACCAGGGTAATAATAAGTTTATTACTGTCTCTTTTTGAATACATAAATCACGTTTGAGTTTTTTTTATCTCAGTTGAGCAGTTCTTTTCCTATAGCGTCGTCAGTTTTGTTGTTGGGTAGGTCACATTCAACGCGGAATTTATCCTGTGATTAACTATTCCAGTGATTTAATCTCTTTTGAGGAAGCAGGTTTTCTCTTCCACTCTATCGTACATAATTCGAGGGTTGGTTTTGTCATATTTCTGGATGAACTTCGCCTAATATGCATTTTCACGTAAGAACTTTGTTATGAGAAAAATTTCATCTTCCAGACATTTCTTTGAGCACGCAAAACTTGCTCAAAGGAAGTTTAACACTTCTGAATAGGGTTCAAATACTATCCAGATGATCTTTTACTTTTCAGCCGGTTTACTCAATGACGTCAGTTCGAGATGAGAAAAAAACAACCACGAACTAAATAGATTTAAGATATCATTTGTAATGATCTATAGTCTTTGACAAAATAAATCTATTATGTCATTTGTTTTTTTCAGAAATCATGAAATCACTTTTTTATATACTGCAATTTCACATTGAAATTTTGTTTTGTCTTTGTTTCGTAGAAATTTCAAACTCCTGTTCATTATGCTTTGGATCCAACTCGTTCAGCATGTCATAAATTCTTGGCTGCATTATATCATGATGTTATACAATCGGCTAAAGATAGTTCAGATAAATCATCAGAGAATGATGTATGTTTAATTATTTTTAACAAAATTTCACAATAACATAACATTTCACACTATTTTGTTTATAATTATTACTAAAAATTCTACTAAATATCAACTTATTATTTATATGGTTTATAAGTAAAACAATAAATTATACACTTTATTATACTTCCATCATAACTTATATTATACAGATGACAGAAGATCATCCTGAAACAATAACAAAGAATTTAAGTTACCTATGAGTTTCGATGAGTGTAGACATAAACCACTTGTCAAGGTATGAAAGTAAAAGTCAGTTACAAAAAGAGAAACGAGAAAAAAGAATGAAATATTTGAATAAATCCGAATGTCATGGAAAAGAAACTTTTCTTCGTTGAAAGATCTTCATTCTTTTTAAATCTAAATATATTTTCAAATTGTCTATTGCATAAGCTCTTCAAGTTTTATTTAAACGTGTAACAGAATTTATCATACTTAAATAAATCTTAATTTTAGATCATGCCATTTTTTAAGCAATGAAGTTCCTTGTTGATAAAATTCTTAGTCGTTTATAGTATTTATAAACTCTGCAGCAATTTGGAAGACTCTCCCGGTCTCCCAAATTGTACGAGCATTCCATGTACCTAAATTAGTGGTTGCTCTGGACATCAGAAGGAGCATCAACCTGGTGACTTCCGAAGGAACTTGGCTCTCACCATGAGACGTCATGACACTTCTATATGAAGACCTTCTAATTCCCAGGGCAGAGTTTAAATGGTTTGAGTTAATTTTCCTGGTCAGCGTTTTTTAGCGAGTTAGTTTTCTACGGGATGGGGTCGCTAACCCCATGCTCAACCCCCCTCCTATATCCGGACTTGGGACCGGCAGTAGCCCAAGAGGGGCTCCAGTGGGAGTTAACATTTATAAATTACATTAAAATAAATGTTTTTTTGTTATTTTCAACTAAACCACAATGCACTCTATTATAATTTATTGTAATAATAAGCTAACATATTGAGAAATTTTCTATGAATATATTTCAATAATAACTACTTTTTCCCTACACAAGTTTCTTTTCTGTATCAAGTCATCTTTCTTGCATAAATAGAATCAGTCTTGGAAATTTATAAAAGTGGACAGGCCAAGTAGATTTGTACAACTAAAAATAGAAAAAAGGGGTTATGAGATCTATCAGCGGTGCCATCTTTTTTCACTTTGTGGATAGTGAATGTGTTAGATAGATCAAGCTATCTTTATTTCGCATCACATTTCAAATAATCTCCCTAAAGAAGTTAGATTACGACTCCTCCATATAGCTAAAGCCGTTTGGATGAACTCCAAGAAACCTAAATTATAGTATGTTTTGACTCTGTGCTTACCTTGATCCACTACTGGATTACCATTTGCATAAATTGAATATTATCAATTCTTTACATTCCACCACTAACCACTTTTTTGTTAATATCTGCTCCATATTTTTCTTAATCTGTACATTCATCATTTCCGATTCACACGAATTTGTTATCAGAACTGCTTCTACCTCGCCTCTCTTATTACGTATCATATTCACACGATGTTATTATTATTATTATTATTATCTTCGTTAATGAGACAAAATTCTTCTACTATGCATTTTATTCAAACGATTCATTTTATTATTACTATATTGGTTACAACTTGATGTCTTACAACAAATCATTTTGACAAAGATAGATAGTGGCTAGCAGTGGAATCCAGGAAGCGCGTTTCATCCTATTTCGTCCACTGCTAGCCACTATCCACCTTTGCTTATAATTCTTGTGAATTAAGGCAATATCGATGCAATCCTCACAGGATTCACATATGTCAATAAGAAACTGATCAATTGTAGTCCTAAACATCAATGGGAAGATTCAAGTAAACAATACCAAATAAAATCATTTTGACCTTTCGTAAGTGACCTTAACAATTCATACCATAACTGATGTAAAAGTTCACTATGTTCAACAAGTTTAATTCCCTAGCATGTCTTATATTGACATTAATAAAATTTATTGTGGACTTATAACTGTAGAATTTAATGACGAAGTTACTAAAAACAATTATTTGCTGAAATATTCTTTGTTTTCGATTATAGATAATCGTTGTGAGTATAAAAGACAAATCACGGAATCATTCACATATATGTCAATGAAAAGATAAAAGCAAACTTGACGTATTCGGATCATAATTATTCTTTGATTTAAAAAAAATCGTTACTGACTAGTTGTAACTATACGAAAATCTTTAACAAATTACATGACTCTTTTCATTATAACTGAGTTCAGTCGAATTAGCGTTTAATAAATTAAATTATATTATCTGTATTCTTAAATCCTTGTATAAGAACAATAATTACGTTATCCTTTTTGATTGGAAATATTTAAACTATTCCATCTGTCTAACGCTAAATAATTGTGGTCAGTAATAAATTTAGAATGATTCATAAGTAGTTGTATATGACCGTGTACATTAAAAAAATATGTATTTTTTCCTTTTTTTAACTGTTCCCCAGAAGAACTTATCATTGACATGGATTCCGTTGAATATCAAGACCCCTGTTTGTGTAAATCCGTCAAAAAATCCTTCGTGAGTTTATCAAAACCTGTTAAATACACATATGTCTTTGTGTTATTTCAAATTCTAACTGGCGCCACTGCCAATTTATTAATATATAAACAACGATAGACTATTCTAACGTCTGATTACTAATGTTGAAACAGACGTCAAATAGGCATCTATAAATTTATTTAATAATGATCAAAATAAAAAAGCCTGTGGGTGTAAATTCAAATAAAGTATTTTCACATAATCATGAAATATTTTAATTTATTAAAGCATAAGCAGAAAGCATATTAATGAAACATATTAAGGATGAAATAAAAATCAAAAGTTCTCTACAGCTGATGTTAAACTGAAGTGATCAAATAACTTTGTTGTTTTACACGTTTTCCTATTGATCGACTAAATTCCATCAGCTCTACAGATGAGAAGAAAACTGATTAGTTCTCATCCAATCGTAGACTATTATCCAGGTTTCTTTAGTTGCATGCCCATGTTACTGAATTCCTTTGCTCGCTTGAATACTGTTTGCTTCGTAAAAAAATATTTAAGACTACCTACTAATATAAAGTACGATAATGTTTACTTCTGCAAATGTTCCAAGGCAGTGAATATTAATTTAACCTTTGAAGCAGTTGATGATGGGTTATAGTTTTATATAAAGTAATGCAAGTAAACCAGTACATGACACAGCAACTCATCGTGTGACCTAAAAACATTTTTTGTGATGAATTGAGAAGGGGTAAAAATAAATCACCTTTTAAACAGAACCGTCATGGTTTGTCTGCTTAGAGATTTCCTTGAGTTAAAAATACGCCTTACAAGATTAAATAGTATAGAATGATATAAAGTTCTATTCCCGTACAAACATTTTTGTTTAATTTGAATAAAGAAGTCTGTTTGGCAACGTAAAACTTGTTACGGCATTTCACAACAGTAGTCAATAATTCCGTAAAATCACACTAATTTTGGTTTTGTCTTCTCTACGAATTTTCACTTTACAAGTTTCTCAGTTTACTTATTTTTGAAGTATTAAATCGATATTATTAGCTCATACCTGAACCTCAACTCTAATCGGAACATTACTTTAAAAAAATGATTCCATGGTATTACAATCTTGAGAACGTCAAAACACTATTTAAAGCCTACACCTGCTTTAATACACTACTATTACTACTATACTTACTACTGAAATTTAAATAAAGGCACAAGTACACCGTTTCTCATTCATAAGTATATGAATCTACACTTGTATACATAAGGAGAACTTAAAAGAATTAAGGTAGTTTAGGGAGTTACACATAAATACTCTGTTACACTCTAAATATTTAATCACTCTATAATCTTCTTGAAAAATGTTCTAATTATGTTTACTGATCACTAGTTAGTGTTAATTCATATTCATATTTTGTTAATCATAGTTGATTCATTAAAAGAAAGTAAACCAGTGTAATATTTAATATTTTCTAATTATTATGATTTACTTTATTTAATAGTTATCCTGAATTATGTTTATGTAATACACCATTAACTGAACATCATGAAATGACAAAAAATCCTCAATTTCTTAAAGCATTAAAAACTGGTAAAATGAAATATTATGATTTACCAACAAAAACATTTGGTGATATTGAATTACCTACTGGTGCATATTCTCCAAATGTAAGAAGAATTTATTTTACTTTACTTATTTGTATAAATAATCCGTAGAAAAAGTTTTTGATCATTGTAAACTTTGATGAATTTATTGTTTTAATTTGATGTTTCTGATTAGTCGGTGACATTTCAATGAATAGCTAAAAATATCTATATTCATTGAACAGTTAAGTCAACATCTTTAAAGACTATTTTGGATCCACTTGATGTTGTTTACTTGAATCTTTCCATTGATGTTTAGTAATATAATTGATCAGTTTCTTATTGGCATATGTGAATTGTGTGCGGACTGCATCGATACTGCTAAGCTGATCATTCACAGTCCTGAATAACAATAGGAAGATACAATTAAACAACATCAAGTGTACTTAGAACTTTACTCCATTGCACATACAAGTGGCTATCAGTAGCTAAGTGGATAACGCGATGGAGTTTGAAGTAAACAGTACTGGGACCGAGTCCCAGAGTGAACATCAACTCTGAGATGCAGGTACGTCCAGCTGACGAGTCCCAAATAGAAAGAAATGCGTGTCCTGGATTTCACTGCTAGCCACTATCCATATTTGATTATTCTGGATCGCAAGTAACAGTGTCAAACTTCATGGGAGAAATATGTTTATATATAATTATCGATCATCAATCATCAATATTATTTGGTAAACTTATGATGTAATTTAATTACTTTTTGAGTTAAAACGATTGATAAAAATACTAAACTTTAGATCGAATTCAGTTACATGAAATAAACTTAAAAATCATTTCACTATTTGAAAGCAGTAACTTCTTGATAAGTTTTTTTCTGTATGTACAATGAAAACCTGATGAACATTGACTTTGCTTAAATGGTAATGGATTTACCAAAAGAGAAATAATTCACTAGAATAATGATTTTTCGAAATATTTAGATTTCACGCAGCCATAACTTGCAGACAATCTGATATGTCTTGTGATTTGGATGCTACTTGTTGTATATGTTCGTCGCTGATTGTTGTGTCGCAAACAGTTATCACTTATACTCGGAACGAGGGACATCTGCGATTCCCACGACACGAGAGAAAAAACACAAGACTGGTATAAGTGAAGATTTATTAACCCTCAAAACACGACGACGATCCTAGTCAGAAATACATTCATTTATATATTGATTGTACACACAGTTTGATTAATAATTAAGATGAAATCACATATCTGAAAAATACTTAGAGTTATAACAAATCACAAACTGAGCATAGTTCATGTCAATGGAATACACGAATATCGCATATTACACAGAATAAAATATCATACGAGAAAAGAAAACAAACACTATATTCAGTAAGCATTACATTGAATCAAAACGGAAGTAATCTTGAACAAAACTCATAATGAGTAAATCAATCGAAAATTGACTTTTCTTTCCATCATATCACCTCCCCTTCGTTTTTTTGAAGACACAAGTTGAGACCCATCTTCAAATTTTCTGACTTTTTTCTCCCCCACGAAATCATGTTGGGTCCTCATATTCACGAGTTACAGTTAGTGTGACTCTACTTAAAACACATTTCCCGCATTGAATAGAGAGTTCACTAGAACTGACTAGATGGTGAGGATCAACGACACTTGATATGAGGTCATTAAGGTTTAATTCTTCTGAAACACTTTCATCAAATTTCTTGAAAACTTCATTGATAAATAGTGGATCACTAGAATAATCAGCATCTATCGAGATTTTATTAGGTTCTTGATCATCATTTGACACATCCGACATATTTTTCTCATTTTTGTACGAAATTTGATCAAGAACATGTGATTCGTTAAGATAACGCATATTTGGTAAAACAACTAGGGAACTGCGATAAGTACATTCATCAGATACTTTTGTCGTAGAATGATGAGCTCCATTTGATGCAACTGTCTTCATTATGCTGCTTGATTCATTTTCTGTTTCTTCGTGGGTGGGTACTGCAACAATTTCATGTGCGTTTAAAAAGAAATCGTTCTTCTGTGAGCTGGAAAAGTCAGTATTTGTACATTGTGTTTCGGGAACAAAGGGATTTGAACCTACTACAGAGTATGTCTCTAAAAAGGACGTTTCTGGACCACTGGGCGGATCATAAATGACTGCTACTGCTTCGCTTAAATTAATGCTTGTCAAGGATACATAGAGGCTTTCATTGACACATTCATACATTCTGAAATCATTTTCCAGCTCTGTACGCAATTTAGAAACTAGTTCATTAACTCCCGTCACATCTCTAACGCATGGATGATTCAGCTGCTGTGTATGTAATTTGTCTATAAATTCCAACTGATTCTTCTTAAAACGCTGCTGTTGTGGCTGAAACAGCAACTGTAATTGATCGAAAGGGAGAGAAATTTTTCGTTTCTGTATCAATCAGCAAGGTAATAGGAAAATAAAACCAGATGTCATAGAACGTCGGATCGGAAACGTACTGTACCTAGTCCAGAGAAATGTCGAAACATGCATAAGACACATAAATCAGTAGTTTGATGGTAAAAGTTAACTGTTCCTGATCTTTCATTTACATTAAATGATGAATATTCTCCCGAACTCTTGGTTACAAAATTAGATATTATGTGTATAAAGTTTATTATTATTGTCTGTTTGACATAGTTTTATAAATTTTTTTCAAACAACGTAAAAATCGTTATTTTAATGTAAATACATCCTTCTGACGTACCATCACAGATGCATTCATACAATTTCTCGAGAACTAATGGTTAGTGGAATTCCACTTATCGTAAACGCAAATTTCGGAACTAGTTAGTAGTGATCTGCTTATCATAAGAACCGCTAACTAGAAGGTTACCTGTTACCTCATTATTGCTTTAAAAATTAGGTAGCGGTGTTTGATCTCTGATATACAAGTTCCAATTAAAGGCGACAAACTATATCTATTAACATACTCTTTCTAGTGTTGCCAAGTATATTTTGCTGTATACAGAATTCTATGATATTTTAAAGTTATGTCTCCTCTGAGCTTACCAAAGACACTGGTTTCTATCGTTAGTCCAAACCAGAAGTCATCAAATAAAAATCGTGTGTTTTACTTAATGGTACCATATATTTTTATCAAATAAAATACCAGTTTAGCTCGAAGTATGGATGGCTCATATTGCTATTACCAACTAAAGAAATATTTTCTTAGACATAACATTGAAATCCCGATAATTCTAGTGATGCAACTTTTACTTGGTAAGAAGATTATCTCAACTATTTTACAACTTCACCTTCTTCATCACTGAGATGGATGTATATCAAATGCACTGGGCTAAAAAAAGCAAAGTTATCTGTTCCTCTTGTTTTTGGTCGTCGAATGATAAGACATCAGGTTACACTTCATTCCAATATTATGTTAAATTTTTAAGTTTTCTACTTAGATGCTACTTATGTTGACTGATATAAGTAGCGTGTAGCACCAATTAGAAATGGAATGTCTGTCAGTGAATGATTGAGAAGGTTGGATTGAAGAGGACAGAAATGTAAACAGAGAGCAATTTTAATAAGAACAAAATTGAAAAACTCACTGAGCATGTGAAGGAAAACTGAAGGGAGATTTGCGAATGTATTTAACGAATTGTTTTCATATTTCGTTAAAGTACTCTGTAATAATGCATTAAATGTTATGTTGATGATCCCCAATAAGTCTTCGTTCACTACGGTTTCACAGGGTAATCACTGAGATCAATTATGACCAATGTCATAAGTATTGAAGGAGATGTAAAGGCTTTGTGAAGTGTGTAATTAAAATATCATAACAAAATACTCATATCCAATTAATACGTAAATAAAATGGAACCCATATCACATCGCAGTGTTGATATAACTCAATTTTTGCCTCTTTTTGCCTATAATACAAAAAAGAAATTATTTTCCATTGAAATTTAATTATTTTCATATAACATTTATTAAAATCTTATTTATTGATTATTGAAAGAATAAGAAATTATGATTTCGGTAATTCAACTGTTATACTCATGTAAACAAGATTTATCAGTATAGGGGTTGTGGAGATTATTAAGTTTTTGATTAAGATCATGAACCGATTGGTGTTAGACCACCGTTGGAAACCTGGAGTTACTGGACAGCCGTTTCGTCCTATTTTAAGACTCCTCAGCGGCGCGCGATTTCATAGATTGGTTGATGTTAGACACTAACACCAACGGATGCCGGCCCACTGGCACAATAGGTTAAGCGTTCGTGCGCAAGGCTGAAGGCCCTGAGATCGAATCCCGCAAGGCGGGATCGTGGATGCACACTTCTAAGGAGTTCCGAGATAGAACGAAACGGCCGTCCAGTACTACCAGGTTTCCAACGATGGTCTAACATGAATCGGTTCATGATCTTAAACATGATTTATTCGAATAATCATATTGAACAAATTATTGAGAATTAATAAAATCTGTTGAATATTTAACTACGTTTATTTCATTATTTTTTTAAAATATTTTCCGTAAATAGTTCATCCGAGTTTCCGACCAAACAGATCCAGAACTTATGATGCAAATTTTTACTAAAATTTGGAATTTATCACGTCCACAATTAGTATTGAGCTTCTATGGAGATTATACTGATTCTAAAGTTATTCGTGAAAAAATACGACGATTAATTTGGAAAGCTAGTGAATCCACAAGTAAGAAATGAAATGATTGTATTTAAAATATTCTTTCTAAGGATATTCAGCTTACTACGTCACTTTTCTTTTAAAGCAAAATAAAAATGAAATCCATTGAATAATAAACATGTTGTAGATAACTTAAAGCTTATTTCATTTTATTCACATCGCTAATCGAATGTGAACAGAAAAAATCAAAGAAGAAAAAGGAGATTCTGTTTATTTCATTGGTGTTCATCAACTTCAACCTATCTTAAAAGAACAGCTATTTTGTAGAATCTCAAAATAAACTCCGTATATAGGATCATATTATGTCCAATATAATGTTTCCATAGTAATCCATTAAAGTATAATGGTTTAATTTCATTTACTTAACTTAGAAATATGACTCTTTTTAAAGATATTTAATAACTGACATTGTGGAAACCAAGTTAAATTATGATAATATTGTCCAGAGTTTTTCAATGAACTGATATCAGGTGACAGACTGATCAATCTATTGAACAAAAGACATGTCTCATAAAACAGATTGAATTTTCTTTGAATGATAATACAAAACCTCAGGTCTTGATGTAAATATGATGCTGTCCAGTTCGTGGTTTACCATAAAGACTTCAGGGAATATTCAATATATCATGTTCATCGTTGAATTTTATATATTACAATCAACTTCATTACTGTCTTTCCTAATATCAAATGTTACGGCAGTTTTCTGTATGTTTGATTAATTTCTTTTAAAACATTACTTTTTTATTTACATGAATGACTAAAGGAAAACATAACTTAGGAATTAACGTTAAGAAATAACATTAAAACCATAACTTACCTGAGTATTCACTATTTCTAGGCAGAAATTACGGCCAGGAATACTAAGTTTTCCACATTCATAACGAAAGTTTACCGTTTGTAAACAGTTTTGGGATATAAGTTTATATTTTAATAATTATTTTCCTCCACAATCAATTTTCCTCTAGCACTACATTTTAACCAGAAATGTTGCCATTCCAAACTTCAAAGCCTTCAATCACTAATTATTGGAATACTTTTATCTAACATATCACAATCTTAGTATATGGTTATTTTGATAACTTGTTGTGGAAGTATGTGCTCCATGAATGCTCCTCTAATTATTTTGTTAACTGAATTCTACGTCAAGAAATACTGAACCATTAGCATATTTTAACGGATGACTTAGGTTGACGCAACTGAATTTATGTTGCAATTTAACTTCAGAACCGAAATTGCAAATAAACGTACATATTCTGCAATCGGTCAGCTAACAAATAGTCTAATTTGCACCAATTATCTTCAAGATAACTTACTGACTATATATGAAGACATGCATTGTAATTTTAATTCCATTTCTTGGTACTAATTAAATCTTTGTGGCTGACCAGTCACACAGTTGTAAGATACACCCTCAGTTACCACCTCACTTAGTGAGAAGTTCAAAAACTGGATCAGCGAATAAGATAACTCGAAATTTTTCTCAGAGTTCATTAAACATTTGTTGTCACTTGTGATCAGAATACAACATCTGTTCAACTTATAATAAATAGTGATATTTCGGATTTTTATAAACGAGTTTCCCAATTTTGACGTTTTTATAATTGATAAGTATCAATACAGTCAGCAATAGCTAATGGTTCTGAAAAATTTATAGTTTCGAATCATCCTAGATCAATAAGTACGATTGACATATTTTAATATTTCAATGTAAGTAATTCCTACGATGGTGAGATTTCCCCTATGAGAAACGATAAAGCCGAATAGCCTATATTAAAGCAATGTTGAGATTAATCCTTGCTATTCAGGTATACATTCATCCTGAAAAATAATTTTAAGTGTTCTATGGAAAATAAAAATGTATTCAAATGTTCATTCAAATTATATTCAGAAACATGGGTTATCACTGATGGAACCAAACGTGGTATATCAGGAATAGCTAGTGGTGCCGTAAAGGATTTTATTCAAGCTTATGGAGAAGGTCAAGTTGAAGCTATTGGAATAGTACCTTGGAAATTTATATCAGACAACAAAATATTTGTACCTGACGATTATTCCGTAAGTTAAATATAGAATTGGAATATTGTTGTTCTATTGAAGAATACAAATAGTGGTTCTAGTTTTTATTGGGTTCAGACTGAAAACAATTAACAGTGGAAATGTCAAATGTATACATGAAAAATTTTGGTGATAATGCATGTTTTGACACAAAAATAGCTAAAATGGAAAGGAAAATTGGACAGAATAGTGGCATTTCTTATAACAGATAATCGAAACCTTTACCATTTTGAAACATGGCAACAGTAAAATGAGTAAAAGATTTCATTTGAGATCATGGCCTCGAATAAGGAATTGAAATCCGCGCTAAGTTGTTACAAAGTATGCATTCACAGGGGGTTTTAGGAATAATTTTTAAGTAACTTCAAAATTGTTATATGAGAAATGACAAGACGTTATTGCTAATTTCTTGAAAGAACTAGCCGTAACATGGCCTACGACATTTACATGCGTTCAAAATCAATCGTTTTTACTTTTAACCCATTCTGGTAATTATCAATTCATTTTTAATAATAAGGCTGGTATCAAAACCTGTTGTTCGTTCATATCACTCCATTTTCGTATTTCTGTAGTATTTCGTAATATTACTTTTATTCGCTTTAGCTTTCAGTAAATTAACATAAAGTGCTTGAATAAGTATGTTACTCTTATGTTTAAAATGTACCATGGAAATACATCAAGCCGTTTGGATCGACATTGTCCTTCCATCATAATATCTTAATTTAAGTTGGAGAATAATCATATTAAATAAGATTTAGTTTGAACAGTCAGTGACATAGATGGTGGTCGGTAGTGGGATCCAAGTCGCGTGTTTCTTCCCAAACAGAATGAAACAGGCGTCCTGGATTCCACTGCCAGCTACCATCCATATTTGCTTAAATGCTTGTAACTTACTGGCAGTACTAGGGCGATCCAACAGGATGTACATATGTTAAAAGAGACTGATTAATTGCAGTCCTAAACATCTATGAGAAGATTCGAACAATCAATAAATATGGACTAAAATGTTATTGACATGGTTTGAAAAACACCAACAAATTTCTAAATGGCACCTCATGACAGGAAGTACCCGCAGTAAAAATAATAAGTGAAAGCAGATGACTTCATATCAGATCAATGTTTGTTCTGTTCCAAACATATATTTTGATGACACAATATTTGACGAATTTCAAATGCACTAATCATACTACTGAATCATATCAAAGTAGTAATTGTGTAAAATTATGTCTTGCAAAATTTCGATATTTGTTAAACACTGTATTTTTTTCTTAGGGATTTTCCTCAGCAATATTCTCTTCGACTGCAGCAGATGACAACAAACATTTTGTTTTGGATCCGAATCTCACTCAATACATTTTTGTAGATACAGCCAAACAACTTATACCCCATTATGAATATAACTTTAGGGCTTCAATAGAATTAATCCTCAAAAAGTGGAAGTTAATTCCAGATGATTCACCACAAATCTTGGCAGAAGGTAACTTTTTATTTTTGTTTTGTACAAACAAAAAAATGAAGTTAATTTCCAGTAAATTATTCCGTCTATACTGTTTACCATACTATATGTATATAATTAAAAAAGTGTGGGCTGTTTTCACTATGTTTTACCATAAACCCGCATATTTTTGCAAAATCACTATAAATCTAAGAAAAATGTATAACTGATAAAGATTTTAATGCTTTTGACCATTGATCTGATAGTTCGACAATTAAAAAATTGCTTTCTGTACTAACGATTTTCTAGGAGGAAGTAAATTTCAATCAAACGACTTGAAAACAATCAGATCTAAATTGATTTATTATTTTACAAATCTAATTTAGTTAAGTAAAATGACTATCGTTTTAACACTTAATGAAATGAATTGAAAAAACCATTGTAAAGCAGATTGGATTGGTCGGCTAGTTCTCCAGTGTAATCAATGAATTTTCCCTACTTTTCATATTATCAATGGAAACAAAGTACAATTGAGATCCAGATCAATAAATAAGTTGAATAATTTTCAGGGGTTACATTAGAATATAGTTAACTGGAAATGTTACCAAATAGTCGTAGTTTGATTTAGAATGATATAAATTTGACCAATTATAAATACGGACTGACAGGGCTATTAGAATTCCAACAGAATCTTTTTCATCTGTACATATCATCAAGGCTTATCATCTATATTGAAGAGATTCAATAATTTTGTCGGAGATAAATCTTCAGCAATCTATATTTCAACTAAAGATCAAACCATTGAAGTTTTCATTCATTAACTTACTTTTAAAACTGATTTATATACTAATCAACCTTTGAGTACTTCATGACATTATGGTTCTTGTTCCCTAACCTAAATGAATCCGGCTGATTAAACAAAAGAATTAAGTATTAGGCTAACCGACTTAATATAGATGGATTCTTTCATTTCACCCTATCATTTCAGTAATATGAAAACACTTATACTCCATTACTTTATTATATTTAATCTCTTTTTTTATAGCTCCAATCCAATTATGTGCATTTCTTTCCGGTGGAGATGAATCAACACTTAAAGCAATATATGGAACAATGCAAAATACGATTCCTGTTGTACTTCTCAAAGTGAGTGAATGATGTTAAGAAATAAACTATATCTAAACCAAATATTTCTTTTTAAACTATTCATTTTATGAATAAATACTGATGGTAATATTTTCTGGTGAATGTGTAAGAAATTAGACTTTTTTTGTATAGTTTTGGTTTATTATACGGTAAAAAAACGTTTCACTAAAAAGTACTTCTAAGATTATGAATTTTTAAATGTACATTTATGGTTTATTAGTCATTATATATTTTTTTCACTGTTTTATTTCCACAGGAAACAGGCAGGTTAGCAGATATTATAATTCAGTGTATTGAAGACACTGAACTTGGGTCTAAAGCAACATATAAAAAATCAATCAGTGAAGGGTCAACTGGAACGGAAACATTTCAATTATCACCTGGAAAGTATGTTTTCATTTTCAAAAGAATTCATTACACATAAGAAATAAGATGTAATTTGAAATTTCATTTCATCAAACTAGTTTGTTTTTAAAGTTACTAACTGTCATTAAAGAAAAACTTTAAAAGAGTTGTTGTGCTATGAATGAAATCAACTTTGAGACAATAAGCAAGTTATATCACATAGTAATATAATAAATTTCAATTACCTATTTTATTCCAAAGAAATCTTCATATATTTATATTTCTAAATTCACATTTTCTGATTCAAGTTATTAAGAGTAGTTAATCATCAATACATTCGATTACTAGTTTTTTAATGTACTGTCATGAGTTTCAAGTTTCATAGGGACTACTGTGACTAGAACACTGTTTTCATGATATCCTACTGTGTAACTGTGTCTTAATCTTGTAACAGCCAAATTTAGTTTGAATAATGAAAGAAAAAAGTCAATACTTGAAAATTTCACTTTCTACTAATAAGATTATCAATGCCACTGTGATAACCAAGCAAATAATCCATAAACAGTGATTAGTTATATCTATCGTTTGTATCAATAGCAAAACTTAAAAATTATAAATCATTACAATTGTCATGTTTAAAGAACATTTTGTGGTTTGTCCTGTATTAGTTATATTTGAGTTTTTGATAAATGAACTAAAGGTTTTTTTGAAAATTATTTGCAAGGTGAAACATACCTAGTAAAATTAACCTGCAACATTTTTTAGTTCACTTAAATAGAAAATGTATGTTTTAGTCTAGTGAACAATCAATAAATGACATTTAGGTTTTCAATGGTTATCTAATTTAGATTAACTCATGAATTTAACTGTTAAAGTTACTACAATCTCCACAAATCTCCATTCTGATAATAATCATTTGTTCACTAGTGACTGGCCTTAAAATGTATTATCTGGGATTATAATGAGAGATCGTGACCAATGGAGTGTAATCAGCGTCGGGTAGAGACAGGTATTTACCTTATACAATGGATGAAGGTTGCGCAAGATCATGGATGGATTGAAGTTAGACATTAACACCGTTGAATGCCGGCTCAATAGTCTAGAGGTTAAGCGTTCACGCGTAAGACAGGAGATCCCGGGAACAAGTGTCGCGTTTGGCGTCGTAGGTGCGTATTTCTGAATAGTCCCATACTAATACGAAACAGCCGTTCAATATTTCGAGGTTTTGAATGGTGATCTAGCTTAGATTGACTCATGTATTCAATTATTAAAATTACTACTATTTCCACAAATCCCCATCTTGAAAACAATATTTAGTATGATAGAAAATGTAGGATGATTCAGAAGAACGTGTAGACAGATAATGTTCTCTTTCTTTTATAAACTCGCTTCTCTCTTGAAGAACAATAAACATAGTATTAAGAGTTTATTAATCTATATGCTACTGAAAAGCACTATCATAATTAGACAGGTATTTCACTGTTTAACGAGGTTTTACAACAAATTAACACCAGTCAATACCAACAAGGAAGTCTTTGTACTGAAATTAAATAAAAATGTTCATTTATGATTATATAATGATGTTAGATTCATTACCTTTAGATTGTGCAACGAATATAAGACCTATAAAATAGTGTTTAATAGAGATCCACAATTCACATATTTTTGATAGTTTCCTAGTCACGGCCGTTAAGTGTTGATAAAAATCTTCAAACAGAACAAAAACTTTGTAAATCCCCGACTTGTCCGAATATAATGTCTTCCAATGTTTTGAATCAATCTATTTGTGCTATAATTATCAGAAAATTTATATTTATTTAATAAGTAGTATGATGAATTTCGCTGTCAGCACTAGATTAGTAAACTTGAAGTATAATCCAAAGAAAAGTTCTCATAAAAGTATCTGTTTATTGTTTATAAACACTTCACTAAAACTCCCGAACAGAAGTTTGATATTTTCCCGAGACTTACTGAAACTTCTAGGTCACTATTGTTGCCAATGGGCATTTATCACCATAAATTTTCCTGTTTTAGATTTCTTTTATCTAACTACCTATAACGACTAAGTTTATGTACCTACGTGTCTTTATACAATTTTTACGACCAATCGCATATCTACTAAATAAAATATTCATGAAATACCATTATTGTTATTAATATACTTTTTTTCTCTTGTTCAGTTTGCTTTTTGGAGAGATGAAAGGCAATTGATATAAAATTCATACATTGAATACATATTCGATTATAAAATGGGTTGTCAAGGGATTAAGTTTAGCCGCCGAATATAAAACTAAAACTAATCTTTGTTAAAAAACATTTTACACGTAGACTTTTTTACATGAATACAAAACATGAATATTGATGAAATCTGATAAATATTTTATGCTGATAATTCTTTACTATGAGTAAACATATGGTATTGAACAGAGCGAGCATTATTATTATTATTATTATTCATTAGTATTGTGATGTGTGCTACTTGTATTGACATAAGTAGTATATGATGTTAGTCATGAAAAGAAGGTCTGGAAGCAGAAAGACAAGAGGATCGAACAGTAAAGAATCAAAACAGAATGCAGTTTGCATGAAAATGCAAGGACAGTGAAGTCTGAGTCATTTTGAGATAATTGGTGGACATTTTCCATATGAGGCATTTATTTTATTATTGTTAGATTTCATTAACAAGTCCTGTAATTTTGTGTAGAATACATCCGATTGTCCATACCTGCGTTCTGTTCACTACAGTATGTCAGACTATAATTTCTGGATGAATCAATCAGATTTACTATACCAGGTCTTGAATTTTGAAGAGAAATTAGTTCATTCACTTGATCGAATAGAGTTTTGGCATTATAGCTGATGTCGGTTCGTGATAAAAACCCTGAATCTAATCCCTAACCTTAAATATCAATTGTAAATATTAATCCTAATTCCTAAAACTGATTTATAACCCACATTTAACCGTAGTATGTAGGTGGACATTCTCAAGATCTTTTTAGAGTTGCTCAAAGTTCATGCATAAATTATAGTTTCACCCAATAGTGATTTATTCTAATGATTCTTAGACTAATTAACAATATTTCTCACAAAATTATCACAAGTCATTTAGTTCTCATTAAAACTTTCTAAGTCTATCAATATTTCTCCCAATAAAATTGCATTTCATTTCAATATGTATTTATTATTGTAGTATTAAACAAACTATGGAATATTATTGGGATCATATTACACATCCAGAATTATCTGTATTAATGATTCAAGAAATTTTAGAGAAAACATATTTATTTAGTATTTGTGAAGCAGAAGGTGAAGATGAACACGGTGAATTAGATTATCATCTTTTATCTTTAATAATGAATCCTTGTGAGTTTCTTCTTTAATTAATGTTAAATATTCCATGAATAATTTAAATTATAAGCCGTGTGAATATTTCAGCTAGATACAGAGTATTAATATCTGAATATTTCGGGATTTGTAATAATAACTCATCTTTTTATCCCTAAGTATTTCTCAAAAAATTAACAGACAAATATTTCTTATATTGCGCGTAACTACATAAGTTGAATATAAGTTTTACCCTATTATCGACTCATCATCTCGATCCCCCTTCATGCATATGGGTATTTTCACATGCATCCCTCGAATTTACCACTCACATATTTAAATGTTGGAGAGTTTTCACTCATAGTGATGTGAATTAATACGTAGATGATACTCAAAACTTAAATAATCTACTGTTAACCAGTAACTCAAAAGAAATCAACTTGGGAACGCAAGTAATATCAAGGACACCAGTATCTTAATGGAGATTGAAATATATTTAATCATAAAAAAGAATAAGTGTAAAATACGAACGCCTATGACTAGCAATAATAATTGCCGATAATTGTTGAATGAAAACGTATTTTCACTCTGTATAAAGTAGCCAATAGATTTATATGGAGGATTTATAGATCTACATCTTCATGTCATATAGTGAATGGGTGAATGATTTGTTTCGCAGAAATTTTACTGAGTTTGCGATGTTAGTTTGTTATGCTTATTACATATAGATTGGTAAATGATCTGATTATTAGACAGTTTATAGTCATACCAGGTTTTATAAGATATATTTTTGGTTGGTGATTTGTTGGATGTTAATCTATAATTTACTTATAAATGGAGTAACGTGAAAAACAAATGACACTGTCCATAATTCATCAACTAATTTTTAATTCCTTTAGAATGACAAAAGTGCTAGATCTAGTATTATTGAAAATCAATTTTTATTTAATTTAACTGACTGACATCAAAACTGGATAAGAAAATCATTTAGACAGATATTATGAACACTAGATCAATGAATAGTCATAACACTTAAAGCTAGTTTTCATTATAAATCGACGTAACTTGGTGAGCTAATTAAACCAAGTAATAATTAGGAGTTTTTTCTACACGATGGAATTACTGCATGGTCACAACTGTACATTTGATCATGATATAATTTAGAAAATAAATTAAGATTTAATTTCGGTAAATGTCCATTATAATGTAAGAATAGTTCAATGGTATCGATAGATAAGTGCTGTGATTTTACTCTAGTTTGATCTACTTAACTTTGAATCTACATCGCGTAAAATACAACCAATTTAGGAATACAAAGTCTGGATAGGAACGGTATTTTAGTAAAGCACCTGTACAAAAACCGATTATTATCTTTTAGTACCCAAGTAGATAATATATTTACTATAAAACTGTAGGTAATCAGTTCATGTCTTGATAAAATTACCACTATCATCTTGAGAGAGCTGTCTTACCAAGCTGTTTAAAATTCATTGACTCTAGAAATGTAAAACTACAGGAAGTCCAAAATTCTTGAAATTTTTCAGAGAATTTTTATTAAATATTATCTATGTTTTAGCCATAAAGGAGAATGAAAAGCCAGATGAGCTTAACGAAACCCTTCTTTCTATTGCTATTGCTCTAAATCGAAGTGATATTGCCAGGGATAAAGTATTTATGGAAGGAGTGAAGTGGGATGTAAGTAAAATATCGTTTAAGAATTTTGGATAATATCTTTTAATCTCACAAGTTATTGGCTTTATATCGTAGGTTTATTACCAATATGTTTAACTTTTGTGTGACAAGACAACTACAGTTTTATTACTTGTGTTAAATAATGTTCATAATGGCAGTACTATTTCACTATAATAAATTGATTTAATTTTTCCCTCAATTATCATTGCATTAGCTACATGTTTTACCTGAAAGCCTTATTTTTGTTTATCTTTACAGCAAATGTTGGATATCAAAACTCTGAACTTTCTATAATGTACTTACTCTTTGCAACGACAATCACTTATAATTATTTAACAAGTGAATACTCAAAATCAATTTAGTTACTATTCATTTAGATTATCTGAGAGGGACTGATTAGGTTGAAATCGACAACAAAACATTATCAGATTACTTTCGCCTTCTTTTTTGAAACTTTTCATTCAAAGTAGACCAAAGATATGACATTCAGTTACTAAGATGATTATGTCATCGTCTAGCCAATAGAAAATCGTTAATTAGGCTCATTTTTCATTCTTAAAACTCAATACAGAAACAAAACTCATTCGTTTAAGTTATTCCTATTTCTAGATTAACTCAAAGTACAACAGAATATACACACATATACCATTTTAATTAATAACACACTAATTTGAATGCAAACTGTTATAACTTGTGACCGCCGATTAGAGAGCAGTGACTTATCGATCGGAACAATGACGCGTAAACATATACGAGCAGTCTAGAGTCTGATTGGCCCTGCTTCCCGCCTAGCCCAGTCAGTTGAGTCCAGGACACAAGTCTCAGCCTCTGCGATATGAATCATGTATTTCAAACACATATCAATCAACCAGGCCACATTGTACCATAAAATAGAAAATAACATCTGTACAGTATTTGGCCAACAGGAAAATGACACGTGAAATAAATATTGACCAGTAGGGAAACGACACGTGAAGTAAATATTGAACAATGGGAAAATGATACCATTTCAAGTCCAAGGATAGCATTAGACTTATCAGGATAATTTTGAGGATATTTTTTCTGAATATCACAACACAAACTTATTCTCTTTATATGTTAAATTATAAATATCAATCATATGTATTGTATAACAGATAAACAAGTAAATATGAATGGGAAATTATCATACATAATTAACTACATGAAAAACAAACCATTATTTCCTTCGGTAGTAGAAACATTAGATGTTTAATTAGTCGAAAATTCATTATATAGTTACACTGTTCTACAGATAAATGTTAGTTATAGTTTTCTCTAGATTCTTAAAAGTATCTTATCTATTGTTGAGCAAACAACTGTTATACAGAGAGGAGTTTTGTGGATATTATAGTCATTTTAATAGTTGGATTCATGAGTCAATTAAAGTTAGAGGTAAAACGCTCGCGCGCGAGACTGATAGGGTTCGAATCTCGTGATGCGGGATCGTGGATATACACTGCTAAGGAGTCTCCCACACTATGACGAAACGGTTGTCCAGTGTTTCCAGGTTTTTCATAGTGGTCTAGCTTCAAATGACTTATGAATTCAACTAATAAAATTATTATACATCTAAATATAGAAAATCTCATTTGACAACATTTTGAAAAAATTTCAGTGTTTCATACATGTATTGATTTTTTGTCTACAACCAAATACTATGTATTTAAGATAACTTCTATGAACTAAAACACAATAATCTAATGTAAAGTAAATTCGGTACCGAATTTAAATGTTTATTCATATTGGTGATTTACTTCAGTTTACTTCCAATCCTTTTTTTAATATAAACTTCAACTGACATTTACATAAAAGATATGAAATAATTATTTATTTATTTTTTTATATTCTAGAATTCTAAATTAGTAAAACATATGAATGCATTATTATTATCAAACAAAGTACAATTCATTTGTGTATTTATTGAGAAAGGATTTTTATTATCTAATTATTTAACTGCGGAAAGACTTCAATTACTTTATACACAATCTATCCATTCAGATGTAAGTTGAAAATGTATCAAGGAAAATTTTAACTCAGTATGTTACAGGAAAGTTTCTATTATGAGTTATCTTATATATAATATCAAAACTAAAGTTATGTGGATGAAATCATAAGGATGTTTAAGATCTGGACAAATGGTTTCATTCAGTTGTTTCAAGGATATGATTTGTTTATTTAAATTATTTTAATTAATGTTACTTTCTGTAATATAGGTTCACCATAAGCCCAACCATATAGAATTTCTTATTCTTCACTAAAACATGAGTTTATTAAGGCATCTTTCTACCTCAGCTAAATATATCAAAAGTGTCTTAAAGTTATTAAGTATCGTTCCATGGAAAATGATGTTAAACGATTGAAACACTATCTCAACATTTGCACTCAAATATTGTCATTTGGAAAGATTAAAGTTTGACGGAAGAGGATTAGAAGTGAATAAATACACACGAGAAGTAATTTTTTTATCAGAAAGAAGTTTTGTGGAGGTTGTGGTAGTTTTTAATAGTTGAATTCATGAGTCATCTTAAGCTAGACCACCTTGGAAAAACTGGAAGCACTGTACGAAACGGCCGTCCAGTGATTTCAGATTTTTCAAGGTGGTCTAGCTTCAGACGGCTCATGAATTCAACTATTAAAAATTACTATAGGTATCAACTACACTGGTTGTTCATAAAAATTTAATACGTTTTAACATTGGATTGCTGATATCCGGGTATATTTGTAATGAACGAACATTCGAGTGGGGAAGACTAATTTATTTTTTAATGCATAATCACACAGTGGTTTAGTAAAATGTGAAAATCATACATCAAATAAATCATTTGCATATCTTTGAACTGTCTCTTACAAGCTTTATTGTTCGTTCATTCTTGTTGTTATCTTGATTGCTTTCACTCCCCTTCTCTCTTCTCATCATATTTATTTCAATATGGAAGTAATTGTAAATAAAATGACGAAATAAAGTATAGATTGGAACGAAACAGAGAGATATAGCGTTCAACAGATTATTATAAATAATTTTACAGAAATTTAATTTGACGTAGAACACTGAAACAAGTAGCTCATCATTTAAATAACTTACTACATTTGGATTAAGATTTTTGACGACTAAGACTGTATGTATTCGGTTCTAGTGGGCCCCTTCATTTGGACGTCAATTAGATCGGACGAAGTATTTTTAGATTGGCCTATTCAGAAGCTAGAACAGGCTGTGTGGGCTTAACATATCAATGGACACTACATGATCATAAAATAAATAGATTCAAACAATCCTCTGCTAACTACATATTATTTCACTTTAGTGTGTTGGCTCTTTTGATAATTATTATAATCGATACGTTAAATTATCTTTAAAAAAAGATACTGATAACTATCAATTTCATTGGAAGAAATGTCGATAATAATTCTTTTTTTGTCATACATTATTTAGCATCCAGGAGAAACTCTCATTAATGTGATTCGTGCATTTGTTAAGGTAAGATTTTCATTTATTATTACAATCCATAGTGTTTACTACAGGTATAACAGTACTTGAAGTTATATGATAAGCAAACTAATAGTGTTCAATTTAATGAACATACTAACTAAATATCACATTTTATTAACTTTAAATAACTAAATATCGAAAATTCTAATATTTCAAAGAATTACAGTTTATTGAAATGTAGCAATCACTTTGAAAATAAATTGCATCACCAGTTGATTTCTGTTAGAGGATACTGATTACTGAAAAATCTGAAAATGATTTTAAACAGTTGAGCAGTAATTTATTTATTTCTAATGATTTGTCAGTTTATTTTAATTCATTGTTTGATACTACTCACAATCATTCATAACAGACATATTGTATTTTATGTTTAACTACTCAATATAATAATATCGTGTTATTGTATAAGATAAACTTTCTATTCATAATATCAGCTAAGTATTCGATAAAAAGTAAATCGTGGATGCGCACTGCTGAGGAGTCCCACAATAGGACGAAACGGCCGTCCAGTGCTTCCAGGTTTTCACTTGTGATGATCTAACATCAATTGGTTCAAGATCTCAATCAAAAACTTAATAATCTCCACAACTCCTATACTAGTAAAAAGTAAATCGACAATAGTTAACTATCTTATTCATATGAAGCATAATCTGCCAGTCTTAAGTCTGAAATAAATGAAAACGTGTTAACATAATTGAAATATTACTTCAGACCTAGTTTGAATGCAAAAAAACAGGTTATCTACATGAAACTATACGTATAAATAACAATTCCTTTGTCATTTTCAAGGGTGATGATTAATTAAATGAGTTGTAGGCATTTATTAGCCTAGCATAAACAATGACAATCCCTAATAGTTTAAATAAGCAATACGTGAGTTCAAACAACAGTGAACTACATGACGTATGGTATTACTTACCTAGATCAGTCAGCTAATTAACGTTAAACTTAAAAGACTCAGTGACTACTTAATTTGAAACTTCCTTATAGAGACGAAGGTCAGTATAGTATATTAAAATAACCAGTTGCTTAAAGAGTATCCTATTTAGATTACATTATCTTTCATTGTGAATAAGTCAAGTTGAATTATTATTGTATACTTAGTATCCAAGACTACTTGATATATCCTTCTTTTAGCTTTCAACTTTTTGGATTTTGGTGTTAGAAATGAATTCCCTAATAAAATGATATCATAATTATAAAAAAATAGTTATGCGTGTGATGATTGAATTTTCAGTTAATAGAGGAGTTTATCCTTCTTACTTACTTTACTTACTTACGCCTGTTACTCCCAATAGAGCATAGGCCACCGACCAGCATTCTTCAATTCACTCTGTCCTGGGCATTCCTTTCCAGTTCTATCCAATTTTTGTTCATTTTTCTCATATCTGTCTCCATTTCTCGACGTAATGTGTTTTTTTAGCCTTCCTCTTTTCCTTTGACCTTGAGGATTCCTTGTGAGGGCTTGCTTGTGACGCAATTGGATGCTTTCCTCAATGTGTGTCCTATCCTTCTTAAAACATTCTATATATCCTCTCTAACTAGAAGAAGTTCTATATAATACGAAATAAGAAAGTTGAAGTTCATGTTACTGGTTTATTCATTTGATATAAAATTTCCTTTTTTTCTTGTAGATGAATAGAACATCCTAACTTTAACAAGTTTCATTTTATAAGTAATCATCATGTGCTCGTTACGGATACTTACTGAAGTTCTAGTGAGAAGCAGTGGCTAATGAAGTCCAGCCGGGTCTTCTGTGAGATAGTAATTCACTGTAGACAATAGTGGACTGTGACGCAATTCAATGAATTGATTGAAGTTAGACATTGACACCGTTGGATACCGGCTCAGTTGTTTAGAGTTTAGGCGTTCGCCCGCGTTGCTGTGGAGTCTCACACCAGGACGAAACAGCCGTTCAGTGCTTCCACGTTTTCCATGGTGGTCTAGCTTCAATCGATTCATGAATTTATATATTAAATAATCAAATGGAAGTAGTAAATATCTATTATGTTAGTGCAGTTGAACAGAACTATAAACTTAATTTATACAGTTCTCTTTATTATCTTAAGGAGAGCAAAAACAAAGGTTGGCGCAGAATGATATGAACTACAAACGTATTTACATTTCACTACGTTTTTAAAAAATGACTAAATTTAGACTTGACTTAAGTATTTTTTACCAAACTCTTCATAGATAATCAACTTTAATAGTCAGAAAAACAAAATATAATGAATAATAAAATTATTGTTTTGTAAATCATGCTTAAGAGCTCATAAACACATCTAAGATATAGGCAAAAGGTTTACATGAAGTAGTATTGACAAAAAAGTATAATCTTGTGGTTACAATTTAGAAAATCTTTATATACACAAATAAATAAACTCATAATTTGTTTTCTAAATTATATAGATTCCAGATCAGATTAGTCTTTATTTGATTGGTCGTGCATTGCGTGAACTTGTTGGTAGACAATATTGTCCAACTTATATGGCTCCTCACTTTTTCTTGATAACAACTGGAGGTAAGTAATAAATATTAGTATCTGTTGTTTGGTAGATATCTAGTTGTTTACAATACTTTGTGAATATTTTATTTATATGATATGTATCAGCTTAATTCCTTCTACAGATTATTTATATCATTTGTCTCCTTATGTATTTAAGTACAAAATAAACTTATTTTGATCGAGGAACATCAGTACTTGAATATTGTTTATCAGGAATTAAAATATTATTCAATATCTAGAGTATTTATGAATGAAATCGATATGATGACGATCAACAAATCGATAAAAATACAATCAGTTTGTTGTTTTTTAGTCATTTATAACTAGAAATTGCAACTAGCTGTTAAGAAAATAAGGATCAGTTTAAAGATACATTAAAAAATATATTCAAGTAAAAAGGGAATATCAGAAATATTAGTCAATATCAATACTACAAAGACTGCTAAATTGTTGTATTAGGAAGATATCACCTAATAAAATAAATTTCCTTTATAACAATAGGATGTATTCAGCAAATAAAGCAATCAAGTCGTTTTTAATTCTTTTCGCTAGTGGTGTATTTTTCTAGAGTACTTGGATCACCCAAACTGGTTTGAACAATTAGATGGATGGATACTGACACAAAAAACACAATTTACACTGATTAGTTCGCAATTGTTGTCAATACCATGTAGTTATTTACAGCTGTCAGGTTACAATTCAGCCACCAGACTTAAAAGACTTAATGTCTTAGTGATATGAATCTAAATTTTACGTTAGCTGAGACTCTCCGGTAGTGCATACCTGAAATCATAAAAGAAATGATTCTTTTGGTAGGATTCAAACTTCAAAGGGGTAAAATCCAGTCAATACTTAAAACTAAACAGAATAATAACAGCCACTGATAAGTAGTCAACTAGTGATTTAATATCTCGTTCACCGAGGTCAATCGTGAACTAAATCATTCAATAAAGTAATTTTAACTCAGTCCATAGATTGTACTGTTCCAGACTCCATGATGAAAATCAACTTCTAAAACTTTGCAGAAACACTATTTTCATAATTGTCAACTGGGGAAACCATTTACAGGGTTGTTATTAACCATCTAGTATGAAACATAATTTGAATTAGATAAATCAATGATTATTTACAGTAAACAAACAACTTTATAGACTAAAGATTAAATACTTTCTCAACCAGTGGCCGCATATCTGTATTGAAGTTTTATTCGCCAAAGACATTTTGCATTACTGAAATGGAAACTAGTAGTAAGAATGCTAATTATTTTATTAAATTTTCTTTAAATGTTTCAAGTTTTTTTACTTTAAATTTCAGCGCCAAAAGCACAAATATTTGAGAATCCTGCAACTGATTTATTTATTTGGGCTTTATTAACCGAACGAGCTACTTTAGCCGATTATTTCTGGACACAAGTCCAAGATCCACTTCCAGCAGCATTGTTTGCCGCTCTATTATTACGGCGTTTAGCAATGAATGCAACATCTTTAGTGACTAGAGAAGGAATGTTTCAATTTTCAAGGTATAATTAATAGTTTTTGAAAGCCACCAAATTTTAATTTCACTATTATGATTGATGTTCATAGTTTATCTGCTATTCAGAAAAAAAAGATGACCTTACACCACAGGTTAATATAATAAATTCTAACAACCATCACAATACACTTCATTCTGTAAGCTATTGTAAATTAATATAACTATGAAAGCGACAGTTGAATATAAAGGATTTTTTAACCTGATATATATTAATGCCTGTCAGCTTCAGTAAATGTAATAGCACGTGAAGAAGTTAATCATAGTGTGGTGTGTGTTACTTATATTGACATACATATTACATGGTGCTAGTCGTGAACAGAATGTCTGGGAGCAGAGAGACAAGAGGATCGAATAGTAAAGAATGGAAACAGGATGAAATTTGTATGAAACTGCAAGAACAATGAATTCTGAGTCATTTTGAGGCAATCGGTGGATATTTTGCATATTAAGCATTTACTTTATAATTGTTAGATTTTATTAACAAGTCCTGTAATTTTGTGTGGAATACATTCGATTGTCTCCAGCCGTGTTCTGTTCACTACAATAGCAGTTCCAATAGAACTAGGACATTTATGTTCAGAATGTACAATAAGATTGATTGTTTCGATCAATTGTTTTATCATATTATTCACATGTACTTTGAACTGTGTAGTGATAAAAAGTGACAATCGAAAATATAAAAATAGAGGATAAAGTTTAGAAAATTATGTTATTTGATAGTTCTCTATATGATTACTTTATTTTAAACGTTTTTTGCGAAACCGACAAAAAACAAAGGTTTATAAGTCTCAATAAATTTCAAAGTTAGATATAGGTATCATTATCAAGGTTTGACTTAATAATTTCGAATACATTAAGCATTGGGTAGGTTGTTATAAAAAATATATATACTTGTAATATCCCAATGAATAGAAAAATTGAATTTTCCGACGTTTCGTCACTCAATGTAAGCCGCTTCTTCAGAGAATAAATAACCAAATCAAAATTAATCCTAGTCTAAATAGTACAAACTGAACAACGCAAGAATATTATGTTCGATCAATCAAAAACAGATCTGAACAAGTCATTGTCGTGTCATTTCGGTCAACGTGGTTTATAAGCTTCATGTACGTAAATTTTTGTGTGTATGTGTGCAAGATCAGGGATGAAAAAATGTGACCATTGTGATTGTTCCTTTGTACAATTTAAACTTGGATTAATTTTGATTTGGCTATTTATTCTCTGAAGAAGTGGCCTACATTGAGTCACGAAACGTCAGAAAAGTTAATTTTTCTACTCATTGGGATATTACAAATATATTAATTTATTTATAAAAGTTAGACGTAGTTAGATATTTCTTAAGATGAAATTAGATAAGCTGGACATAGTCCTCTAACATCTCTATCCTTAATTCTTGAAAAAAATTATCAAAGTCGAATTTATTATATATACATAAAACTATTGAGATGGTGAAGATTTGTAGCTCAGGTGAATGATTTTGATGGAGTTTCGTTCTCTGAGCTGGATGGTTTGGTCGTGGAGCTTACATCGTTCTTCTGAGCGACATCATCAGAACAAAATTCAGATAGAAGTGGGGTGTTCGAATTTCTCCGTATGCGTTTCACAGCTTATTCTGTACACCTCAACGTTGACTGGTTCTTATTGACCTTAAATTTGTCATTGTTTACTCGTTTGTTTCGGTTGGGTCTCCCATTGGTTTGATTTTTGTTCCTATATTTGTGCATAATTTTCCTGATTGGTTGATAAATTGGGTCAATTTCAATGTGCTTGTTGAAGCCTGATGCTCAAGTCAATCAGCAATCAACAAGCACATTGAAATCGATCCAATTTATCAACCAATCAGGAAAATTATGCACAAATATAGGAACAAAAATCAAACCAATGGGAGACCCAACCGAAACAAACGAGTAAACAATGACAAATTTAAGGTCAATAAGAACCAGTCAACGTTGAGGTGTACAGAATAAGCTGTGAAACGCATACGGAGAAATTCGAACACCCCACTTCTATCTGAATTTTGTTCTGATGATGTCGCTCAGAAGAACGATGTAAGCTCCACGACCAAACCATCCAGCTCAGAGAAAAAAACTCCATCAAAAAGAAACCATTACAAATTTCTTCGCGCAACCAACATTTAATCATGTTCAAATATCAGTTCTATTCGTTTAATGTAAAATAAAGGTAAATATAATATAAAATGAAAGAAGGTAATGACAAATAGTATAAATTTATTTTTAAAAATGCTATGTCAAAAGGTGTAAAAAGTCTTACTAGCACCACGTCATTATATATGTAGCATAATTTTCTGTATATTTCCAGATACTTTTTCCACCACTGTAGACTATTAAAAGTATCTAGCAACAGAACAATTATTAGACATTGACACTGTTGTGTGCCGGTTCAGAAGTCTAAAGGTTAAGCGTTCGCGCGCAAGACTGAAGACCCTGGGTTCGAATCCCGGCGGGGCGGGGTCGTGGATGAGCACTGTTGAGTAGCCCCATACTAGGACAAAATAGCCATCCAGCGCTTCCAGGTTTTTAATGGTGGTTTAACATCAATTGGTTCATGATCTCAATCAAAAACTTAATAATATCCACAAGCCTATACTGACAATTGTCAAATACCTAATGCTTTTTATGTTTCATAAAATGTTATTCGTGATTGCTAATTAATGAGACTAATATCGCATTGATCTGGATAGATGAAAGTTTTATTTTATATTTGTTTAATATAAACCATGTGATCACAGCCTAGTAGATTAGAGAGATGTGAAATGAAAATTTTCAAACTTTAAACTTCGTTTTACGGAAAACGAGACCATTTTCTGAAACATCAATGAATGGCGGTTGCATAGTATCCCAAACCAATCGAAGTTAAAAATGTGAACCATCGGATTCTAATTCACGAACACTATGCTTGTTATTGGGTTTTGAGTCCCGAAAAGAGTCATAAATACTAACTACTGAGGTAGGTCTCACTAAGACAAAACAGCTATCCAATCCCCGCTCCGGTTATCAGTGCTTCTCGGTTTCATGACCCTATGTGATGAAATTTGGCTTCCAGTAGATGGTACTTTTCTACATATTTTATTTCTTTTTCAGATCTTTTGAATCAAAAGCTTATAGTTTGTTAACTGAATGTTATAATGACAATCAAAGTTTGTCATTTAAAACAATTATACTTGAAAGAAAATTATTTGGACGTATGTCATGTCTTATGCTAGCTGCAGAAGGCAAATCCATGAGTTTCATTTCACATCAGTGTTCTGAACAATATCTTGAACGTGTTTGGAATGGAATGATTGATCCAAGATCAGGAATGTTTCCGGTATAATATTCAAATGATTTTTTCACATAATGTCCCAGTTGATAATTTATAATATTATTCATCGTGATGAACAATTTATTGATGACTATTTTGCCATCAGTTGTAAAACCAGTGTATATTAGTGTAAGACTCTACTGATAAGATTATCGATAACTTTTTCCATCGGTTCATTCTTCTTTAAATGTTTGAATGTGAAAGAAGTATATAAAGAACAAGAACTAATAATTTATCTTCAAATTTAGCGCAAATTTGATCTAATTTTCGAGAATTATCTTAGGAATACTTTTTGACTTCAAAACAAAGTTCGTGAATTTAAATTGACAACTTGAAAATTAGGGTCCACCATATTTATGAAAAACTACAGCTATTATATTTATTTAATGTGACATACAGTTAACACTGATTTATAACATAGAGTAATCAGTAATTTACCAGCAACTAAACAAAGCCATGGGAGCATAATACTTAAAACTCATTCATGATAGGCTCAAGAATACTACATCTACACTTTTATGTTGTAAGTTATTTTTAGGTTTAAGTCACAATTAATTCAATGGTTATTCGCTAATAAACTGCGAATCTATACTAAACGGAGATTATTATTAATTTCAAATGATAAGACTCAGTTTTTGTCTGTGAAACTAACAAAACTGTTGGCTTCATTGTTATTTTTAACCCAACTTACAATTACTTCATGTTGTGAGTGAAATAAATAAGTATATACTGGCATTCAAAATTACGTTGATTCTGAAACTTTAGCTAGCAAATACATAGTTCATAACATCTCGTTTATTCTTTCTTCAGTTTATTGTAGCCTTAATAATTGGAATAACCCTACCTCCATTAGTACCCTTTTCGTTAAAATTCCAAGTCAAAGAAAATGAGGCTAATAAATTTGAAACGGATAAAAAATCTAGAAAGCCATCAGATAGGAAAATGTCTATAGATGTAAGTTTCTATTTAAATGATTAAACATGATAATTTTCACTTACATTTTACTTGATGATGCATAATTATGTGGATGATAACACATTATTCTGTAATGGGTGATGCTGATTCTAATTCTTTGTTAAGACAACATGGTCTAGTAATCTTTGAAAGAATTAAGTGAACAAATAACAGAATAAACTGTACGTAAAAACTTTTTTTTTTAGTTTTACAAGGTTATTTACGCATGCTTTCTACAACATAATTGTTTATTATTGCTAACTTAAGTGTAACGATAAGACTTCATAAAACTTGTTGGAGTTTCGTTCTCTGAACTGGACGGTTTAGCTTTTATTGTTCCTATGAATAACATTATCAGCACAAACTCCAGATAGAAGCGAATTATTCAAATTTCTCCACGTATAACTAAATGCCTATCCTGTAGACCCAATCCTGATTGATTATTGGTGAACTTTGTCGGATAAATTGGCACATCCCTTTCACTTTTACCCATATAAACATCAGCTAGTGATGAAACGATTTGTTATTTCTTCACTTATATCAATGCATGTGGACAACTGTGAACACACATCCAGCTGGAAAAATGCTGAAATCCTGAATAGAAGGAACGCCAAAAACACTAGAAAATTTCAAGAAGCTTGGGACTCAGGTCCATCAACAATCAGTAACACACATCGAAATCGATTTAATTGATCAACGAATCAGAAAATTAATGTTGACAAATATAGGATCAATAACCAGTTCAAAAGGAGAGAATCAAAATAAAGATACGGGCAATGACAAGTTAAGGGTCAGGGTTCGAGGTCGACAGGATAGGCTGTTAGTCATACGTGGAGAAATACCAGGAGCTTAAACTGATGATTTTATTCATAGGAACAACGAAAGCTTCTCGACTATACCATCAAGTTCAGAGAACGGGACTCTACCAAAATCATCCACCTTAGCTACAAATTTTCTCCAACATCTCAATTTCATAACATAAAAGAACTAGTCTAATTGTTGGGTAACATTTTATCCGATCAACGTTGAATAGAAGTTTTTCAGAAAAATCTGAAAAGTGAAGAGCCATGTATCATATTTATGAATTGAATGATTACCTACGCAGCTACTATGTTTTGTATAATTCCAGAAAATTTGAGAAACTCAAGGCCATCTCATATACTACAAATACCCTCGATTTTCTGTACATAAACTAGTCTTGAGTAAAGATTTTTATTTTCACACTTTGCGCCCTTTCTCTCGTGTTCAATTTGTCATGTAAGTTTAGCCTAGAGTTAGCAAAAGAGATTCAAGTGTTCAATTAGAAGACTTACTAGTAATAAAACTTAAAAACGCGATCCTGTTAGACAGTGAATGAGATATGGTATTTATCAGTAATCAAAGTACATCAATGATAAGCTTCAAGTTTTTCTAAAACTTCATGATGCTATGTTCCTACAGGACCATTTGTCTGATGAAGTTACACTAGAAGAATAGTATCATCATATTCTCTTTTGTATTTTTCAACCAGCACTAAATTAAACAACTTAAAACTGAATAAATTTTATAAGTTCATGATTTACTACACATATACCAAATATTTATTTGCTGATTCCTCTTAGATATATTCAGAAGCAACATATCACTTAAACTAAAGACCCACTAAGTTTTACAAACTGTAATTAAAGTTTACAAAAATGGTATTATTAAGGGATATAATGACGGTTTCTAGTTAAGAAGATGTTTGATTCTAATGTCATAAATGATCGCTAGTTAAATGAATGATAAAATTCAAGACTTATGAAAGTTGATTAATTAATTCATATGTTATTCAGAATATATTTCACTATGTGATTGATGATCAATAGAAATCGTTTATCAAAACTGTAACTTTTTATCCCTTGTTCACTTTAGGGCAAAAGACCGACATATGAAACCTATCAAACGTGAGTCCCATATAATTTATTTAATTATAGTTTTGTGAGTTGGACAACATTGCATTAAGATATGTACAAGATATCATTATGCTCTTACAGTAGATTCTGGATTGTAAGTTAACAAGCGCGAACTGCTCTAAACCAAAAGAAATCTAAAACATCTTTATGCTCATTTGAACTTGTTGTTTAGAATTGCGTTGATTTGATTTTTATTTTATGTTCATAAGATAAACTTAATTTTAGTGTCAACATTACCCATGATTAACTTCATTGTTAGACCATTCAGGTCGTTATTTTTTCGGTTTTAGACTGGAAATTAAACAATTTTAGCTATGATAATTTAGGGTTAATCAAAACGCACTGATGATTCAAATCCAATAATCTTTAACTTTAATAGAAATATTTATTAAACGCTTGTGAATTATATTTCCTAAACTGACTAACTATATCTTTTATTTACCTTTTTAGGGCCGATAATTCATTATCTATGTATTTTCAAAAGCTTCGAGGATTTTATTTATCACCTTGTGTACGATTTTCATATACAACAGTAAGAAACTTATTCATTATATATATATTCAAGTAATTTAAACGAAGATGTAGTGTCAGTGATCACCTTAATGTACGAAAATTTGTTATCTGTTGTTAGTGAAATGTAAAATAGAAGTGAAATATCACTGAAGATCTTTTTTTTGTAATATCAGTCATATTCAAAAAAATACGTCGGATATTTTTGATGGTTATCTTGTTCACACAAATTAACTTCTAGTCTCACCTAATGAGACTATGAAAGGATATTTTTATCGATTTTTATCTTGGGAATTGTTCATCTTACTAAGAATTAAAAATCTACGCTTCAACTATGACATTTATTGAAAACGATCTTGAGATATTTTCATAGTACAATTATGTCTGTTCCCATAATTTTCCATTCGAAGACAAATCTAAACTAATATTGATAAATTTCGATAATGCAACGAAAAAACGAAGTTTATCAGAATTACGTGATAGAGGCGACACAAATAGTGTCATGTTGAAATGGTGAATTAAATTAGCCAACAACCGGAAAATCTGTGCAGCCCAACTTGTCATTATTGAAAAGACAAGGTTTACGCTTCGTCAAAAGCCCAAACAGCAAGTAAGCGATTGTGTCTATGAATTTATATGTATGTGCGGAAACACGTACATAGGGAGGAACAGTTGTGATTTGCAATATAGGGTGGGTGAACACATACCAAAATGGCTGCAGAAACAAATAAATTCCAATGTTCAAATAAAATCACAGGATAGACAGACATCATCCTCCATTGCGAAACATTTGATTGAGACCGGTCATAAGCTTGACATCAAGTCATCATTCGTAGTGTTACACAAAGCCTTCAAGGACGTATACTAAGGTTTATTGAAGCCTTGGCTATACGGAAACTCAAAGCAATTCGTCCTTACCTTTAGCCTACCCTGGTAGTACTGATTTATTATCCAGAGTGGTAATCACATTGGTTTTGTGTACTTTATTATCATCAGAATGGGTTTTGTGGAGATTGTAGTAATCTCAGTAGTTGAGATCATGAGTCCATTTGAAGTTAGACCACCATGGAAAACCTGGAAGCACTGGACGACCATTTCGTCCTATTGTGATACTCCTCAGCAGTGTGAATCCACGACCCCGCCTCGCGGGGTTCAAAACCGGGACCCTTGTTACGGCTTACCTTTAATCTGTCTAGTTGACCTTTTAATGTTCATAGAAAAATGTTTATGTGTGATCAGATTGTTCGAAATCTATTGCGCAAATATATCACATAATTCTGATAAACTTCGTCTTCTTATTGCATTATCAAAGGGACTAATTGTTTTAATATTGATAACTTCAGAATTTCCGATAGGCATAAGATAATTTTCACTTGTTGTTCAATAGCTTTTGAACAAGATCTGATGATTAAATAATACTTTTTTTAAAATTATTTCATTTTATTCATGGTAGAACATCATCAATAAATAGTAATGTCTCATATTGAGTTGAAATTACCGGAGTATCTGTGTTAGTAAAAAGCACTTGATGATTAGTAATTTATAGTGATTTAAATTGAAGGATTCTCTCATTAGCTAAAAAAATATATATGTGCATATTGATTTGCCCTTCTAATAAAATATATGCAACATCTAAGTATGATATCAGATCTTACCAATTGGTCGACTTAATTATCCTAGAATTTAGTTAAATCATCCATCGAAGATACTTCCATTCATTTACGATTTGAATATATTTTCGGTTTGTAGGTGTCATTACCAAGGTTTGATTTGATAATTTCGAATAAATTGAGCATTGGGTTGATTGTTATAAATAAAAATAATATATTTGTGATATCCCAATGAATAGAAAATAGGAATAAATAACCAATTTGGTTATTTATTCTCTGAAGAAGTGACTTACACTAAGCCACGAAACGTCAGAAAAATCCTATTTTCTATTCATTGGGATATTACAAATATATTATTTTTATTTATATTTCCGGTTTGTTAGTAAGGTGACTAGATTAATTAATTCTGTTCCATTAATAACTGAATCACTTATTCATACATATAAAATAAAAATTATGAACATAAGATAAGGGCACTTTGGGAACCTAGTGTTATATATTTAGAATGTGTAATCAAGAATTACTGTACTTGGATTTTTCTATATTATTGATCATTCATATAACGTATCTGGCACTTAAATAAAATTAAAATTCTTTTCGGAACTTTAAGCCTACACAAACAATTCTGAAACTAACAATATTATCACCAAACCAATTGGTATACAAATACACGTCAATAAGAATAGATAAAGCAAATTCGTGAATCACAAATGAAAAAAATCATTATAAATCACCTAGTTCTAGGGGTTAAGTTGATTTCATTTAATCGATTGTGTGATTCATCTTACAAAACTATATATTTGATAAAAGTGTTAAGAGATCTTTAGAAGATAACTTAAGATACATACTAATTATAACAAAACCCGGATTCTAGATATATAAATAGGTTTCTACGATCACTAACAATCAAGATTAACAATATTCAGTCTATTTGGTTACATTACCGAATTGATGGAATCAATTAGTATCCCATTACATAGGAATTAACATTATTCAACAAACGACTGTTGTGTTATGAAAACACCTCGTATAGAGCGAACTTAAAACAAAAGAAATTCGTTTTGATATATTTGCATAAAGTTCTTTACTACCATTATTATTATGAACATAGGAAAAGTTATTTGTTATATTAAAATTAAAAAACGAAGTTCAGTGAAGGGATCTCTTTTCAACGAATGTATTATCAAGCTGTACAATCGTATATATGTGAAAAAAGTACTAATTCCGTGAGGAACTGTGAACACAATTAACCAAGATGACGTAATAGGAAGATTATAATACTAGATTACGTAATACGAATGATAACAATAGATTTAGTGAATATAATAAGATGTTTTTGTTATAATAATTAAAGGTCATAGAGATGTAAAAAATATGATATGATGAGTGTTTATGAATAAAATAATCAGAATATAAGACATAAGTGAAGGGGGAATGCAATAATAATAATAATAGGATAATCAAAATAATTAAGGCCAAGATAACGATAACGATAAGACGTACTTCTTTTGTACGCATAGTTCTGGTTTAAGCTCCTAGATGGTAAGAGCTTCGGTTATTTTTGAGAGTTGGATGCGAAGAAATCTGGGTAGATTTAAACGAATCATATAAACAACCTTAAAATCAGATTGTGGATCTGTAGAATGGTTACAGTCGATCAGGTATTCAAGTACAGAACTCCTAACTGCTTTCCTTTCACCCTTATAGAACCAAGCTGGGATATGTTCCCGTATCCGAGTTGTTATGTTCTATTAAATAGCAAACTTGTCTGGAACTTGTGTGGAACAATTTTTGAAAACAATTTACACAACAAATCATAAGAAATTCAATGAAGTATAAAATGATATGTAGAATTAGTTATAAATTATGATCTGCTTATAAATAAAGTTAATTTTTTTCCTCAACATGATTAATAATTCTCCTCTTTGTTGTTATTTCTTTTTTTTTAATCACAGATCTCCTACATTGCATTTTTGTGTTTTTTTACCTACGTTTTACTATTTTCTGTTGATCTACTCTTACCTGTGTTCTCATTTCAAAATATTCTTTTATATATGTGGGTGATCTCTTTTATTGCAGAACATATACGCCATGTGGGTTTACCTTATTTAATATTTTCTGTTCATTATTATCTGTAATTATCAGTACATTATATATTATTATGTAACTTAGTATCAAATGGTGAGTGTTTTTTCTGAAAATCAATTTCTTAGTAAATAATAAAGAGTGGAAGGGATAAAAATGCATGTTTAACGGGTGTACAATAAATGATAGATATTAGGGATAGTGGGAAACCATTTAAGCATTAAACTATTATGACAAATTTTACAGCATAGATAACAGAATAACATTATATTGAACTGTATTGTACTTAACTTGGCTTGCTGGACATCATAGTATATCTTAGTAATTTATGATAGATAATGAGAAAGAACGGTCAAATTAGATTGATTTTGATGAGGAGTAATATATAAGAAGAGTGAAACGAGGTGTTTAGAACAACAAACCCTTTTAAACATCTGTCAGAATAGGAGTCATAAAGTTCACTGTATACAATACTAGCCATTATCCTAAAAATTCAAGCTAAACCTTTAACTGTTTACTGCTCAACTTAAAAAAGTGTTTGATCGATTTCCAGATAATGTAATTTTTAGTTATAGACTTAAGTTATCATAAGCTATATGAATCTTTTATAGCGGTAGATTCAGTGCCGATTGTCCATGACGTGTAATTCTATGTCATATATATCATTAGATAATTAGATTTAATTTGAGATACGTGTAAATTATGTCTTAAGCTTTTTAAGATAAAGATAACATTGATTACTTTGAAAAAATGTCCATTAAAACTATCACAATGTTTATTATGACGTCCTACTTAAGAATTTATGCCTGACATTTTCTAATCTTAGGTTTATTTGAACTGGATAAGTATGAATGCCAACAGTACATACTCACCCACTAGTATTAGAAGTTTATTCATTATTACTATATATATATATATATATATATATATATATATATATATATATATATATATATATATATATATAGAGAGAGAGAGAGAGAGAGAGAGAGAGATTGGATAGACTAGCATAAACATTCAGTTGAAACGGTATGAACTATCTAGCCAAGTTCATTCATTTTGAAATCTCACATCAAAACTGGGTCTTAAAATAAACAACACCACAATATAATTTAAAAACAAAATATTTTACATAATCGATACAAAAATAAAATGTGAACAATCGATTTCATAACTTAGTATTCTAATGAATTACATTTAACAGTAATAAATTCTGAATAAGATAAAAACAGTAGAATAATGATAAGTTTGGAGTTGTCGAGATTGTTAAGTTTTTGATTAAAATCATGAATTAATCAGTGTTGGACCACTATTGAAAACCTGGAAGCACTGGACGGCCATTTCGTTTTATTATGGGACTCCGATATCCCGCACTTGGGATCTGAACCCAATACCTTCCGTTTCTCACGTGAACGCTTAACATCTAAACCACTGAGCAGCGATCCAACGGTGTTAATATCTAACTTCAACCAATCCACGAAATTGCGCGAGTATCTACCATTGTTTGAGGTAGATACCTGTCTCTACCTGACACGAATTATCTCCACTGGTCACGGTTTATCACCAGGATCTTGAAAATTACCTCACGATGCTAGTAATTAGGGAGCATATAGTAATTATCAGTATAGGGTTGTGGAGAATGCGCACAACTGAGAAGTCCCATAGTTGGACGAAACGGCCGTCCAGTGCATTCAAGTTTTCAACGAAAGTCTAACGTCGATCGTTTCATGATCTCAATCAAAAACATAAAATAATGATAACAGCTTTATTTGATACTTATAACGCGATGAAATAAAAAAAATTATCAGCATAACAAATATCTCACACACACAATCAAACTGTAATTATTTAAAGTACATTCTAAAAGTATTTTTAATAGTCAATATCTGATACCGACCGTCGTTCATTAAATTTTTATGGTCATTCCAATGTACTTGTGCCTCGTTTACTAAAGGGTATTTGAAGTGGTAAATGTACGAAGAACCGATAGGTAAAGTCTAATCATCGGATTTTTTTCCGACAGTCCCAACAAACCTGACATTGAAGGAAATAACTTATATTAGATTTTTTCGAGATCCATATATATATCGTCTACTTCTAGACAAGTTTTCAAGACTCTAAGCAAAAATTTATTTTGTGCTCTTCCTCTCTACTATTAATCAGGGAATGCTGGGTGAAGTCCCATTTAAAATATATTTAACAAAGCTTTGGAAATGTTTGGAAATTATGGCCATTATTATATTTATACTTGGCACAGCATTACAACTTTTAGTATTGACTGAAGAAGCGGAAAGATTATCATTTACACCAGTGAATCCAGTTAGTGCTATACAAGAAACTTTATTGCAGTTGGCAAGAATATTTTTTGGACTTTCATTGTGTATATTCTATCATCGTATCTTAGAATTATTTACAGTAAATATACGTTTAGGACCAATGGTTATTATGGTACAGTCTATGGTAAGTATCTTTTAATATGTTCAAAATAATTGAAATGGATTGTTTTGATAATTCATGACTTTGATCATTGTTTCCACCTCGGTTTTGAAATAATTAATCAATTATTCCGATGATAGAAATCCATATATATATATATATATATATATATATATATATATATATATATATATATATAACATTGATCTTAAGCTCTGAGACTTAGCATATCTTTTTATGAGTTATTCGAATGAAAAGCCGATTATTTGCTGTTATAACGGTTGGTTTTCCAACGTTTACGCTTATCGGACGTTAATTTACCTTAAACAAATATCTACACTAGATCCCTCCCAGTGTCTATTCTACAGGACGTCAACACAACTCATATCAAGAACACGTGATTAGCCTGACCACAACGTAAATATATTTCCATATTAGAAACCCGACACAATCCAACAACAATGAACAATCAATGATAATAATTATAAGGATAGGGAAATATATTACTCATCTGACACCTGTCAGACTATCTACATGTCCGACTAAGTAGACAACCTATCATTATCATTCTCGCCCACACATTACTTACCTGGATTTTCAGTATCACTTAAATAGAAAATCATCCTAGCTCTTCCTGCTGGATAGTATATTTTTAGTGTTTGCAAGATTTTGAAACAACATAAATTCTTTAAGTCTGTTTAGATCAGATGGGCTAAATATGATTTGTTTTCCCACACTCGTTAATCATAACCAAGGTCATTAATGCCTATGTTTAAACAAATAAACTGAAATTTCTCATTTTATTTTGCAGATTGTTCGTGATTTAATTCCATTTTTGGCTTTGTTCACTGTTGTCGTAGCTGGATTTGCAATATTACAATGGGTTACTGCTTATCAATCAACGGCTAGTTTAAATCCACTGACAAATTTATTCACTGTATTCAAAGCTTTACAATTGGCCTATTTCCAAGTGTTCGGTGAATATGAAATGAATACTTTATCTGGTGAAGGTAAGCACCCTAGAAAACACTTTGACAACTATGTATAAAATTGCTTTGCTTCAAAAACAATTCCATTAAAGAAAGTTTTGATATTTGTTCATGATGGGGTTCATATGTAATTTTCCTGTCTAAAGTTTGCTTTTGTAGACCTTAATATGATCTATGTATATTTATCACATGTATCTGAAACATTTAGTTTATTTGGAAACGTCTAAAAACAGAAGAAAGTATAATAAATTCAAACTGAAGAAATAGATTGTACGAATAGTTTAAAATATATTGTAGTGAACGAACACTCGGATGGTGACAATCAATATATTATTTAACATAAAATCGCAGAGTGAAAACGATGCATTTAATAGTTCATTTGCAAATCTTCTATCAATTGTCCTTTACATCCTTCATGATTCTTGCAATTCTCAATTTCCTTGTGTTGCCCTTTCTGTTTTCTTCAGTGAAATCTTCTCGACCTTCTTTTGACAGGCATTCAACTTCTGATGACGCTAAATACTACTTATGTCTGTCGATATAAGCATATATAGCATGCACCACAATATTACATCAAATAGTAAAGCGTTTTTACTTAGAATAAATTAATTAGGAAGATTTTTGGAAGCTAGAAGTAATTCACGAATGACTCTAGATATTCTTCACAGGAAAGTTTATGCAGACCACTTAAATACATTCTGAAGTCAACTTTTGACTACTGAAACAGTTTTATTGCATTTTCACACATACAGGTTTTTCTGAAAGGAGAATGATAAGCAAAAATGATGACATTCACAGAAAAATCGTTATATAAATTAGTAGATCGACTTAATCTATTTCGACAGATCACTTTCTAATTTCCTATACTGATTTATTTCTTTTGATTAGTTTTATTGGACTCCTGTAAAAATGATAAAATTAATTGTCCAGGAGGCTGGTCCACTTGGCTATCACCAATACTTCTTGGTGTATATGTAATACTTACTCAAGTTTTACTATTGAATCTTGTAATTGCTATGTTTGCGTAAGTTAATTATTTCATTTTTAAATCTGTCCAATGAAATATATACGCTTCTATATGATAAAAATAGCTAAGAATCTGTTGATGTGACGAATAGAAACTGTAATTATCTTGTGTTACAAAATTATAACAACTGAAAAACGACAGAAAACTGGAAAGCATCATAAATTTATTTAAATTTAGTAAATCATTCCCTAGGAAACCACACCTACAACCATATTCCATTAAGTTTGGAATAAATAACGGGTCGATAGAAATAAAAACAAAACAAAAAAACAAGAACAATCTAATTTCAACTTTACAAGCGATTAGTCTAGTTATCACTTTGAAGAAAAAAGCAAGTTCTGATCTCGATTCGACATGAAAATGTGAATGGGAATGATGAAAAATTTCAAACAACTATTTATTCTTCTTTGATTTTTGTTAGTTTCTTTTTCTAGACAACAATAATTCTTTTCTACATCTATTGATACATGTCCAGTAATATTAATAAAAATTCATTATAAAAATAATTAGCTTAGTATTGTACGAAATATATTCAAAAACATTCAAATTAGATGTACCTGTATTAACATAATAAGGGAGAATATAAATGATAGATGTATAAATGATAAGTAACATTTGCTAAGGATTTATTCTTTCTACTTTCTGACTCAATCACATGATAGATTTCCCTGAATCACCTGATATTTATGCACGATTGTGTTGATAAGATCTATGACATTTTCGTACATTATTAGCCATTTGTATAGCTGTATTTTGCCAATTGGATAGAATTGACAATCTATCAATATAAATAGAAGGAAAGACATATTACTCACCATTTTTACAACAATCTAAAGTAGGAATTCTGTAGGCACTTATGCCTTATTTTGTCATTGTCATTGATAATAAATTTAACTACAAATTATCTGTTATATTGAAGCCAAACGTCTAGTTGTTTCAAACGAAAGCAATCTATAATGACTAAGATGATAAGTTGATAGTTATTTTATCCTTATAAGGGGAAAATATATATGACTACAAATAACCAGGAATTATTTTACTATTCATTTGATTTTTAAAAAACTTCAAGGTTTCCAGTCAGTGCCCGGTGATTTATATGCTTTTTCTGAAATAATAATAGTTATATCATCCAAGAATTACATGTTTAGTTTCATTACTCATATTATTAATCACTTACGATAAATTGTAATTTAAATACAAGATTCTAGTTTGACTGGAACTGAAGTAAAATATTCCATTCATCTGTATGTGATTTGTCTGTTTAGCTGATAGAGTTGATTGATATTAGCAGCTGCGCATGTGGCTATTAAGTTATGTAATTCCTATAAAATCATGATTACAAATACTGATGAGTTTTCTGGGATGTTTTGAAATGATAATTTATATTTCTTTTCTAATATTTTATTAGCTCTACGTATATGAGAATTGAATCGGCATCAACAAAATATTGGGCATTACAAAGATATCATATAGTAGGAGAATATGTGAATCGTTCACCGATTCCACCTCCTTTAAACATAATCTGGTATATTTACTTAATAATACGTTATATAATAAGAGGCTGTAGGAAAAGTCCACTGAAAAGTGATCATCCGTTTAGTAAGTTATATATATATTTCTTTATTTATCATACTCCAAGAAGAAAATAAGTCATAATGTAGTATTCATTACTAGTACAAAGCAGTTTGAACCTTATTATTAATTCATATTAATATTTTTTCTATAAGATTTTGAATCCAGCTTTTCAAGTCAAAACCAAAATTAAACTTTAAGAGTTTGCCTAAAGTGTTTTATATTAAAGAACTAGATGTGAATACTTTTAATCAAGAAACAATAAACTATACGGAAAGTCAGCTGCTTAAGTTAGGTATCCGTGCCAAATTATTTGTAATGAATTATTTATTTCCCGAGATATGCCTCATCAGAATTCAAATCCGTATCCTCCAAATGATCTAAACACTATGCTTTTTTAAACCATTTTAACATAGAAATAAGTAACTATCCAGTGCTCTCAGATTTTTATCGGTTCATCAGGTTATGACAGTTTGTGGTAAAAACTCACTTCAATAACTAACAGTTTACACAAATCTTGTATCTTAATATTATATTTGATGTCGATGAACGATATATATATATAATTCATTATTACTGGCCTTGGGATGTTTTGGAAATTATTGAATTTTATAATTTACATCATGAACTGAAACTCAATAAACTTGACAATATTCTTATCATAATCACATACTTACTTGTGACGTATTTCGAGAGGTAATATCGAAATTCTTGTGAGAAGCCTTGACATACCAACGTCGTGAGGCAGTTAACCACCAGTGACATTGAGAAGTGACTGACTAATATTGCGAATTGATTAAAGCTAGACTTGTAAACTACTGGACACCAGCTCAGTTGTCTAAAATCTAAGGAGTCATTACAAGACCTGAAGGTCACGCATTTGATGATACCGACTGACGTGATAGATGCGTACCACTGAAAAATATCATACAAAGGCAAAAAAACTTTTCAGTGCTTCCTGGATTTCTATGGCTGCCTAGTTACGGTCTGTTTATGATCTAAAGAAAAGAATTGATTACATTGAAATTTTTCGGTATATTTTAAACATAGAATGTATATTTATTACTAAGTAATGATCAGTTTCTATGTGTTCGGTAATTATTCTGGTAGTGTTTTAATGGCATTCAGTTGACATGATTATCTCCTTTCCTTTTTCCACTTCTTAATAAGTTGAATAATTTCATGAAGTGGACTATAAATGTTCACTTCTAATTTTACTCTGTTTCTGAACTTTATCAGATAAAATATCATCAATGATAAAAAATTTCAAACTTATCACAATCCGGAAGTAATAAAATTAAATGAATCTTTCTGAGTCCATAAACAATATTTCTATTTATTGTAGAGAATCATAAAATCAACCATTGTTTTGCACAATAGAAGTAATTATACCTTATACAAATATACGTATAACAATTAGATGAAATGAGCTATCATCAAGAGGGTAATCTACATAAGTGTTTCTAGTAAAACTGGTAATAATGTTTTAGAGTATCAATTGTTCCGAAAACAGCTAAATGACTCACTCAGATGATCGTTTCAATTTAATAGATTTAAATTTGTTTTTAATCTCTCAGTCAGTAGTAATAATAAATATAACACCTAAGTTACAGAATGAGAAAAAATATCGATTGATTGATTTATTAACAATTCTAGAAAAATCCTTTGAATCTGGATCATCTCAAGAACTACGTCTTATACATTGGGAAAGATTACGTTTTTGGGATTATGATCGATATATTATTCAAGGTAAAAAACGTAAACAAAAGGAGACTGGAAAAATGGTCAGTGTTCGAACTACAGTAATGCAAATGAATAGAGGTGCTGAAATGTCATCAGAAATAGCTGCAGCTATCTCAACATATTATCATACAACGCAGGATCATCTAGCAAGAGTTGAATCAAAAGCTGATAGACTTAAAATTGTTGAAGAGAAAGTTGATAGAGTATTAAGCTTAATCAAAGAATTAAACTTAAAGGTATTTTGCTATTATTATTATTATTTTGTTCGGATTTTCGGTTATAATGAAATATACATTATTTACTACTTAACTAATGTATATTGGTTTATAAATGTTACTATAACCTATAATCACCTTGTACAGAGTTGGATTGTTAAGGACTTTTAATCACTACACAAAGATCATGTACTTTTTTCAACCCGACAGCTTCCATTTGTAATTTAAACTATCATTACCGGAGTCTTAGTTGATATCGATCGTAACTGTTATAAATGTGCGTCTACTGAGATATTCATCTGTACTACTTAATGTTTGGCTAAAACATCTAATAATTTAAGAGACAAAAAAAACATCTCTATTCCTCTCAAATCATGATTGACAACAATTAATGCCTTTTCAGTTTTCCTTTCAAATTAAAATTAATTATAATCAGCACTACGAAATCATAATATTGAAGCAAAGGAGTGGATGCAAGGTTTCATAGAAATGTATAAGTGAGCAGATCACTGTTCTCATCAAAGATATCTTGAGCCTATAAATGTCGTGGGAAGAACTCCATGTGTTACAAAATACAGAGTTGTAAGGAAGTTTTGTTTATTTTGGTAGAAGGATATGTATATACGTTATCAGGTTTTGATAGAGAGTTTAAGAACAACAATCCCTTAGAGTAGTAAACTGATGAATGTTGCGTGATGTTTTGTAAAGATGATGATTTCAAATTTGAATGTCCATTCTGAAGAAAGGACAAATTTGTCGCGAGTAGTATTAATAGTAGAAGTTGGCTAATTTTGTCGTAAATGAGGTTACTTTTTTAAGGATTGTTGTCAAAGCTTTTATGCCAACCACTGTTCGACATGTATATACAGCACACATGAAACTGGAAAAGTTGGTCAAAGATATATTTACGATTTTCTCTTCCAAATAACTTTCAAAAAATGTCACTTCAAATACATTTTAATTTAAAACAATTAGTCCCTTTGATAAATTTCTATAATGCAATGATAAACTACATCTTCTCATTGCATTATCGACGTTTTAATTTACTAACCGATGGAAAGTACTAACAGTTAGACATTTAGTATGTTTACAAAACACAAGTCTTAATTAGAGTTGAAGGAAATACCATTGGTATTTTTCCGTACAAATCAATAATATTTGAGAAACCATCAATGATCGTTGCAGACAGTTTGCCTTCGGATACCGGACAGAATTACTAACAAGTGAAAGTTATACTTGTAAACGTTCTGTTGAGTAAATTAGAGAAATTTCAATTGTCTGAGCAATATCTTGGCAAAGTATCTATGACATTAATCATAAACATCTATGACAGGCATCCTACGTCCAAATAACATATTCGATTAACTGAACTAAGTGACTACACTGAGCGGCAACAGACTAACAATATTAAATGTTGTTCAGCAGTTAGTTACTCAAGTATATCAGAATGACACATGAAAGTATTTTTATAAAAACAACGTTTTTAATCGTACAACACTCAACTATATTAATACTCTACATCAGAACAACATCAGATATTCATATTTGTCTATTTTATAAGTAGACGAATTGTCCTAGAATTTAGTAATTTCAGTCGATGATTGATAAACATTCAAAGTATTCCGCTGACAAACTTAAACCATTTCGAGAGAAAATAGGTTAACCAAATGAAGACAGATGGGATAATCCATGTGTATGTGAGACTAATAAGAATGCATGTTTTGTAACATGTGATTTCAATGAGATCAATGGTAATTCTTAAAATATCATCAGTCACTTTTATTTTCCATAAATTTTCGACTTTATAGCTCTGAACTAAACACTAATAACTAAGTATAATAAATATTCACTTTCTTCGTCTAATCCATTCCTTCAGTTTTTTCACTTACGATTGGATGTATTCACATCAATGAACTTATTGTAAACGTTACCTCTCGTAAATTTGTATTTGTAGAGATAATTATTATGTCAGTAGTAGAGCAAAATAATTCATAAAAAGATGATAACCATTCGTCATTTAAACTTTGTTCACTTTGATTAGGATAAGTTTAAATTGGTTTTGTTTTGTTGTTTTTTTCACGACTGTTTCAAACACTATATTCAATATGATCTCCCTAGAAATTACAACCAGAAGAAACGCAACCTAAACAGCAAACAGGTAAGATATTTTATTTTCGTAATCTCTTAATTCTATATTTCGATTATTAAACAGGTATACATATATATCAATAGTGGAAAAAAATAAACTCATTCGACTAATTATTAATTAAAAGACTAGTATTTGAACGAAGAATATTCTTTTCGATAAATTCTCATCAGGTTCTACAGTTATACATCCAAATTAATAATCCGGAAAAAATGGCCAGGTTAAGGGCAAAATACATCGTTTAGAGCACGTGAATTTAGGATTGTGATAAACAAAATACAATAAAATTGTTAATGTTAATATGACTTATATAGAATGTAAACCTGAATCAGCTTATATGTTTAAGATCCATATTTATTCTGATCATGGATCTTAAACATATAAGCTGATTCAAGTTTACATTCTATATAAGTCATATTAACATTAACAATTTTATTGTATTTTGTTTATCACAATCCTAAATTCACATGCTCTAAACGATGTATTTTGCCCTTAACCTGGCCATTTTTTCCGGATTATTAATTTGGATGTATAACTGTAGAACCTGATGAGAATTTATCGAAAAGAATATTCTTCGTTCAAATACTAGTCTTTTAATATGACGGGGATCTTTAAACGAATAATTATTAATTGTTTGCATTGAAGTAATCATAACGAAAATCAATAATTCGCAGAAAACCGACTAGTAAATTTAATACTGTTTTCAGTAAAGTGGAAGATAAGTTTAGAAAAACTTAACCAATTGATTTCAAAAAAATAATATCTACATGACTTGACTCAAGTTGTAGTGAATGAGAACACAAATGGGAACAATCTAATGCACTTGAATACAAAATTACAGAACGTTTTAGTAAAATCTGAGAATCATACAGTAAATACTTCATTTGAAAAATGTCAATCAATCGTTTTTCATTGCCACACCAATCATTCTTTATTTTGGTTCCCTTTTCTTCTTAACCTTCTGCCTCAAGGCATTTCACTTTCAATTGATGATATATATATCAACATCTGTAGCACACCATAAAGTAACTACTGATGCAATTAGTATTTTGTACTAGGTCTATCAACTTTTACAGAGAATATATTACACTTTTCTAGCCAGCAGGTATTTCAATTCTATCATTTAATGAAATAATACTAATTATCTTTAGTTTTATTTCGTGAAAAAAAGTAGCGAAATGAGACAAAACATGCATTCACCTTATTATTCAGTTATAGAAAATGAATTTTATTTCATTTTATCTTAGTTTAGAGAGTGATACCTACATAGTTTTGATGCATTTATTATATATTTAGTTGATCAGTTATTTGTTGTAAAATTTTTCAGAAGCTAATATCTAATTTAATATTGACATAGTTCGCAATAAGATCAAGAAAACTCTGTATGATCATCCGTAGGATTAGCTACAAAATACTATTTTATGTAAAAATCATTTTCGTTAAGAATTAATGGTTTAAATTGGTGTCTTAAACTAAATTAGGTTACAATACTTTTTTTTAATAAATTGTTATATATTAGAATAATAAGCCTAATTAATTAAGAATTAATGACTGAAAATTCTTTAACCTCATTACGATTGATAGTAATCATATTAATCTGCATGTGATCTTTCTGGAAATATAGTAAATCAGTATGAACACCCATAAATCAACCAAAATGATTAGATGTACATTAAATCAAAAATCCATTAAGACTGATGTTTAAGTGATCATATCGATTTGTAGTGCCTGTTTTAAATTAGTCACTCTTCAGCCTTAAACCTATCACTAATGAAGTGATTAAATTTCTTGAGGGGAAACTGTTGAATATCAAAAGTTTAGTTTTATTTATTCCGTTATAAATATATCCTATTTATCATTACTAATTATTCAGTAATACTATTTGTAAATCTTTTTTTTCATTTCTCTTTTCGTTTGTTTTATTTTTTAGGCATGGATACATCTCTTGGTTCAAGGCTTGAAAGAATACTTATAAGTTAGTGAAAACATTTTAATTTTCTTTATCTAAATTAATGCATTTAACACAAGAGATTAAGAATTTTAAAACGGTGATTGTATTTATTTGTATTGCTTTTACATTGTTATCTCAGTAAAAAAAACATTGTCACTACAATGATTAATTATAATTAGGCCAAGTAGAAATATAAAATAACAAAAAGGTTTATTATAAGCAAATATAGGTGGTGACTAGAAGTGGAAATCAAGACACCTGTTTCGTCCTATTTGAAACTCATCAGCTGGATATACCTGCATCTCAGAGTTGATGTACACTCTGAGACTCGAACCCAGTACCGTCCGCTTCAAACGCCATTGTGTTATCCAATTAGCTACTGAGTCGTGATAGCCACTTTATCGTGCAATGGGGTGAAGTTAAATTCACTTGGTGGATAACGCGATGGTATTTGAAGCGAACGGTACTGGGTTCGAGTCCCAGAGTCAACATCAACTCTGAGATGCAGGTACATCCAGCTGACGAGCGCCAAGTAGGACGAAACGCATGTCCTGGATTCCACTGCTAGACACTATTCATCTTTGCTTATAATGCTTGTAAATTCAGGTAATATCGAGGCAATACGCACAGTATGCACATATGCCAATAAGAGACTGATCAATTTCAGTCTTAAACATCACTGTGAAGATTCAAGTAAAACAATACCAAGTGAATTAAAAAGGTTTATGGTTATTGATGAATTCATCTGAGGACTAAACGAATGTTGGTATAAGTTGAGAACATGAACTTTTCTAGTTCCAATCTCGTATCAAGACACAAATTTCCTTCCAAGACTTTTAATTAAATATATACACTGGTAATTGAGAATGATAATTTAAATGTCCCCTTGATTAAATGATAGTTTTCAATGTCAATCAATACCAGCTGAAAAGTTTGCCTTACTGATGATAGTTACAAAGTTAGTTTTTCGTATGCAGTTTCGAATGTCAGTGATTGTCTCCGAAACTAGTCTCATAGAAATACACTCCTGCATTTGAACGCAGCGTCTATCTCATTTAAGGTTATGTCCTAGTATGTATGTTATGCATAGGGTAAGAAGTTGAAGCACCCTAACCACTAATTTTTTGACTAAATAAATCATTACAAATATAACATCCTAATCATTTCTAAGAATTTTCATGCTGGGTCACCGAGAATTGATTCATTCACTAATATACCTTTTTTTACAAACCTATCTAAAACGTCTATTAAGACTATTATCTAAATTCAATTATTCAATTGTTCACTTCAACAAGCTTCCTTCTTTGTTTCTTGTATAGCTAAAGAAAAACCAAACATAGCTTACTCCAGATCAAAATCCACTGATCAACCAATGATAAAACTGATTCAAGGAACAAAAAGCAGTCAGCTAGCTGTTTTTGAAAAAGGATCACACAAATATGCAGGATTTGTGCCACCAACAGCTGATCGTACACCTCGTCTATTTCCTCATCCAATACCATGGGATGTAAGCGATTATATTTTAATATGTTTGTTATTAAAAGTTAATAGAAATATTTCGACTCAAATGTTTTCTCAATGAAAATTTTATGTAATTGTGTAGGTAAACGTTGATTACATTTTTTGTAGCAGAAATGTAAAATTTTAAAAACTTGTCTATTTTTATGGCTAAACACTAAATGTTCCATTTGAATTTCGACATCAACAAGTTGTTTCACTTTGTTATTCGATAATCAATTGTTTGATCAAATAAATAGCTAGCTAATCTCTTTTTTAAATTCAGATACTGATCCAAATAAAGGTATCTAATAAAGAAAATGCGAATGTTCTATGTTGATTATATACAAATATAAATAATACAATGACGTCAATTAACCAACCAAAATTCCATAATACATACCTCTCAGTCACATTGAATTGAGTGGAACATGTCAACAGAGATGACTATGAATTCTACAACAAACTCAATCATTTACTAATCTTAATTGATAGTTTCCAAGCTGCCATGAAATATTTTTCAACACTAATCAAAAAGTTCATTACTGAACGATGTTAGTTAGTTCACTATCATTTTAGTGTGTGGTGTATATAGGTAATTAACTGATATTTATTGAATAGAAATTGAAGTAAAAGGGAAAAGTTTCAAATAAGGTGGTATGTAGAGAATGTTTAACATGAAACTAATGTCCATTACGGCTAAGCAATAGTTTGATAACTATTGAAACGATATACCATAGTAGAGCTACTTCAACCTTATGTAAGACTCATCAGCGATATACACCAATAACATCATCTTAGTTCGAAATCAAAATCTTCTGGTCCCTCTGTAAGTACGATACCAATAACCGCTGAGTCAATATCGTACTCGTTACAATGACAGAATGAGTTGCGTTTATACTCTAACAGGATTGTTAGTAAAGATCACGGAGGGGTCCTAAGAATGAGTAGTGGTATAGCTGAACATAATTCTAGTTTCTAAAATAAAGCTATACCCCAGAATGACAAATTATTGTAGTGACTTGAAAGTTTCGCATGTAGCGAGAAGAATCGAATAAACATGCTGACTATATTTCAGATATGCTTTACGTTCATGTAACAACTAGCACAAAATCTATATTCAAGGGTTCCTAACATTCGCTTTCAACCACCGGATAAGTTTCAAGAAATTGATTCAGTATGTAAATGAGATTAAAAGTAGAAAAGTGTATCTCAAATGAATGATGTCTGTTTGAACATAATAAAAACACACTTTTAACTTAAGGAAATGTACACAATGGTTTATTTTTTAATGTCTGATTCCAACTAACAGGAAGAATGAGATATTCTATCTCTTAATTAATGATTGTACAATGTGCCTTAAAAACTACTTGTGTACACATAAAAACTAGTTCTGAAGAACCATAAGTTAGATTTTTTAAAGCTCGATTAAATTCTCAAGTAAATTTTACTAACGTCAAACGAAATCATATTATGTAAACTTTTGACACCACTGCGAAATCCATTGACTTGAATGCATTCAGATTTTATACTATTAAGCGTCGATATACGGTACACTAATTAAATATGTAATCAAAGTCTAATATAATTCGTTAATTTTTTTAAATTTCAAGTTTTTCAGTGTTGTATGTTCAAAATAAGTTTAGGTTTCGTTTACAACATTCTCCCCCTTAGAGAAGCAATAATAGGAGATAGATTACTGAATTTATACTTATATAATCTACCATTAAATGTGCCAAGAATTAAAACCCTTAATTCATATAATCTACCAAATAGTCCACTTGAACATTGGATTTCTTCAAAAAGATACGTAGCATAATCAACGTACTCTACTTTAACTAAGAGATATCTTATTCTAAAAGTTTGTCTTAATGATCTTTCAAATCATTTCACATTACAAAATACTAATCTATTTATTCAATCCCAGCAATATTATCATTTTAAAATTTAGTATGGGACTTACAACATTGTTGTGAACACTTTTGTGTTGTGACATATGAGACCAAGAAGACGTTGAAAACAACCAAACCATAATTGACTTTTCCTAAGATTTAGTCTGCAACTATAACAAACTTTTTAATAAGCTAATTTATAGTGTCTAAACTCACACTACTATAAGATCATGGTATTTTTGTATATTGTTTCTTACAAGTAAAATCAATAAAAGCTAGAATGAAAATTCGGAAGTCAATGTTCTTTTCAATATAAGTCTGCCAAAGTCCATACTTAACTAAGTAAATTTTTAGTCAAATATCCTTTAAATGTATCTACACATGAGCATAATGTTTAATTTTACTTAAATATGATGCTGAGAGAACATTTCTACTAACATTGTGGTGTATGCTACTTATGTCGACATATGTAAGCAGTAGGTAACACCGATCGAAAGTGGAGTGCTTGGCAGCAGAAAGTTGATTAGATTGAATACAAGAAAATGGAAACAGAAAGTAATCGTTATGAAAATGAGGGAACAACCAAGTCCGAGACAGTTAATGGACATTCTGCAAATGAAGGATTGAACTTATGGTTTTTATATCTTATGAATTAACTCTGTAATTGTGTATTACTTCCTCGTCCCTACCTGTGCTTTCGTTTATTGCAACATTATTTTTAAAAACATCTACATTTTTACAGTGGTATTGTTGCTTCAATTCTGATTAGGTTATTTTTCATTTGAGCAATAGAATACATGAAAATTGTTCGTTTAATTATACGATTTAACAAAACAGTTTTCTTTTATTTGAACTTGTAAAAGGCGTTTACAAAAAGAAGGCAAAATTATTAATTAAATATAATGAATAGCTAATGTCAAGTATTAAAATTCACTATCAAGTAATTATAAAGAATCTTTAGTAATAATAATAATAGTAGTAATAATAATAATAACAATATCCTCACAGATTGAACTCATGAGTCAGTTTAAGCTAGACCACCATTGAAAACCTGGAAGCACTGGACGGCCGTTCCGTCCTAGTGTGGGACTCCTCAGCAGTGCTCATCCACGACCCCGCACCACCCGGGGCTCGAACCCAGGACCTACTGGCTTCGCGCGTGAGCACTTAACCATTAGGCCACTGAGCCGGCATCCAACGGTGTTAATGTCTAACTTCAACCAATCCACGAAGTTGCGCTACCGTACACCATTGTCTTCAGTGAGTTCCTATCTCACAACAGACCTGGTTAATAATAGAAATTTATTCTATAGTTGAAGTCATGAATCCACCATGGTAAACCTAGAAGCACTGGACGGTTGTTTCGTCCTGTTGTGGGACTCCTCAGCAGTACGAATCTACGATCCTGCTAACAGGACTCGAGCCCAGAACCTGTCAGTCTCGCGCGCGAACGCTTAACTTCTAGATCACTGAGCTGGCATCCAACGGTGTCAATGTTTAACTTCAACCAATTCACAAAATTGAGCCACCGTCCATCATTGTCTTTAATGATTTACTATCTCACAACAGATCTGGTTGAACTCCACTGGTCACAGTTTCTCACTAGTATTATTGAAGAGTTATTGACCAATAACATTTCAAATTATGCATCAATATGAATTTAAAACAATTTACAAAATAGAAATTTTCTGAAAATCTATCAATCTTTTATTGATTGATTTCAGTTTAATTTGATAGGGTTTTCCTATAATTAATACTGATTGAAAAGTGACATATTTTGGTAGAAATTATTATTACTTTCTTTTTATTTCAAAGAACATTAGATAGTTGTTATGGTTTTATACTCTAAAGTAATGAAATGGTTTTGCTTTTTGATCTTTTGTAACAACTTCATGTTGCGTGTTGTAATTACATTTTATATATTGTACAGTTATTTTACATTGTTTGTATGTATCATGAAAGTTTGAGAATATGCTAGTTGATTTATTCACTTGTTGTTTGATGTGTTTGAGAGAAGTAGTCACATTCGTGTTTTGTAAGTGTTCAAATGTAGTTCATAATCATGTTACGTTTCAGACATTTTTATCAATATGAACTGATTCTATTGATTTATCGGTATCTGGATAAAAGAATACGTGTAGCGGATTATTTATTAAAAACGAAACGTAATATTCTTTTGTATTTATTCTTTAAAATGATTTATATAATTTTTCATTGATAACAGAAACAGTCACAGAAACCAATGTGTTTAGGCTGGAAACCTCCAGTTTACTCAATTGAAGGATGGACTGAACCAGGAAATTTTGCGGAAATTTCAGAAGAAAGAAAGCTTCAGTTCAAAACACTAATTCCTAATGTTCCTCCTCCCGATCCAATAACTGGATGTCCTAGAAATCCTGGTGGTCGCACTGGAGTTAATGGAAAAGGACATTTACCTGAATGGGGTGCAAACTCAGCTATTATACTAGTCATTACAAAAAAGACAGGCGAACTTCTATCTGATTCCGAATATACAACAAAGGGAGATTTTAAAGTTATTGTTTATAAAAATCCGTTAGGCTCACAACTACCATGGGTGAGTTACCTTACTGTGAAGACTGATTTCTAATGAATTTTGAATATTAATCCATTTTATTTATATATACCTAAAAATTCTTGTACAATAGGGTACCAACAACATGAACCACACAGATAAACTGACAATATTGTGAAGAAATTTTGGAGAGAAGGATAGTGAAGTCAATAAAGAATTAACCAGAAATGAATGTGGGCTTTAGTATGTGGATCGATAGTCAATGGTCGGGAAACAGGAGATTCTTATCAATGTTGCTGGGCTAAAATATCAACTCAACTGTCCGTTGGATTCGTCTACACAGAGTTTAGGGAGCTTTTGGAAGTTTTGAACTGCATTGCAATCAACTTCAAAGATCGTGTCATTAAAACCAAACATCTTGCTACCAGTGACTCTGATGAGTTGAAACAACCACTCCCAATTACCAGGTCCATCTTCTTCCTTCAACTCATTTGCTTTATTTGTTGTTGTTTATAGAAGCTTTATGGGATTCTCTTAGTTGCGGATGTAGATGTAACATTATACTCATTATTCGCCGGAGTAGACCTGCTTGCGTCTCATAGAGTGGCAAGGAGTCTTCAGAGCTCTGTGTAGGACGTTAAGTTGGCTGGTTCCTGATAAGCTTTGCACATACAAAGGCATGATCAGAATTCAAAGAGATATGTAAAAACGTTTAAAGTCTGTAAAAAGCTGTAGAGAGTGATAAACGTTATCTTACAAGGGAATACCGAGCTCTTCACCGAGTCTAGACATTCAACCTAGGAATGCAAACCTCCACGTAATTCTACGATATCTGTCGATGGCACTTTCTTTAGATCATTTAACTTATGGTAGAGCTCATCTTTAATTACATCCGGGATGTAAGTGAATATTAAAAGCATAAATTGTTTCCTACTATAGTTTACCTCGTTTTTATGGGGCCTTCTAACCTAGTGTGATATGACAGAATAAGATGACACTAATTAAGTCAATATTTTTGCTTTAATTCATCATGAATTTTGGACGGGGTGACAAGTGTGAACTTCGTTCAATGTGACAATAATGTTGATTGCACCAGTTCAGGTGAACTAGATTTCGCATGTGTGTTTACAATCCCCCTACGTGTTCCTCCCCATAGGTCCCACTATAAAGTGTGTGTAAAAATTCATATATTACTGATTGCATTTTGTTAATGGACGTGTTTTTGAAGAGCCAATAAATGTTCATTGCACCACTTTTTCGTGTTCTTACTTAGCGCTGTGGGAATTGTAGCAAATCACGATTGTCGAGAATAAGCAGTAAGACTACAGACCCAAAAATATCGATACGGACAGTCAGCTAGCACTGAGGTCACTCATTAAAGTAACGACCCCGGATTAAACAGTGGAGACACGGTATAACAGAGTTGACCAACAGGCTATAAAAACAACAACACCAAATTCTCAGCCTGAGCTTCAAAAGTTCTCCATCACCTCGTAACCTAATAGTAGTCAAGCAACTGCTGTTGAGAATCTAATCGAATAATATTACCTACTCTATGGCGTGTAGTACAGTCCCACGGTTTTGTTAACCCAGTACACTGAAGGCCAAGTGGAATATTGTTAAACATATACTTATCTACATCGGCTTTTGATAAATATTAAACCATCATTAGTTCATGACAAAGTTTGTCTCTGAATTGTGTTGAAACATATTAATTTTAAAATTATTTAAACTATATGCATGATGAGTTAATTATCTAACTATCCTACCAGTCGCAAGTAATATCATTATTTAGCTCCATGAAGCATTGATTATATGTATTCAAATCCCCAGTATTTAGAGTAGAGACTTATATTGTGGAAGTATGAGCCTTGATCATATTCAGTAACATCAAGGTTCGCGGACCAGAATACTAAATAAAACTAATGCTCATGAACCAACGTACACCGAGAGATGACAAGGGTTATAGATAAATAGCCCATTTTTTGGTGAATATAATGTTCTCTGTCATAGTTTTTACCAAAACTACATATGCGCTAAATAAAATCAGAAGAGATGAAGTTGTTTTATAACAAGAAATTTAGGAGTTCCACAAACCTTGATTAAATATTACGTTCTCAAGTAGCAACTGAAACACTAAAAGGAAAACACTCAAGAATAATTTATCACTGTCTACATAGATGGTATATTATTTGTTCATCATTGATATCAACGTTACGATTCAATGCATCTTTGCAACTTAGAAAATTTTGAAGTTCCTGAATTTCAAACCCGTAAGGTATATAATTTTAATTAATGTCGTTACTGATGAGATATTTGAGGTTAGCTTAACTGAGCAGTAAAAATAATTGTTAACGCTGATTCACCAGAAGATAGTAGTCATTGTTGTTTTCAATTTAGAAAAATATAGATATTTCCTTTTAAATTATGAAAACAGAACTTTTTATAAACGATATGGTGCTTATTAATTTGTTGTATGTTTATAAATACAAAAGACTCAAGTCTACTATGGAAAACTCTACTATTTTCGTTATTCAGGACTAACAAAACTATCAAGTGCCTTTGTCCTTATGACCTAAAATTCAGGTTTTTCTACACAAACAGCTATATAAAATTCAAACCGTAAACATAAACAAAAACGATAAAGTTTATAGTAATTTTGATTTTTAAAAAGTTTAGATTATAAAGTTAATTACTTTATTATTTTACTTGATATCAAAAGTGATTACAATGAACGATATGAATTAGGCATTGCATGTATATATCTATTAAGGGAAAGTGTTATTTGAACATTGGTTTGTTTAATGAGCATGTTAAACATTGAGTTTACTCAAGTATACAATTTCACTACCTGTAGAAATAAGTAATCAGTACCTCAGGGTTCTACAGTAGACTTTAAAGAAATCGATATTAAATTTGCGTAACGGTGATAAAATAAAGTGAACGATGTCATAAAATGACTCGAACAGTAGCATGACATAATAAATTATGAAAAGATTATGCATATTAAACTTAATAAGTTGATGCAGCTTAAGGTTATTTTAAATAATAACATAAACATTTAAGATAAATTAAAAATGATTTATTTTCACAGCAAACTAGAATATTTAGTTTTCAGTTTGAGTATTCACTAATAAATGGGTTCAAGTTCTTCTGAAAATGTGATAAAGTATTACTAATTATAAGTCATAGAACTTTTATAGTAAACCAAATAAGAGTAGAGAATTATTAGATTTAACAAAATGTAAGTTTATAATTCATTAATGATTCTTACTTTAAAATACAAGTACATTCTCATTAGTTTGTCCATTACTTTTGAAATGGTCATTTATTTTATATTATCTTATTTTTAGTTTCTAGTTCAACATCCTACTGGTTGTAATCGTAAAGTATGTGTCAACGAAATATTTGGTATTCTCACAAAAAATCGTATGAAACACTTGATAAAATCGATGCCAACAAAGAAAACAACTTTAGTAGAAACTGTGAAAAAGTTCAACAATTTAACTACAAAAATTGTAAGTTACATATTATTCTTAAAATTGTTATTTATTGTTTGAAATGAATACTTTGCTTAGGGAATGAGATTACAAGTGATGAACTATTTGTATTACAGTTAATCATTGATAATGAGCGACTTGGAAATATTGTGTATCAGTCGGAGATGATATAACTCATATATTGGTACAGCGAAAAATGAAATTTACAAAATTAAAAATGAAAATAGGTGTAAACTATAATATAGATGAAAATAAAGAACAAATTAGAAGTATATTCCAAAGAGATCAAATGAATGAAGAATGAAAAGTATAGAATGACATAGAACTCAACAGTCAAATAACGACAGGAAGCCAATGAAATCTCACTACTGTAGTCGATTTCGGTTAATGTTACATTACGTTTCTAACCGTAGATTATGACTCTCTCTCTCTCCCTGTTACTGGTAAATGAGAACCTGGTTAACTCAGCGGAATAAATGAATATTTACAAAAACGTCCTCATTATTTTGTTAGCATACTAAGAAAGAATTAATTTCAGAAACTTTGATGTATTTTTGCCATACATTTCAAATAACCTAATCACATATACACTCAAGGTTGACTAAATAAAAAGTTGGACAAATATAAAATTGATAATTTGAAAACAAAGTAGATGAAAAGTAATGTGATATGGAAAGAATAAGTTAGCTCATCATCCTAGGAAGATCCAAGATAAGAATTAGTATATTTGGCACATGAAAATAAGGTTTGAGTTTTCTAAAGATCACGACTTCCTCAACTGATAATCTCCATATAAAACTTTTAAAGCTATTTTAAGGTTCAATCCCATGAAATGTTTTAACTATACATTTTGCCATGGGAAAGTACAGTTTTCTGAATCCCATGTTTGTCAAAGCATTTCATGATAAGTGATTATGTAGCCACTAAGATAATATGCTCTACTACGCTTCGTTGTATGATTAACCCCCTTATTTTTGTCCACACACCCATTACTCTCAAACGAGTGTTTGATCAAAAGACAGTTACCAACTCTATAAAACAATTGCTAATAATCAAAAAAGCGCTAAAAATGCGGTTAACAACAGTTGGGCATCAGTTAACAAAACGTTAAGCCTAAGAAACTAAATTAGAAAGTCATCAAAGTCAAATGTTTGAACATCGTGTCAAATTCTAACATAAATGATGGCTTGTTCATAAAAACGAAGCATAAAAGTGTACATCCAAGTATTTGATAGCGTGACTGGTAGATAGTTCAAAACTTTTACAAACATCGCAAGTGTAAATACTTAGAAGTGCTTTAGCGGGATCAGAATTTTTCATTGGCAGCTGTCTTATAAATCGATGAAATACATTTATCTTAATTTTTACTTCACTTACTCATAAATGTCAAAAATGTAAGTTCATAAAAATACTGGATATGTTCGAATGTTCAACTAGAAAGTTGAAAATGTACATTCTGCAATCAAAGCTTTGAGTACTGAAGCACTAAGTTTCGTCATTTTAACAACACAAAATTTACTTCAGAATCTGTTAATCTTGTCGACTTGTAGGTCTATAAACAGTTACACATAAAAGTGACTGATAAATCTCAGCTTGTCAGCATTAGATATTATGATCTTCAGATACCTTTGTTTGATTCAACGAATGAACTTTTTGTTTAGATATATTCTGGATATTTGGATGATACAATCAATACAGATAACGCCTGGATCGAACCAACTGTAGTCCATAAACATATTTCTGATCCAGATTTTAATCATGATGAACTTATTCAGGTAAATCCAATGACTTCCTAACAATATTTTAATGTTTATCAGAAAAAGTATACCTTTGTCGGTGTTGTGAAATTGGGCCCAATCTGCAATAATATGATAATTAAAAATATTCGAATTGTCATATTAACTAGGAATTCCCGAAACAGTGCAATTTAAGCCAAACAGAACTAGGTGAGCACTAACGAACGTACTGTATTTAGAACTCGAAATCAGACATGCATCAAGTACAAAAGAATCATTAGTTCATACAAACACCACAAATAAGCTATGGACCTACACTTCGTTTTAGTAGAAACCCATCAGTAATTCAATTCTTTACTTTTGGGGTAGCTGATGTTTCATGTAAGGTTAGAATCCGTCTCATATAACATCATGGGCAGAAAACTTCACTGAATTATTAAGCTTGTGACCGATTTCTTGAAGAACTAAGGTGTTCAAAGTACCCTATTTCTAGTTAGTTCATGTTAATCCTCTGTACCATTTTTCATTGTGCAGAAATGTAGGCTTGTCATGTTAAAAATGTCGCATATGAAGTCATTGAACGAAATTCAACTTATCAGTTCCGGTAAACTAAATACCCATTATATTCCGACACATTAGAAAGTTAACTAGTCTCTCAATTGTATTTAAGTACCAAACATCAGTCTGAATGGCATTACTGATGTCAGCTAACATCGAATCATTTGTTGTTACTATCCCTATTTAACCAATATATCACCTTTACTCCAAAATATTAAAAGTAAGCCCCGGGTACTAAATTGGTGTATGAGTCAATTTTATCTACGTGAATCTTCCCATCTAGACACTTAGAAAGGAAAGACTTGATAAAAAAAATTCACAGCACACTTATGTTTATGATAACCTATTATGGCTTACTGGTCGTGACGTTAATCAATTAAGGAAACTTGATACATTAGGTCACTTAATGTAACCTTGTGACAGAAACATGTGAGTTCGACTATTTCTGACATCACCGTGCAGGCAAACTATCGAAACGGCTTGACTATTAATCTTCTTTGTAGACCATGACTAGTTACGCTGATCATTTTTCTCTAAAATACCAATAAACGAAAAGACGAAAAGTAATAGAACAAAATCGCTATATTTGGATGGATCTCTAACTCAAAAATCTACATGCTTAAATAAATGAACAACCCGACCATAACGCATCATAATTAGGAAAATGCAACGTGCCAACACAAGTAATTTAGAGTAAACATTGGAATACAAGGCTCCGATTAGTTTACCATAAATAGGGAACAGGAAAAATTTAAAAAGTTTACAGATCGAACGGGAGCATGGGACTGAGAAGATAACGAAGACACACTAACTAAATTTTGGCAATTGTAAGCTAAAAATTAAGTCTAACGATGTTCGCGTTTATTCGTCGCAGCACAACAAAGTTATCCAAATGGTTGCTCAATACTTATTTCGATGACGTGTACCTTAAGTCAAAATTCAACTTTTCACTAATCAATTAAAACAAGAAGATTGAATAATCATTAGTACAACTCTATCTAATGCTTTGCTTTGTAGAGTGCTTCAGTAAAACTACTCGAATATTGTTTTCATGTTAATGTACAACGTAAATGAGAAGATGTTGTCTTCACCGACCTACAATTTACTCTTGTAATTGTAATTATGGAAAAGTTGTAAGTGGAACTTTGGCTCATTGGATAAGGTAAATTGCTCTCAACCAGTAGGTGAAAAGTTGAAACCCCAATTCACATATTTTAGTTTGGAGATCTAGATACCATTATTGTCCTTCACTCGAACGGTGTGACTATACTTAATGAGTTATCCATTTTTCAAAAATTACATTCGTAAACTCCTAGTAAATAATCAAATTCTGTTTAGTTATGAGCATTCGTGAAAGGTGATAAGTACAACAGTGAGACATTTTACTTTATCTATAAAAAGTTGATAATATATTTATAAAATGTCATTTACCTATATTTTTAGTTACTCACTCCGGAAGGAATTAATGCGGTATGGTTAGATTCAACAAATACAATAGGCATGAGATCAAGTCATGAGAAAATTCTTCGACAAGTCAGAAGACGAATACAATCTTCCAGTATAGATATATCAAAAGCCACAAAAGAAGTCACATTCCATGAAGAAAATGTGTGATTAAAAAAATAACAAATAAAACATCTATCAAATATACTTGCTGAAAACTAGTTGGTGCCTAAATTTTCACGTAATTAGTTGTAATTTTGTTGTATCCCAGAAAACAGATTCGAACATGTATATTCCACTATTTTGATATGTAATAGAAATATTCCATTATTGTATTCCAAAGGAAAAAGATTTTCACATGAATTTGTACAGTAACACCTCTGAATGAGGCTGTTAGATATTTGTGCAGTTAATGTGCCACGTTTAGTGATTACCATTCTCAATTCGAGTAGATTAATCCTGCTGATAATAGACGACAAAACGTCTTTCACGTATCACTTTTCTTGGTTGCTTATTTTGCATTCTATCGAGAAAGTATTGTAAACGTTTACTGAAGGATACACTTTGGATACTCAAATAAGTACTTTTCTTTACCGTCATTTCACATCATGTATTTTATTCTTTCTGATTGTTTTGTTATACGAATACGAATAATTTGGATAACACGCTTTATGAGCTGAGCTTATTACTCGTATAGTCCTCATTACCACTTAAACAATTGAACGCCTAAAACCGATGGATTCTTTTAAAAAATGATGACTTATACATTAAGTACTATTAATAACTGGTAAAAGTTAAGCAGTGAGTGTTACAAGCAAAATAAACAGTGGTAATCTGGTATTAAACATATAAATTAAAACTGCAAGAGACTGTACAAACGTCACCAGGATTTATTTGATTGAGATACACCAGCCTTAAAGTTTGATGAAAACAATGACCATTTCTTGATAGTGAAAACAAAGAAGTGGGATTAGATAGAATGTGAATCTCAGATTGTTTTATATTTCACGTCTATTTAACTGTCAATTATTATGCACAGTGTCCACACACTGATTCACACTTTATATGGTAAGAACCACTAAGATACTTCGACCCACTTAAAAGATATACAGGTTGTAAAGATTTTGTGAAAATTGTTCCCCCTCTAACTGATGACTGAAAAAAAATACTTAGATCTCTCAAAAACTATAATGAAGAAACCCTGTGATCCCATAAAATTTGATTGACAACTGGTTTGTAACTATTCAGCATTTGAAGCAACATCGTATATCCAATTTTGAATTTATCAATAATATCCTATGGAAGTATTGATTAGACACCAATTTTATGTCCATTAAATTGTTTGTGTTGATACTAAACAATGAATCCAGAAAGTTGAATAAATGTATTTCATAAAAAGGATGTGAAATCAAAAAGTTGTTTAACAGGATTTTCTACCAGAATTTAACCGTTCTCTTAACCATTTTAGTGGCCCGGGATCTGATTCAGTTGGATTGTACGAATGATTGCTGTCGAAATATACATCCTGACTATTGTCGTATATAATTATCGACTTAATCCACGTTAGTGAATAACGGAATTAAATAAGTCAAATACGAGAATGAGTTTCAAATACGCATATTTCATACAATCGTTGATCCAGACAAAATATCTGAGATGCGAAGAGAAAAGAGCGGAGCGAAATGACGCACAGTGGAGAAGGCGTGTGACCCAACTCCACTTAACCAAGGGTTAATCAATATTTTTAGTCGCACAAAAATAACCTACAGACATGTGATGAGTAGAATAAGATGTACACACACATACGCTCATATAAAAACATTCAAGGTTAATAAGTGAATAATTAACAAGGTTAAAACGTGACTCAAAGAGAACGAATAAACTGGACTGTCCAGAAGTTAGAATAAGGTATATGAGCTTGACTTAGTATCGGACACCACACCACATCGCAAATATAAAGGACAACACCTATTTAAATTACTTCAATAACTACTATGACTTAAGCATTAGCAAACAATTTGTTTTACTTTTTCCTCTATAGGCAGGTATCCTTATTTAAGAAACAGAAGCGGGTAGATATAAATCGACTACGGCATACTACAAACTAGATAACAAATGTATATTACCATATACACAAAACTAAATGATTTTATTGGCAAGATAAATTATTCGGTTTTCCAACTTCGTTCATAGATTGTTCGGAAAATCTTACTGAATATTAAAAATCTAAATGAAATCCCAAAAGTCGACTGAATAAATTTCAATTATTATCACTTCGCCTTGTTGATGCATCCCAACAACTAAGAAAATGAGGACCATGGCTTTATAAATTCAAAACATCAAGTGTATCGTCAAGTTCAACACAACAGATGTACTACAAGAGTTCGGTTGGCATGAACTAGAAATCATACTGAATAATTACTAGTAACCAAGGCGCTTTAGGCAGATTTTTGCAAAATTCATAATCTGACATGAAAATAACATCTAGGTGAAATCATTTTTGCACTAAAATGTGTACGTTGTAAAAAATTATACTGTTCAGTAATGCAAGTCCTACAAGTTACATTACGACAGTGTCCCTCGAACAATGCTTTTATAATTAGCCATTGAAATTACCCAGTGATTAATTACTAAGACAGCTGACGAGCCTTTCTTTGTATTAGTGTTTTCTAAATAAACACTCGGACATTTTTGTTCATCGTCTATTGATAAGACCTCGTAAAGGTGGATAGTGGAGATCAGAATGCATGCACCATTTTTTTAGTTGATAATCAATGTTTACGCTTCAGTATCGGAGTTCCATTGAAACCCACACCAACTAAAGTCCGGATTCATAATGCTTTGTATTTCGAGCATACCAGGCGCTTGTGGAATAAAAACCCACGCTTTGATCTACTGCACGTTCCGATAGACAACGATTAACCTTGAGTTCAGGTCGAGAAAATCGTGACTCATTCGTCTAGGACCTGCTCTTATATTTCTAATGGTGAGCTCGAAAAATAAGTCGGAAGGCAAGCCTCCATGATATTTACATCATACCCTAAGTTAGAAACCATATTTCACACACAATTAAACTGAGTGACAGATCGGAGAAAAATGTGAGCAATTACTTAGCAATAATGAGTCACCGCACAACCTATTGATTCAAATACCAGTCTACTGAATATGTTATGCAAGTAAACAAATGGCAATGTAAGCTTTAAATACTTTGTAATTATATGAAATATCGATAATGAATTATCTCTAGACTCAATCTCAAACTTGAAAATCCTCAATAATTTAAGCTGGGATATATATCGTGTATCCAAGAAAGCGTAACTTCTTAGTGAGTGACTAAAACATAACCTGGGCACAGTATCAAGATTATGTTTATCCAGATGCTGAAAGAAAAGATAGAGCAAAACAACTTTGTACCAAGGTGAAATGCCAATCCGTCTATGCGATATTCGGATGATCCCAATTCATATTGTACTGACTGAGATTTGCAAAAACTACACTAGCAGGGAGATAATTCATATTCTCGTAGATTCGGAATACCTTTGTTTAGTAACCGAAATATGCATTATTATTAAGCTAATTATATTTTTCTGATTACTTATAGGACTAAATTATATACGAGAAGTAAGCTAAAAATAAAGATACAATAGTACAGATATTGTGGTATTAGCCGAAGGTTCGAATGAGAAGTTCGGGCGTCTAGGCATAGAAGAAAGTTGTTTAGGTAGCAAATGGGAACTTACACTGGCAATACCATGATGAGCCACCGCTGGCGTGCTTGTGAACAGGACTGCCGCTCCTTTCGAAGTGCTTATTCGGACCCTGATCATGACCTTGTTTGCGCTAACCTTACCTTACGTTTCCGTGGCCATCCTAGACGTATTGATGTCGGAAAATTGGTTTCAGCTTCTGTTGCAACCAAATATTAAACCGAGATAGGTTCAATACTAGCTATCAACCCACCAAAAAGTATAGACGAGCATTGGCTGCAATTCCATGACACCATGGGAATAGTGAGTCAAGTCGCTTGTGGCTTCACGAAACGTCCCGCTTGTAGGCGCTGCATTTCTACAGGCTCCTCAAAACTCGTTGAGGAACGTCATTCTACTCTGGATGACCGTGAGTTTGACCATAGACGAAAATTGTTGTGTAATGAAACTGTACAAAGCTCGCGTAAGGACCGAGAAGTCTAATATTCAGAGTGCGCCAACGAGTTAGAATCAGCATCTGCACACCGTAACTGCCGGAAGCTCTTTCAACTCATCTGAGTCACTTGCAGCGAGAAGTCTGGTGTCGGTGAAGTAATCTGTTTGGATGACGGAATGTAAATCATTAACATATACGACGTCTTGGATGATGAGCAGAGCCTTTCAAAGAGCAGTTCAACTGGTCTGTTGCCCTGACGACATCGACCAGACTGTCCTGCTTCCAATGGCCTGTAACGGCTAATCTACAAAACGAGGGGGAAGTGTGCAAAGTACTTTCATATGACTGTGTTTATAATCCCCTCTGGAGGAATTTCAATTCACTAAGACAGTGGTCTTTTGACATGCATTAGGTGACCATCCGATATTTAGGCTAATTTATTGAACCCAGAAATTACATATAAGAGTTAAAAATAGCTTAATTTTAAACCGCTGTTGTAGATATTTCAGGATCTCAAAATGAACGTATTAAACCACCTTCATTTATTTATTTTAACACAAATATTGGTACAAAGGAGCACAGAATTCATATGCATCACACAAGTCGCTTGATTTGTGTGTGGGCTGTGATACTGCCCGGGTGCCCAGACCGAAGCAGGTGGTTTTCTTAAGTAGCCACGCCCAGAGCCTTCGACCTAAAGGTCTGATCTACAAGGCACTGGAGCAACGTCGGGAGATGCAGCCCCACAGAAGCCGGTGACAAACGATCCTGGAACCCATGTGCATCATCGGTTTGAAACCAGAGTTTTCCAACCCCCCTAGGTGGACTCTCCATATCCACCAACCCGGTTAAAGCACCGGACGTTCGCTTTCCGTCCTTTCAATTTCGCAAACACCCCCGCTGCGAGAAGGCAGTGAGTAGGACTACCCTGGCAGTGGCTGTATACGCGTGGCCATGTGGGAGTATTTCGAGAGAAAGAGCTCACTATCTCCACCCTCGGTCGTACCAGGGCATTCTGGGGCATTAAACTACTTTGACCACCATAAATTGTGGAGACACATTTAAAATTGCTTTGATGCCTTGTAGGTTACACTTAAGTATCCATGTGGTATAATACAATGCAAAATGAAAAATAAAAATAATAGGACTAGTACAAACTAAATATACCTCGGATAACTTTATTTACATGTAGCATAAATCAAAACTAGAGATTAAACCCTACAAAATGGATCCTTCATCTAAATAGATGTATCCTTGTTATAAACTAAATTCCAAAGGAACCCTCTACACGTAGTCAAGACAAGTGGACAACAACCACCTAAGTCTGTACGGCAAGCTAATCTGGTTGAATGATCACATGGATGTATATTATCTTTCTTCCATGATTAAAATAATGAAGATGAAATATTACAAGTTTTATATAAATGAGAGTTAATCACTAGAGTACAATCTGGGATGAACGCCCATATGGTTTTAGTACATGGCGTATTACAACAAGCTGAGCAAAAATTAACAAGATGAAAAGTAAAAAAATATCTCAACGACAATGGAGATTTAAACGGGGGATAACTACTTAGTTGATGATTTCAAAATCAAATGAACACTTAATCATATCCTCAAGGGTAAATCGCTTATTTATTATAAATTGTTCATACGTATGGTCAATGTATTAAATATACAAAAAAAAAGTGTTGTACCACTGACTAAATGATAAGAAGACCATGACTAGGCTTGTCGCCAAATGATCCCGTCATAACCAGATACCTTCAGGAGAAAATTCTTTTCATCGTTACTCAGTCACCGTTATAATTCCATTCCCGTACATTCACACGTTGTAGATCCTCGTCATTAAGAATCAGCACTCTATTCGTGTGCAAGAGTACTCACTAGTTTTTTATTGTTGTTCAAAATAGAGAAAACACTAAAATGTAGCACTTCATATTCGAGTATAATTCTTGTGGTTTTGGGAGTACATAAATCATTTTAAAATGTTTTTTCGGACGGAAGGTACTAATTTAGTATAGAATACCAGTTGGGAAGTTGGATTTTGTAAATTTAGGTACGAAAATAAAAACAATTATTGCTCATCATAATGTACTAACAAAAGTATATGACTCATGAGTATAAAAAATCCATTCAGTTTGAAATTGTTCCTTTCATCATTTCAAATGCAGCAACCATTCTTTCACGAGTTTCATTGAGAAGTTGATCAACTTGTGATTTATTCATCCCCTTAGTGTCAATTTTCGGTAGGACCTTCACTTTGTAAGTGGCTGAGTTATAAAAACAAACATGATGTTATTATCGATGTTATGATCGTCCTAAAATTTATAATATTCTAACTTTTTAGTTTCTTGAACAGGAAAATATTTGAATGTAGTTTGATGCAAAACTATTTACAAATGCACAACCACTTGTTTACTACTACTGCAAGCTCTGAACAAAAAACCAGATTATGAAATAAGTACTGTATAAGTAATGTTAATATGTGATCTATAGTCCGTTTTGAGCTTCCCCAAGTTATGAGCACTTACCTCATCTTATTACACATACTTTCAATGTAAATAAACAAAGGTCGAGTGGAACTGGTTAATCCATAATTGCTCTCAATACTTAGTGTCAACGGTACAACCTGGACAATCAAGAACCTGAATTTCAAGACTGGCATCTACAGATAATGCATGTAATTAGGAAAAATTACTGTTTAGATAGTTCATAAAATGGATAAGGGTTTGTCCTAGAACTCAAGGCAGAAGACTCAATAGTTGAAAATACATATTACCCAGCCGACCTGAGCTTTAGTAAGAGTAGGTTTAGTTGCGTATTAAAGACTAATGTAAATCAATTATTAAGTTGATATCTTCAACCTACATTCATGTATAACAGAAAGCTTTTGATGTAATAAAGCACTGAAAAAAATGCTCCATTCAAGGTTGAACAAAATCCCGAAAAAATAGGAGGAAAATTGCAGGATTAATAAATGAATGAACAAGAAGTGTTGAAATGCAGGTGAACTGAAAATACAGTGAAGACATATATCAATGAACAAGGTCCATTCTGCTTTTACGAGTACGACAGTTTCAGCAGTATTGTCGATGGTTACTATAAGGTATGTTTGATAATGCTTCAAGTCGGCGGGAGGTGCACGATCTCGAGAACTAACTCAAGATTATAGTAGGTCCCGGTCTTACACACTTATTTTCCAGCATACGGAGTCACAAACTAACTGGTTCGTCATCCTAAACAGCTAGTGTCCGCAAACAACGTGCGGTTTGAAAAATGTGGAGTCTATGATTAACCCTACGGTCATATACCAAACGTTATGAGAAAAACTACCAAAACAATGCTATTTAGTAATATAAGAACATGTGAGGCTAAAAATAAAGTTTTTCAGCATAAGTATCAACGATTCTTCCCTAACTTTCACCGAGATCACCGATCATAAAGTGAATCCACATTTAAACTGTTTTGCTAGGTGTGTTCGTTATGTCTACAAACTACATACTTGTTGTGCTACGCATACATATACGAAATGACTGCTAGTATCTTAATAGATGCAGCGAATTGAAAATATGGTCAAACGGGTGAGAACAAATACTTAAATTACTGAATTACTCAAACAGTCAATTGGCGAGACTAGTTTATCGACGAACCAATTAGACTAAGGATAGCAGGTTATGGTGCGAAACTCATTCATCTATTTGGCCAAATAGCGTTCCGCATTTTAGCTGACGTCAGTTCATGATGAAAACTCGAAATCCAACTCCTAACCATAGCCATTAGCTATAAACCAATCTTTGTTCTTGACACTGGTTTATAACTCTCATTTAGCCCTAGAAAACAGCTGGCATTCACAAGGTCACTTTAGAGTTGCTCAAAGGTCGACCATAAATCACAGTCTCACTCGTCAATTTATTCCTGAAAATAAACTCACCACTTTTAAAAAGTTTCTTTTTGTGGTCAAGGAACTTTGCATACGGTTCAATAACAATAGGTTGGATCGGAAACTTAAACTTAGTGAGTAATATCAGGTATTACTTGACACTGGATGGCCATGTGAAATGCTCCCTTTTTAAAAGGCAAAATATGACCGGCATCGGATCTTGTGCCCTCAGGAAAAATGAAAACCGAGACCTAGTGAAACAGTCAAAATGAAAAGCATTTACCTTATCCTGTTTGGCTTCTATGGCAGCTTTCTCCATGGCAGAAATAGCATCAGTATGATGGGATCGATCAATGCAAATAGTCTTGCTCAGCCACATAACTATTCCCAAAAATCCCATGAATTTTAGTGAAGCTTTGGAAACTACCGAGCAGCGGTTCGGCCATATGTCGCCCACACCTAGATTGTCACAGGAAGTAAGAATCTGTATGGATGAGTACCTGTGACATCTATGCAACTTTGATGATTCAAGACGTAAATACATGGTTCCCCAGACAGAAGATGGCCGTCCTCGACAACAGGATTTAAACCAACCATCCTTCCAGAAAATGCTAGATATCTTACAAACATCCTTGAAACGTTATGAGCGAAAAGTTATTACCAAGCATTTTCATATCTTCGGCCTTTGAAAGCCAATCGGATAGAACAAATAAATGACCCAATAAAGATCAATAAGAAGAAAACGGAAAATTTGACATAGTACTGTACTTTTGGAACCCGGTACAGTATGGGAATAGTGGCAAATAAAATAAACGCGTAATCTAACATACTCAACAGATCAATCTGCGCACGCTAAACAGCCAAACCCTAAAGTTGGGACTTTAGAACAAAAAAACAACCAGTTGTTCAACTTCATATATCCAAAGTTACTCGTGCAAGCAAGGCACCCTTTCACTGCAGAGCTTATTTCTCATGGTTTGACTTGATACACATAATTCATTTAGAACAAATATCTTACTCTATTTGAGAAATTTCAAGTATTGTCGTGGAAATATTTGCAAATAAGTTAATTTGTTAACAGTTCGTGTCATCATTGTAATTTTACATCATTCCGCTCATTTAGTAAAAATCCGATGCTAACCAGAGAATTTTATTTAGGTTGACTTCCTCTAATCCACTTCATTATCCTGATGTCTTAATGATTATCGTTCGCTAAATACATGTGTTCGCATACACAACTCGTCCTGACTTTGTTGCATGTCATTTTCTAACTATGTATTAACACTCAACCTGTACACGTTTTGTTTCATTTTATAAAGCATATTGACTGTTAGTTACGCGTTAACACTTTAGATCTATGTCCGGCGTGCGCTGCAAAGAACTCTAAGATTCGGTTTATATAAGTCCAAAGTCCAATTTTATTTCCTGCATTACACTCACAGGTAATCAAATATACACGCATAGTGAGCGCCATCCACATGGAATTTTTATCTGAATTTGACGGCTTCGTTGACCAAAAATCAGAGGATGCACCGTGTGACAAACTAAAGGCTGCAGTCATACTACGTACTTCAGCCTCAAACGAGGGACAGCTACCTCTATTGGAGAATGGTGACGTTGGTGACAGAAAGCAATCATATTTTTCACGGTACTTGAAACGGTTGGTCGTAATCTAAAAACTAGGCTGCCTAGCTTTTTAGACAGATGTGGTTACCCAGGCTACAGTACAATGTAAAAGTATTTTGCGATTCCCATGGAGTAGGTGAAGAACAAATAGCAGTTGTAACGAACGGGGGTGATGTGGCAAAAAGAACCTAGATCCAACTCGTCAATTTACACGTCTACAAGCGACTATATTTGCTATGTTCGTACGAACAACAACTAAATGGTAAATTCTAGGGTTTAGTTATAGACAGTTATTACATATGTTCTTATTGGATAATTATTAGGTAGCTTTATTACATATATATTCATATTCCTTTTGTCGTAGGCTTTGCTTTGACCTATTGACTACTATTAAACGATTTAGTACTCTTATGCTATTTTAAATTTATCAGTTACAGCCCCAGTGACTTGATCTTTTATAATTATTGCTTTTCGTTTTATGGTGGCAGTCTGGTTTGCATGTATTTAAACTGAGTATGTCCAAAATATACGATTTAGACAGCAGAAGCTGATGTTTATGTCCCTGACTGAAAGGGCTAGGCTAAGCTATAAGGTAATATGTCAGAAGACGAATAAGAATTCAGAGATAACGCGAGGCTGTTAGTGCTGGTTGGCGTATCATTAGTTTAGAACAGGGAATAGGTCATATAAAAATGTCTACTGACTGTCTATTTGTATCATGTAATAAGTGACAGGCGCAAGGGTCATAACAATATTTAGCATTCATTTCATGAGTATGAAGTCTTCTTTCAGAAATAAACCATTCTGCAGATTCGGGTCAAGACCGATAAAACTAACAGTATATATTAATTGGTACCATAAAGAGTATGGTAAAAATGCACGGAAACCCACAAGATCGTATGACTTTGCACTAACTGTCCGACACATCTCTGGAAACGGCTCAGTCAGATAGCTATGGTGACAACTATCCCAGGCCATATAAATAGTCGTCTTTACGTCTGAGATACAACACCAGGCATGGAACGTCTCGTTGATACCATTACGGGGATTAACATAACCCCACCAATACTGTCCAGACCAAAACGTCCTACATGAAGTAACACCTTTCTAGAAACGGAAAATAGGGTTCACATCCCTAATAGTGGAGAGCGACCACTTGGACTAGACTGCGGCTTATGTAAAACATAATAGTTTGGGAGCAGATTTCCAAAATTTTCACGAATTACTTATTAACATGAATGAGAAGAGACTTATCGATGCGAACTAACTACTTCCAATTATTGGCCTAATTGTTAGCAGTAAAATTTGTGCAATCCACATAAAAAGCGGAAAACAGTACATTCATTGATAATTTGTATGAGTATTACTAAATCAGAAGAACTGGATACCATGTTGACAATGCATATCACTATATAAAACACTACATCTTTACTAAAATCCAACTATTCAATGCAAAAACACATAGACTGACCCTGAAAAAGTAAAAATCGTCAAGATATAGTTCGAAAACATGACGGAGTTATGCATCACTTGACAATCAATAGCTCATGGGCTTCTCCCTTAAACACGGTAGCACAGAACGATAGTGATTGATATTCATGCGGGATTATCATTGTTTGAATGTTCACACCACAATAGACAAATACCCTATTTAGTCTCTCATTGCAAGGAAGGTGATTGACAATAATGACACACCATAAACGGTTGCGTAAATCAGTCAGCACGTCCTATGATCGACCTTTCCCATGTGAAGTACGTGTGTTGTTTGTAATGCAGCGGTATATAAAACCCCAAAATCAACAGCTCTCTAAGTCTTCAACATTTGATGCTGACCACATTATTTTCAATGGATCCACCTATCTGATGGCGTTCGGTCACACATTCGCACCACTTCACGAGTGGGAACGCTGTGTTCAACTTCTCTTACAACCGCTAGCCAGTTACTTCTCGATATATATAACAACAAATGTGTCGTTGAACCTCTTTGCTTCAGATTTCACTGGGTGTGCACGTTTCAACTAAAGAAGGTTTTACTGGTTAAGGTGTTATCGAACTCCATATACTTGTGGTATATTAAGTATGAACTTACGATTCGTTGCGCGTCTGATTTTGAATTCCAAATACAATAGTTCTGTCTACTAAGATTGCGCTGATAATAATAATAATAATATAGAAAATTTCAACACGTGCACTTGGACACTGTCACTCTTTTCCATTATCCAATTTTTTTGTTCGTAAATTTATTGCAAAGATGGTTTCGCTAAATGAACTGTAGCGTGTCCCATAAATGATAACTCATCAAAATTTTTAGCTTCAGTAATCCTTGATTGTTGGATTGCCTATTATGGCGTCCCACTTACCATCACTATTAATCGGGGGTCTCAGTTTCAATCAGTTTAACTCCGAGAATTCACTAGACTGTTAGGAACATGCTACATAAAAACAATAGCCTACCACCTAGCAGCTAAAGGCCTCGTAGAATGATTTTGTGGTGTGAGCTACTTATATAAGTAGTATATAACGTGCGTTAAAAGAAAGTAATGCCCGGCAGCAGAAGATGGCGAAGATCAAGAAAGGAAGAGCAAGAGCACAATGGAATTGTAAGAAAACGCATGTACAATGGAATGGGAGACAATGGATTAGTGTTTGCAACGGGAACAGTACAGTTTGATATAATGGAATGATATTTTGCAAATTGACGATTGACTTTATGGTATTCACATTTTATTGAGATAGTCTGTAATTTTTTTGCTAAATACAATCGATTGTCCCCACCCGTGTTCTTGTTCACTACAATTTCACCGATAATTAAGAAGCTCACATATGTCTCTGGCCAATACAACCAAGTAGAGCAATGCCCCACCTTTTTATTCTCCTGGGAATACTTCCAAAGTTGAGAGAAGACATAGGATGCACATTAGCCGATTTAGTATGTGTAACGAATTTAGAGCTTCTTGGCTAAATAATTAATAGCAATGAAAAAATACAAGGAAATACAATAACTTTTTCAAGCACATTACTACGAACCACGTAGCAACTAAAGCTAATACCAACACATGTGAACGTACAACACGAACACGTAAATAACTATCTAAAAAAACAAATTCGATTTTGTTCAAATTGGCGCTGTCGGTATAACATCAACCCCGCTATCCGAAAGGCCACTTGAAGTCACAAAATGAACAGAAAAATATTTCATAGCTGAGAAAAATAGTGAGAAGAACACTTTCTTTATAGACAGACTAAAACCTACTTTCCTAGATAGTCAATGAAAACAGCAAATCCTAAAACTAAGTGAAGAATCTGACCTCACGGAACCACCAAAACCAAAAAACAAAGTCAAATGAGTAAACACGAACTTATCTACAACTCGCTACAGCGGAATCATCAATAGACCTAAACGTTATGTACACATTACCGTCTAAATTTTATACAAATTCTCTAACCAACCTATTTACGTCTAGTTAATTTGTTTTTTGTTTATTCATAATAAATCTATGTTTATTCCCGTTGTCGTTACTAAACATCACATACTCAAACAAATAAATTTTAATTCTCGGATAAATTTGATTTTTTTCTGGTGTGTCTGTAATCAAACAGTTTATTATCATTTTTATTAGTGTTATTTAATTATGTTGTTTAGTTGTGCTGTTCCTCTTCTAATTGCTGGGTATCAACTGTTTTGTAATAATAAACCGTACACACATTATAACACCGTATATGAACATACCACGCACTCATGCCTTATATACATAATCTTTCATCATATATTTGAGTTTATGTATTTATTTTTGTGTGTTTATTCTTCTTATAAGTTTTGGAGTATTAATTGACAGAAGAAAGTTTTACAGTTTTATAGGTCCGCTACGCAACTGCTTTTGGAATTATAAAATAATACCTTCACGTGTATTCATCGTATTCTGTCTGACATGAATACTGAATCATCCGTCACTACTAGAGTACGTATTAAATAGTTGAGCGAGATACTGGTTTAGATATTTCATCTAATTCTACTATTTCCGTTCATCATACCATGTAAATAATTCTTTACACTATTGATCACGTTCACATTGAGTAAACATTTAAATATTTATGGAAAAGAAGTTGTTATTACTTTTTTGATTCGTTGAGTAACATGAATATAGTGCAAACAATGTACACATAGTGGAAATACTTTTTCAAGTTGTTTAAAACTCATTTTATCAATTGAACTAACACTCACGGTTCTGGATCCATATAATGGTCTGTTATAATGATTGATCAACGAAGTATGCCGAGTATTTCCAAGTTGGCTTTCAGATAAACCCTGAAAGACAAGAGACTAAAATCCCTATGAATCAGCTATCATATAATAATTTTGCTTAAAAAGATTACATTCTCGCTTTGAAGAAGTAATGAAAAATTAAACGTATTAAAATTCGCTCAATATTTAGTTAAGCCATCATCTACCCAATAATAAAGAACTAAATATGAAGCAAAATGAATATATTTCTGAATAAATCTGTCTTTAGGCAATATAAATAATACAAAAAATATACATTAAAAATAGTGGAAATTTACTTTTACATCATTCGATATCTAATAAAAACTAGAAATATTCTTACATAGTTGAATATACATCCGAATTATGAGTTACAGGTATGATGAAATAATTATTATCATTATTATTATCGTTACTATTATTGTTACGTTGCATGGCTTTATTAGCAGTTATGTTAGGTATGCCAGTTAATAGTTCATCTTGTTTATCTATATTCACGAAATCATTCGTGATTGATACTGGGATTAATAGCTCGTTATTGGTCTGATTTAATGGCTGTTTAACATCCGGAATAAAATTGAAAATGAAGTCCGATTTTTGTAAGTTTGGATGGAATGCAGTAAATGGTAAAGATGATATACAGGAATTTGAAAGTGAATTATTGTGTTTATATTGATAATCAATTTGGTTATCAATTGCTATGGAACTTAAATTATAACTGTTTTGTATTATATACTCATCATGTTCATGATAAGATTGTGTAAAATAATCATTATCTGTTTTTAAAGATTTTATAGCATTGTTTGAATTAAATTCAATAGAATCGCGACGTTCTCTGGCTCGACGATTTTGAAACCATATTTTAACCTTTACAAAAGAAATAACAACAACGGACAACAAATTGGTTTAGCAAATTATGACAATACAAAATCACACCAATATTTTTATTTAATTAACTCATAAACGATGATATATTCAATATAGAGGTGATTAAATTTTGGCTAGTAGTTGAAACCAGTACCCGCGTTTTGTCCTAGCTAGGACTCGTCAGCTAAATGCACCTGGAACTCAGAGTTGATGCCCACTCCAAGACTCCAACCCCAGTATTGTTTGCTTCAAATGCCAATGCGTTATCGATTTACCTACTGAGTCAAAACAGCTACTCATGAAATATGTATGACTATTAATTCGGTTTAAAATAGTTTGAATTATCCTGTTGTGTATACTTTGACTGAAATTTGATCAGTCTTGACTGACATATTTCCAATTTTTCCTACCTTATTCCGACCTACAATAATAAGAACCAGCCTAAAAATTAGTAAACCCTAGAAAATCTCCTTAATGTGAAAAATTCACCGACATATAGGTAACATGAAGGGATTTCAATAGAAATCTTTCCTCAAAGAAATTATAGAAATCAGTGAATTCGAAAGCCTGTGTTAATTAGACATCATTCAGTAGGCATGACGTTTGAAATCAGATGATTTTTTATGCTAATTAGGTAAAGCGTTTGTGATCAGTTGGGTTCAGTCAGATTATGAATGATACAGCTAACCCCAACAACACTACGTTACCAATGTCCAACGTCAAAGATTGACTCAAACCATAATTATGAACCATGGAATTTTGAATCATGTATCATGTAATCACAAGATAAGAAAATTATATGTTACTTTGTGATTTCATACGAGTTCACTATTCCTCTTTTTTCCTGTTTTTCTTACCTTTGAAAGAATTTTGTCGTTAAAACTACCATTAAATTTTCTCCTCGTATTTTATTTCGAAACGTTATGTTTTACTGGTTCATAAGTTTAGTAATAACTTTGGTTATTAACATATAGTTTGTTTCACAAATTAATTAAAGTTATCTTACATTATTTAAACTGTGTGCAGAATATTCTGAAGATATGATAAATCAATTACCATTTAGGTAAATTATGAGTTGCTATTTGTTTTATTGAAGAGTAATTGCAAAAAAATTACTTGATTAAGATGTGTAAAATTCACTTGCAAGTATACACAAATGTATTTTAATGAATCTTACTTTAATATATTGGCTATAATCAGTTTTAAGTTTTAATTAGATCAGTAAACTGTGTACTGAATACAGAATGGAAAAATAAATTAAGATATTTCGTTCATCATGAGTTAACATTTCTTATAGAATCTCACCATTAACAAACTGAACAATTCTGAATCTCAATAAAACTTTAACTAAAGTAAATAACTAGGCAAAATTTTATTTTCAGAAGGGGTTTTGTGGAGATTTTGGAATTTTCAGTAGTTGAAATCACGAGTCAATTGAAGTTAGACCACCATGGAGAACCTGGAAGCACTGGACGGCCGTTTCGTTCAAGTATCGGACTCCTCAGCGTTGGATACCGGCTCAGTGGTCTAATGATCAGGCGCTCGCGCGCAAGACTGATAGGTCCTGGGTTCGGATCCCGCGGGGGGGGCGGGATCGTGGATGCGCACTGCTGAGGAGTCCTGTGTTAAAACGAAACGGCCTTCAAGTGCTTCCAGGTTTTCCATGGTGGCCTAGCTTCAATTGATTCATGATTTCAACTATTGAAAATTTTATTTGCAATAAACCATTTTAGAAATGTGTGATTGGTCAACATTTAACGTCATAAATACTAAAGAAGAATACATTTGTAAAATCACAGCGAAAGAATTTGAAGTAAATCCAAAGTTTCGCCTGGCAGCCTGGTCCAAACTTTTTCAAGGAAATAACATTTAAATAGCAAGAACAACAAGGTTTGTCGTATAAAATGAATTAATTATATTTCACCGTTTATCATCAGCTGAATGCAATCTAAAATGACAATCACTAATATAAGTATTAACAGATGACTTTGGCTATGTTTTGAACAACTATTAAGCTAAACATTTGTTAATAATTACATTTATATCAGAAGAGGTTTCGTGAATATTATACTAATTTTAATAGTTGAAATCATGAGTCATTTGAAGCTAGACCACCATGGAAAACCTAGAAGCACCAGACTGCCCTTTCGTCCTATTGTGGGACTCCCCATGCTGAAACGGCTGTCCAGCATTTCCAGGCTTTCCATAGTGGTGTAGCTTCAATTGATTTATTATGTCAATTATTATTATTACATTTATATCAATAATTGCAATTTTAGGTTATATGCAACTGATAAAAAGCCGTAAAATAGAACGAGTCCATTTTATCTAGCAAAATTTGTTGTTCTTGTTCTGTTTGAATTTGGCAAGGAATCTGGTTGCATGAAGTAACATTATTAGGTTATATAATGCCACACGTTTTAGAATAATGTAGCTTACAAATAATGATGAAGATTCCAACCTCAACTACAAGGAAACAAAAGTAGTAGTAGTAGTAGTAGTAGTAGTAGTAGTAGTAGTAGTAGTAGTAGTAGTAGTAGTAGTAGTAGTAGTAGTAGTAGTAGTAGTAGTAGTAGTAGTAGTAGTAGTAGTAGTAGTAGTAGTAGTAGTAGTAGTAGTAGTAGTAGTAGTAGTAGTAGTAGTAGTAGTAGTAGTAGTAGTAGTAGTAGTAGTAGTAGTAGTAGTAGTAGTAGTAGTAGTAGTAGTAGTAGTAGTAGTAGTAGTAGTAGTAGTAGTAGTAGTAGTAGTAGTAGTAGTAGTAGTAGTAGTAGTAGTAGTAGTAGTAGTAGTAGTAGTAGTAGTAGTAGTAGTAGTAGTAGTAGTAGTAGTAGTAGTAGTAGTAGTAGTAGTAGTAGTAGTAGTAGTAGTAGTAGTAGTAGTAGTAGTAGTAGTAGTAGTAGTAGTAGTAGTAGTAGTAGTAGTAGTAGTAGTAGTAGTAGTAGTAGTAGTAGTAGTAGTAGTAGTAGTAGTAGTAGTAGTAGTAGTAGTAGTAGTAGTAGTAGTAGTAGTAGTAGTAGTAGTAGTAGTAGTAGTAGTAGTAGTAGTAGTAGTAGTAGTAGTAGTAGTAGTAGTAGTAGTAGTAGTAGTAGTAGTAGTAGTAGTAGTAGTAGTAGTAGTAGTAGTAGTAGTAGTAGTAGTAGTAGTAGTAGTAGTAGTAGTAGTAGTAGTAGTAGTAGTAGTAGTAGTAGTAGTAGTAGTAGTAGTAGTAGTAGTAGTAGTAGTAGTAGTAGTAGTAGTAGTAGTAGTAGTAGTAGTAGTAGTAGTAGTAGTAGTAGTAGTAGTAGTAGTAGTAGTAGTAGTAGTAGTAGTAGTAGTAGTAGTAGTAGTAGTAGTAGTAGTAGTAGTAGTAGTAGTAGTAGTAGTAGTAGTAGTAGTAGTAGTAGTAGTAGTAGTAGTAGTAGTAGTAGTAGTAGTAGTAGTAGTAGTAGTAGTAGTAGTAGTAGTAGTAGTAGTAGTAGTAGTAGTAGTAGTAGTAGTAGTAGTAGTAGTAGTAGTAGTAGTAGTAGTAGTAGTAGTAGTAGTAGTAGTAGTAGTAGTAGTAGTAGTAGTAGTAGTAGTAGTAGTAGTAGTAGTAGTAGTAGTAGTAGTAGTAGTAGTAGTAGTAGTAGTAGTAGTAGTAGTAGTAGTAGTAGTAGTAGTAGTAGTAGTAGTAGTAGTAGTAGTAGTAGTAGTAGTAGTAGTAGTAGTAGTAGTAGTAGTAGTAGTAGTAGTAGTAGTAGTAGTAGTAGTAGTAGTAGTAGTAGTAGTAGTAGTAGTAGTAGTAGTAGTAGTAGTAGTAGTAGTAGTAGTAGTAGTAGTAGTAGTAGTAGTAGTAGTAGTAGTAGTAGTAGTAGTAGTAGTAGTAGTAGTAGTAGTAGTAGTAGTAGTAGTAGTAGTAGTAGTAGTAGTAGTAGTAGTAGTAGTAGTAGTAGTAGTAGTAGTAGTAGTAGTAGTAGTAGTAGTAGTAGTAGTAGTAGTAGTAGTAGTAGTAGTAGTAGTAGTAGTAGTAGTAGTAGTAGTAGTAGTAGTAGTAGTAGTAGTAGTAGTAGTAGTAGTAGTAGTAGTAGTAGTAGTAGTAGTAGTAGTAGTAGTAGTAGTAGTAGTAGTAGTAGTAGTAGTAGTAGTAGTAGTAGTAGTAGTAGTAGTAGTAGTAGTAGTAGTAGTAGTAGTAGTAGTAGTAGTAGTAGTAGTAGTAGTAGTAGTAGTAGTAGTAGTAGTAGTAGTAGTAGTAGTAGTAGTAGTAGTAGTAGTAGTAGTAGTAGTAGTAGTAGTAGTAGTAGTAGTAGTAGTAGTAGTAGTAGTAGTAGTAGTAGTAGTAGTAGTAGTAGTAGTAGTAGTAGTAGTAGTAGTAGTAGTAGTAGTAGTAGTAGTAGTAGTAGTAGTAGTAGTAGTAGTAGTAGTAGCAAATATTAGTATAACAATAACCAAGTTCTTTTATTCAGTCACATTATATCATAATCTACCATAGTCTCTACATGAAAATGAACGATATAACTTTTTGTTTGTTTCAATACATTTTATAAGGAATAAGATTTTTACTGAGTGCAATATTTAATTGTTTTGAAATAGATGACATATAGATGATGAATTTGTTTGTATATGAAACTGTTTATAGACTATGTTTTCCTAAATTATAATATTCAGTAAACTGTCAAATAATTCATCTTATATACCATGTCGGTCGTTGATGTAATTTATCCAATCCCTTAAAGAATTTTATATTTTCATTGGAATACTTTTTTTTATTTTCAAATTTATATTATTTGTATTCGAATATGGAAATAAAACATACTGATTAACATCTAGAAAACTATATTTTTTTTAAAAATATTTCCAACATGAAAATAGTGACTAATTAGATTTCTTTAAAGCAGTAAATAAATTGAAAAGATCAGGCATTTACAAACCACTTAATTGAACATGACCTAGTTTTATCAATAAATAATTGATGAGTTTATGGAGATTCTCATAGGAAGTTTTGACCTGTGGAGTCATATAGGCTATTAGGAAGATATAATATGTGCATAGTGAATAATCATGATAGATTAGTCAATAGCTGAAATCAGGAAAAATAGTTAGTTAAATTGTCATTCAACTCTGCCTGGAGCACCTCTGTGGCTACTGCCGGCCCCAAGCCCGGATAAAAGAGAAGGGTTGGGCATGGAGTTAGCGACCCCATCCCGTAGAAATCTAACTCACTAAAAAAACGCTAACGAGAAAAAAATTATTCAAACTACCTAAACTCTGCCCTGGGAGTCAGAAGGTCTTCATTTAGAAGAGTTATGATGCCTCGTGGTGAAGGCCGAATTTCTTCGGAAGCCACGAAGCTGATGCCCCTCCTGACAACCACAGCAACCATTTATTTCGGTACATGGAATGTAACAGGCGTAAGTAAAGTAAGTAAATTCTCATTTTAACGTAATAATTTAATATATACTGATTACATTTTTGAATTATTTATTCGTTTTCATTGAAATCCACCAATAAAATTATTGTCAACATGACAAGCCCTAACTTAACATACTAAAATATATCTTTATTACATTCATCTGTACACAGTTTGAAGTTGATATTGTTACTATTAATAAGGTTATTTAGTTTCATGTGTGTACATTTCGAAAGTATTAGATTTAATTTATCAAGTCACCTATTTTACCGAAAAATTACGCTCATTAGGATCATTCTCAACATTGAACATGTTTATTATTGTATTAGTCTACTAGAAACCGCTTTCAAATGTGATTAGATAACTTAATTGACTAATGTATAATTTAACCTAGTTATTCAATCAATTACTAATATAAGTTCATAATTTCTTTCCTTGAAATTTAATGTCTAGTTTGAAACGTGAATAATTACGTAACAACAAAATGTCATTATTTCTATTATCCTTTGTAATGATATTAAGAATAAGAATAATATTATTGTATTAGTAGTTGTCAAGTTCAAATCTAAAGTGCATCAAAAACATATTCGACTCCTATCATTTCTTGAAATAGTTATGTGCATTAACACTCATACACACAAACATGCATTAACAAATAGATTTGATAAGATAAATAGAAAAATCGAAGATATCCTTAATCCTATTTCTATCCATCTCTATATCTTTCAATTATAATTATATTGATAGAAATAGTAATGAGTAAATAAAAGTCATTTGGTTATCATTTCATCTTAATACATCATTCCATAATTTTATATTTATCTAAACAGATAGTTAATCTAACTAACTTGCTCACTAGCTAACTGACTAGCCAACTTGATACGTTTAACATTATAAACTAATGTCATTTAAATAGAACTGTAGAATTAGATTAAATTAATTAGAAATATGTATGAATAACACTATTGTTTATTTATTTACTTAACGATGCAATTATCTTGGCTTCATTATATCATTTACGATTAAATTAAATTATTTTAAAGAATAACAACCACCAGGAAGAAACAGACTAAGTTCAGTTTGATTTAAACTTGTGCTTAATTGATTATCAGTAACGATCTTATGTATATTCTTTTTATTTCACATACAGACAACTTTAATGCATATATTTGTCCGCCGACAAATATACTGAGACTGTTACTCAACCAGAGTAAATTTGTACTAGATGGAAAGGATGCTATAGCCTCCGACAAATAAAAAAATTTTCTAGGAGGCACCTACCATACTAAAAAGTGTTATATCTGTGGAATCACTTGACTAGCTAGTATATGAAACCTCAAATCTGACGATATGTAATGAAAACCAAAGATTGATGATAAAGATTTATTTGACCATCAAAATAAATCAAAATGATATATGCATACACTATTTTCTATATGACTTTATATAGTCACATCGACGGACAGATTTGTATAATCTGAATGAGGAGTATTTAGTATGAATTAATCAATAATTTACCAGGTGAATGCATATTTCCAATATTAGACTAATCGGTCTACATATTGACTTGGTTGTAAATATTACGGAAAGAACTTTTAAAATAATCATTACATCATCCCTAGAAATCCATTACATTTGAAGTTGTATATGACGGTGCTTTCATGGTGAGTTTTTGTACATAACAGACCATCTATTTGCCTAAGCGACCAATGGACATTTCTACTAAGGAGACTGAGAAGCTTCATAAACCTGCTTAACCGGATCTATAAACTCCATTTCCTTTAAACATATACACATTTGTTACTGATAAAAATTAATCTTTCAAATATATGTACATTTGAATTTTAATCATATCATCAAATAAATTAATAAAGTTACTTACGCGCGTTTCTGTAAGATTTAAATTTTTCGCCAATTGTTTCACTTCCCATCCACTTAAATATTTTGAATTCTGGAACTTTCGTTCTAATCTAAATATTTGATCACGTGAAAATGGTATACGTGGACTACGATTTTTATAAATTTTTGAACTGTGTACAATATCATCATCATTTTGTATAATAGAATTATTACAATTGTTGTTTTTATCTTGTTCTGATAGTTCACTATAATTTAAACGTTCATTGAATGTATATTCAGGTAAAATTGTTTGAATTGATTCAAATGTTGTTCTTCTGTTACCTAAAATTGTAAAAGATTTAAATTATTAATAGAAAATTGGCATATTTTCTTCATTTTACTAGTGTAGTATTTATAAGTATTTGAATTATAATATGAACTAAGAATCTCAGAAATAACGTAATCGGATCAAGAGCTTCTAGATAACCACAAATGAATGTACTGTATTTAGAATTAGAAATCAAGCATTCAACAAGTACAATGGAACCATTAGTTCATTCAAACACCACAAAATATCAAACAAATCTCTATTCCAAACCAAGATATCAAGTAATTTTACACTAAATGGTCTGTGTAATAATTATTCAGTGGTTTATACTGTTTAATTTATTTCTATTAAATATATAACAAGAAACTCCAACCAGATAACTAATCTTGTGAAATACTACTATTATTTAGTTTGACCTATGATGACTTGATGATGAAAAGAGAATTTAAGTTTTATTAATAACAAATAGTAGTAAATTTGTTGGCAACATTTCGAATTTATATTTCATATCTTAATCTGAAGTTAATTTTTACAGAAAAAAAATCATTATTTCTGCGTATTTGTCAATGTCGAAACTGTCCTCAAACAATAGAGTTATACAGAACATGATAGAAAACGGTAATTCAGTTTAAATTAAATAATGCAACATTAGTAAGTCAATGTACCAAGATTTATTCAGAGTAAAACGTAAATAAATACACTTTGATATAGTAGAATAATAGTTTATATACACTTGTTAAGTCACTATTATTTGTATAAATTAGTAATGAGTAATCATATAGAATTAAAAAATAGTTTATTAGGTTAAAAACAGATTCCGTAGTTATTTACTGTTAAGTTCAAATGTTTTCATTTCTTCTTATCAGTTAAACCGTCTATATCATTTATCGCTAAATTATGTATTTGTTCATACAGATCAAAAAATGAAATGAAGGAGGAAATGTGCTAGAACATTCAAGGATAACGACTAAGTATAGTAAACAATAATTTAAGAGGTCAGTGTTTTTAGTTCACTAAGAATTTGGGATGAAAAAGCACTTCTTAGACCGACAACAAGAGGTTACCAACCTAGAAATAGCAAAATAATATAATATACTGATTGATACTTAAGCAGTAACTAGGTCGCTATTTGTTTGATCTTTAATGTTGATCCAATTATATCAGTCAAAATAACTCAGTGATAATGCTTCTAACTGTGACAATGAGTGATTCAAGTTCGAATCCCTATATGAAACACGAATTTCATCAATATTAAAGATACATCTTGTAAACAAGTGTCAACTGGTATGAAATCTAGATCTGTGGCTTACTGATGATTATTTCCAACCACTTAACATCAAGAAATGAATATGTTAAAATATGATTCTAATCAAAAGATCACCTGTTTCTAAAAAGGTTTTCACATTTTTAGTTAATATACCATTAAGACAGTAGAACATTAGTTATTACTTCAATTCAAATCCTCAGTTACAGTTGATTTCGACATAAGTAATAATCATGTCATAAATAAACCGACAATTAATCAATATCAAAAGGGATTTTGTGGATATTATAGTAGTTGAGTTTATGAGTCAATCCATGGATTGGCTGAACTTTAACATTAACACTATTAGATGCCTACTCGGTGTTGTAGAGGTTAAGCGTTCACACGCGAGATTGATAAGTCGTGGGTTTGAATCTGGATCGTGGATGCGCATTGCTGAGGAATCCCACAACAGGACGAAACGGCCGTCCAGTGTTTCCATAATGGTCTAGATTCTGATTGAATCATGAACTCAACTATTAAATTAATCATTATTTATTTTTTTACAAACCTATAAAAATATTGAAACTGATAACAATAATATGTAAAACAATGCAAGACAAATGTTAATTTACTTGATATATTATTAACATTGATATTAGTATTGATTGTTGAATTTTGATACAAAGTGTTAATTTGTTCAGTGTGATTATCATTAATCATTTGTGTATTGTTTAAAGTTAGATTATTGTGTTGTACAATCTGATTGCCTAAAATAGCATCAATAGTAAATCCATTCATTTGTGTTTTATATCCGGTAACAATTATGAATTATATAGTCAATGATTTGCATTGATCAAGTGTACAGATGTTGTTTCTTTTTTTTTAAAAAAGTGGTATTAACTAAAAGATTTCACTCATTGTCATATTTGACGCCAATGATAAAATTTTTTTTTGTTTTTAATGAAATATATTTTTATATACCGTAGAAATTTAATTGGTTAATTTTTTCCGTAAAATTAATGATACACGGATTAATTGGTTAAATAAGGAAAAAAAAATTTTCTTATTGGTTAATATATGACCATTTAATATAAATTAGTTTTTCTTCCCTAATCAACAATGGATATTCTATTTATAATTTCATTTGATGATAAAATGAATCACTGATTGGGATAAGAAAATAAGATTGATCAATTTTTGAAGTTATTATATAAATAAGAATAATTTTTCTGGTGCGCGGATCGGCAAAGCAAGAACAGCATATTTACAACTGAAGAATATCTGGAACTCAAAACAACTGTCAACCAACAGCAAAGTCAGAAATTTCAATAAAAATGTTAAGATAGTTCTAATGTATGGGGTGGAAACTTGGAGAACTACCAAGCTTATCTTCCAGAAGATACAAGTGTTTATTAACAGTTGTTTACGCAAAATACTTAGGATCCGTTGACCAGACACTATCAGCAACAACCTACTGTGGAAGAGAACAAACCAGATTCCATTGGAGGAAGAAATCAGCAAGAAGAGCTGGAAGTGGATAGGACACATATTGAAGAAAGCAACCGACTGTCACAAGGCAAACCCTCACATGAAATCTTCAAGGCCAAAGAAGAAGAGGTAGACCAAAGAACACATTACGCCGAGAAATGGAGACAGACATGAGAAAAATTAACAAAATTAGACAGAACTGGAAAGGAAGGCCCAGGACAGAGTGGGTTGGAGGATGCTGATCGGTAGCCTATGCTCCATCGGGAGTAACAGGCGTAAGTATATAAATACGCAAAAATGATTAGTGGTTAGCAGTAAAATCCAGGACGCGAATTTCGTTCTATTTAGAAGTAGTCAGCTGGATGTACCTGTATCCCAGAGTTGATGTTCACTCTGGAATTCGAACTCAATACCGTTCGCTTCAAGCGTATCGCGCTATCTATTTAGCTACTAGGACATGATAGTCACTTGCTTGTGAAATGAAATGAAGTTTAAATTCACTTTATATTGTTTACTTGAATCTTCCCATTGTCTTTGCTTAGAATGCTTGTGAATTAAGGCAATATCGAGGCGATACGCACAGTATGAACATATGTTAATAAGAGACTGATCAACTGCAATCCTAAACATTAATGGGAAGTTACAGGTAAACAATCATTATATAATTAGCTTGTATTCGCTAAAATATTAAGTGGATTCAGTCCTTCGTCTTCTATTATTCACATGCACTAATATCTTTCATATAATAAAATAACGAACTTCATTTTTCCCTCATAAAATAGACCACATTTATACAACTACTTGTATTCGTGAGCAAGTGAGAATATATAGATGGGTAGAATATTACATGATTGAAAAAATACTGGTTAGAAAAAGATTGAAACAATAAAATTGTAAAAGTAACAAAAAGAATATGAACACTTTTGAAAAAGAAAAACTATGCAAAGCAAACAAACTGTAATGAATAAGGTACAAGTTAGGCTGAATAAACTTTGTTCACATTTAATGGTTAAGGTATTCTACTTTATAGTTTATTTAAAAAGAGAATTAGGGTCAAGGAAGGATTAAAGTTTGGACGTATCATCTTTGTATATAGAGTTCAGGTTTGAATTGATAGATCGCCAATGCCTCAATAGTGCATAAATTTTTAATTCAGAATAGTGTATTAAAATGAAATGATAACCAAATGACTTTTATTTACTCATTACTATTTCTATCAATATAATTATAATTGAAAGATATAGAGATGGATAGAAATAGGACTAAGGATTTCTTCGATTTTTCTATTTATCTTATCAAATCTATTTGTTAATGCTTATTTGTGTGTATGAGTGTTAATGCACATAACTATTTCAAGAAATGATAGGAGTCGAATATGTTTTTGATGCACTTTAGATTTGAACTTGACAACTACCAATACAATAATATTATTCTTATTCTTAATATCATTACAAAGGATAATAAAAATAATGACATTGATTGATTAATTCTAGACCTTAACAACGGTGGGAAGTTAGAAAAGACCAATAAACTTCACGACATTGCACAAACTAGTGGCAATCTGAACTCATCTGTTTAGTCGATAACACAATAGCGTTTAAAGCAAACGGCACTAGGTTCGAATCCCAGAGTGAACATCAAACATGCGATACAGGTACATCGAACTGACTAGTCCTAAATAAGGCTTAATGAGATTTTTGGATTCAACTGATAGACTCTATTCATCTCTGCTTAAAAACATCCTTATGATACATCTTTATAACAGTTTAATGGATTGATATCGTCTTGAATAATACAGAAAATCAAGAAACATTGAACAGCTATTTGCTTTAATTCAAAACCCTTCGTGAATTAACACCGTCTATTCCAAACAAAACTTATCCAGAAACTTATGTCTTAGGTACTGTTCAACCTGTGAATCGAAATTTATTGATCAGAACATTTTTTTTCATAAATCTAGCCAGTTTGTTGTTACAATCGATCTCACAATTATGAGGATTCATCAAGAGCCAATATTCGCCTAAACAAATATAGTAAGCAATACAAAATAAGTTGATGCAGGAACCGCTTTATTCTTGTATTTGGTAATAATTTATGGCATTGTTCATCGAGTTCCCGATATAAAATATTTAAAACAGGTGAAATATCAATTCCTAAGTTTATACAAAGTGAAATTATGTTATACTAGTAAACAAGTTTTAAGCATCTCACCATACTTATCTAAGTATTTTGTTAGTCATCACGTTACGTTCTATACAAAATTAATCTTAAATTCTCAAATTTGGGGATGTGTGGAGATTGTAGCGCCTTCGTAGTTGAATTTACGAGTCAATCTAGGTTAGACCACCATTGGAAACCTGGAAGCACTGGACGGCAGTTTCGTCTTAATATAGAGGGTTGCGCAAGATCATCAATCGATCAAAGTTAGACATTAACACCGTTGGATGTTGGCTCAATGGTCCATAGTTTGTGAGCGAGATCAAATGTTCTGGGCTCGAATCCTACGTGCGAGATCATGGATCCGCACTGTTGAGAAGTTCCATACTGGAACGAAACGGCTATATGGTGATTCTAGGTTTCCAATGGTGGTCTAACCTACATTGATTCGTAAATTCAACTTTGAAAATTTTAAGCTCATCCTATTGTCAGCTGTCATCGAACATGTGTATAAATTGATGTATATAAATTGATTTAATTTGTTTTCAGTGACTGATTTTTAAATTATCAAAAAATACATTTCATATCATACTTCCGTATGATTCTTTATGTGATCCACTATACGCTTCAGGACTGAAGTGGCAAAACAGAATATTAAGCTTTCATTGGTCATAGATTGCTGCTTTATGTTTTTCCATCATTATGATGTTTGTCAGTACTGAGGTTTGGGAAGAATAATTATTACTGGATTACTTATTAGGAAAATTCAATCGCGCGAATATCGGCCTGATTTATTACATACTTGACAAATGTGGTACCTATTTCACTGAGTTTTTTATACAGTTAATATTTTATTGAAACTAAGAATTGTGTTTAAAATGACTTCTAATATTAGCATACACATGCGGATCAGGTAATTGTCAAGTATTGTTCGAACTATAAAATCATCTCTATAGATATAAACTGTTTTATCAATGAGAATCAAATTTGTTTAGAGCGAATGCTCATTATGTGAATATACAATATCTGAAATGTTGGCGTAAAATTAGACGCTGAGTATAAGATTTCGCTACCTGGCTGAATGTTTGTTGATATCTTTCCGTATCCTTATGCTAGAAATTTCAAATAAGTTATCAAAAATAACTGTTAAGTGAACCTAATTTCATAAAGCGTTACTTTTGATGTACTGGTTAAATAACACTTTAATTCTAATTAAAATTAAAATAATATAGATTCTCTTAAAGTATTTTTCGCCTGAGATTTACTTTTGAATTCATTTGATTTTATAACGAAAGAAGTCCATTGTATCACTGGAGAAGATGAAAGGCAATTCAGCGAAAAAAATTTTTTCATCTGATCTTATTGTCCCTATTTTCAAATGGAATCTCACCATCACAATTTTAACACTGCTTCCCCTACCCCAATAAATTTGACTGATACATTATAAGAAATTATACTAATGGGTTTGTACTCTTCGTGACCCTTTCTTTTTGACTGACTGACTCCCAATTGGTCATATTTTGTATATTTCCGAAGACGATAATAAATTTCATTAATCCAAGTATTTAGACTAGTTACAAGCTGACAATTATTCAATACGTGTTCATATGTATATTGTACAAAATCTAATACTACGATTAAGTCCTAGTGTAGTGAAGGAGAACACAGGTGAGGACAACCGAATTATATTTAGAACAAAATTACAGAGTTACTTGGTAAAATAGAAAAACCATACCATAATACTTAATTTGCAAAATGTTCAATAATTGTTTCGAACTTCGTTGTTCTTGCATTTCCATATTAATTGCTTTCTATTCCTGCTCTTCCTTTCTTGATCTTCCCCATCTTCTGCTGCCATACATTACATTCCTGACTCGCGTCATATACCACTTATACCAAAATGAGTAGCACGCACCACACTAGTATAGCGTTGTTGTATTAATGTTATTTTCGAAGTATTAGGATCACTTTTTTATTAAATGCTTTCACTGGATTTTGTTTATTCTATTCATATTTGTCAATCAGAAGAGAAAATTCATTTGCGTTAATTTCCCACTTTCTTTATGTCCTATAATATTTCCAGTTTAACTGAGAAATGTTATAGAAATTGTATATGTAACTACTATATTCCTATACTAAATTATAGATAAATG